AAATTTTGAATTAACCATTAAATATCAAAACATCAGCTATGATTACACTATACGCGGTTAACAAAACACACACGATTTATTAGGCCTGAAAAGTTATCTATGTAAGGTTTATGCAATTTTTGAGTTGCCTAACCGTGCTCTTTTGTTCGTAAATGAATATCGGCTGACCTAAATTTATCTTCTGTCTCAGACCACTGGACCGCGAATACACACAGAACGTCAGAAATATTTTAGATTAGATTTCGCGATAAATAAACTTTTTTACAACTCAACCATGTTTAGGTTGAAGAAAAACTGAACTAAAAATTAAATAATAAAAATATATTCAAAATTAATGTTTTTTGCAAAAACCTATTTAAAATTCTTGTGTTTTTCTTTTTTTAAAACTTCACAAGAAACTTTGTTGGTCACTTGCAATAAATGGCAAATTAAACAACGTCGTGGCATATGGGTCTAATGGCGCTTTAACATTGGACTAGAACGTAACTCATAGTCAGCAAATCGTAACTACTTGTCGCCATTTTTAAGCAATATGTCCCCGCTATGATAGTTTGAAACATAATGGCTTTACGGGGGATCGTGGCCGAGCTTAATTGTTCGTAGTTAGTGTGTGGTGACCCTTTTAATTCTGGATGCTAAAAGCAATTTACACTTTACATAGACACCGTGTGATTTTGTTTTAAGTATATTGAAAAAAATGTTGCACACGAGCTCACTCACAGAAAATAAACGGTTTTGATTTCTGATTGACCATTGAAATAGTGATGTTAGTAGTAATATAAGTACAATAAAGGTAACAGTCAGAATAGTTTGTGTACTTTTAGCACAGAATAATAATAAGTGCTAACCTAACTTTGACCGTTACTATAATAAACGATAACCGGTGTTTTTTGTATGGAGTTTGACAGATATTTGACGTTTGTTATTGTTAATGTAAGATGGTGCAATTCAGCCTTAAAAATAAATAGCACAAAATATGGAAAATATCACACGCGTGTATTTATTGTACCTACCTACATGACGCTACCATTCCACGTGGAAACAGGTCACCCAGTTTTAATTACATCATTCAGCGTACGCGCGGATGATCAGCCTGCATTCAAGTCAACAATCACGGCTAATTAGCATGATTAACTGGCTCGTTACTACTTGTAGCCAACTTAAACATATATTATACAACCTTAAATTATAAGGAAAATGTGCAAAATAGTATTACTAATTCTACACATCAAATAATTCTGGCAATAACTTCTGTTTCGTGTAATAAAACTTATATTTACCCCAACAATGACACAAAATAGAGCTAAATTGAACGAAAAACTAACAAACTCTGTTCTCACAAAATATATTTTTGGAATTCTACACGTAAATAATATCTTTAAGGATGTATCATCTACGAAGCCAAAAAGTACCGTTGATAAATCTTCAAGTATTCTAAACGTCTTTTAGTCCAGTCAATAAAGCATTATAGATGGAAAACTGTAGAACACAATTTCTGACTTCAGGACTTTATTTAGACTAGTTAGGAGGTGAACATAGCGAAAGTGCCGTAACCCTTAGCCCTTGAGCCGGCGGGGAGAGGGGAGTTTAAAGGTGCCACTTTTCGGTTTTTCGCTTAATCCTCGAAAACTATGCGTCCTAGTGACATGACTACTATGAACCAAAAAAAGCATATTCAATTTGCTATAGGTGAGATAGTCAAGTTTTTCTATAAATTGTATAGTTTTCGCGGCATCTGCTCTAGAAGGTCTGTAATATTGGAAATTTTATTTTTGTCTTACATGTTTCCATCAGAAGAAAATCGACTAAATCAACATTGAGCTAATATTCTAGACATGCGGGAGCATGTTAAGCCTAGTTCCAGGGAGGGGACTGCACCGTGCGTATATTTAGACGAACCAATTGGAGCCACTTTTGACTCCTCATCACTCAAAAAGTACTGTGCATTAACACTTCAAATTTGGCTCATGTGTTGAGACTTGCAAGATAAACATCAGCTTCAAATTTCATAAATATACCTCAAACTGTTCTTTAGGTATTGACGTCTAAAAATCTACATGACTGACCAAACTATACAAGATATAGAAAAACTTGACGGTCTCGCCTGTAGCAAATTGAATAAGCTTTTTTTGGTTCATAGTAGTCATGTCACTAGGACGCATAGTTTCCGAGGATTAAGCGAAAAACCGAAAAGTGGTACCTTTAAACCCCCCTCTCCCCGCCGGCTCAAGGGCTAAGGGCGGGGACTTTTGCTATGTTCACCACCTAACTAGGCTAAATAAAGTCCCGAGGTCAGAAATTGTGTTCCACGGATTTCTCTCTACACCGTCGTTAAGGCATTCATTGACTGGACTATTTGCCATCCTTCAATGTCATGAAGTAGTTATGTGAGTGTTATGTGAGTTTTGCGCCTGCACATTGCTACGGTTTCGTAGTGCTACGTAGCTACGGATCTTCAAAGTTGCTACGAACAGTACGAACTTGCTTATCGTAGTCGTAGCGTTCGTAGTAGGGCATGCAAAAACCGAGCGGTTTGGAAAAACCGGTTTTTTCGGTTTTTATTTTTAAAAACCGAACTAAACCGGTTTTTTCGGGTTTTTCGGGTTTTTCGGGTCGACTGTTTGTAAGTAAATAAAAATGCTGCAAATTATAATAAAAATCATTTTATTTCTTTTATATTCTAGTTTGACAAGATGAAGTTACATGTTCTGAACATAATATTGTGAGATCAATTGAATAGTTTAATTAAAAATCAAATATAAAGAGATCAACAATAGGATACTTCGCTCATTAGCAAAGCAAAACCTTTGGTCAGGACTTCTTGGCGGGAATCTGAAGCGTCATGTTAGCGGTTTTGTTTTATTTCCTCAAATTCGTGTGTGGGCGACTATTAATGTGTAATAATGGTGGATTATTAACCATTGAGTGTTCGTGAACGTCCATGGGTGTGGGCAAGTGAAGCAAAACAGTGCATCGTGATTCTTCTGGTTCTCTCAAGTTGTCCATAGGAGGTCTCAGTAAAGCACCACAACTTTACTGAGACTCAAAGGGTGGGAAAGGGTATCATCTATCATCCTTCATTATATCATTACTTGATCTCATTTTGTAACTCGTATCACTTATATACTGGAAAATGGCACAAATCAAGTCGACCTCGACGTGTATTGCCAACATCATCAAAAAAGAAGAAGAAAATTTGGTCATAGTTATGCTTATTTAAATAATATGTAAGTTGACACTGACAGAGACTAGCAAAGCAAAAATAATGGCGGCAATGGTCAAATACAAAGCGCGTTCCATTTTGCGCCCGCGCGCTTATAGCTTTAGCTAGAAGATACATGGTACTTTAGTTCAATACCATAGCCATAGACTATACTCTACTCATTCACATTGCATTCATCATCATTCATCATCATTTCAGCCATAGGACGTCCACTGCTGAACATAGGCCTCCCCCAATGCTTTCCATGTTGATCGATTGGCAGCGGTCTGCGTCCAGCGCTTCCCTGCTACCTTTACGATGTCGTCGGTCCACCTTGTAGGTGGACGTCCCACGCTGCGTTTTCCGGTACGCGGCCTCCATTCCAGAACCTTTCTGCCCCATCGGCCGTCAGTTCTGCGTACTATGTGCCCTGCCCATTGCCACTTCAGCTTGCTAATCCGTCGGGCTATGTCAGCGACTTTGGTTCGTTTACGGATCTCCTCATTTCTGATTCGATCTCGCAAAGAAACACCAAGCATAGCCCTCTCCATAGCACGCTGTGCAACTTTGAGCTTCTGTATAAGGCCTATAGTGAGAGGCCACGTTTCCGAGCCATAAGTTATCACTGGTAACACACATTGGTTATACACTCTAGTCTTCAGGCATTGAGGTATTTTGGACGAAAAGATGTTGCGTAGTTTCCCGAACGCTGCCCAGCCGAGTTGGATTCGACGATTGACCTCCTTCTCGAAATTGGACCTACCTAGCTGGATCGTTTGTCCGAGGTAGACATACTTGTCGACAATCTCGAGAATTGAGCTCCCAACTGAAACTGGGTAGGGCGTAACATGGACATTCGACATAAGCTTCGTTTTGTCCATGTTCATCCTCAGGCCTACCTGTTGGGAAACTCGATTAAGGTCTTCGAGCATTGTGCCAAGATCTTCCAACGATTCTGCCATGACTACAATATCGTCGGCAAACCGAAGGTGAGTGATGTACTCGCCATTAATGTTTATGCCGAATCCTTTCCATTCCAGGAGTTTGAAAGCGTCTTCCAATGCAGCGGTGAACAGTTTCGGAGATATAACATCTCCCTGCCTAACGCCTCGCTGCAGTGGAATCGCCCCCGTGCTCTGCTCCTGTACTCGGACCGACATGGTGGCGTTTTTGTACAAGCACTTCAGCACCTCGATATACCGATAGTCAATACGGCACCGCTGGAGAGATTGTAACACTGCAAGTTATACTCCTCAGTCTTCTGTATAACCTGCCGCAGCGTATGGATGTGGTCTATGGTACTATAACCTTTTCGGAATCCGGCTTGTTCGGGAGGCTGGAAGTCATCGAACCTACGCGCGAGACGGTTCGTGATGACTCTCGAAAACAGTTTGTAGACATGACTCAGAAGCGAGATGGGTCTGTAATTCTTCAGCAAGGTCTTATCACCTTTCTTGAAGAAGAGCACCACCACGCTTCTGTTCCATGCCTCTGGCGTAGTTCCCTGGAGTAAGACGGAGTTAAAGAGTCTCTGAAGGACTTTCAGTATCGGTGTTCCACCCGCATTCAGAAGCTCCGATGTTATTCCGTCATCACCCGGTGCCTTGTTGTTCTTTAGCTGTTTGAGAGCCATCCTAATCTCGTATAGGCTGATGTCCGGGATATCTTCGGTATAGTGTCGAGTTAGCTTAGCTCTTGGATCTGAAGTTGAGCTATCAACGGGTTTGGTGACCGAGGTATATAGCTGTCCATAAAACCTCTCGATCTCACCCAGAACCTCGGCTTTTGTTGACGTTACACTACCGTCCGCCGTCGTTAGCTTCGTCAGCTGGCTTTGCCCAATAGAGTTGTCTCTTGCGAACACTTTGGAGCCTTGGTACCGCTTCCACATTGCATTACAATAATTGTTTTTATTGATATGACTAAAGAAGCGTGTTCTTGTATGAGTTATTAAATTATCTAAAATCGTAGAAGAAAAACCGAAAAAACCGAAAAACCCGGATTTATAACTGACAAAAACCGAGTTCCAAAATGTGTCGGTTATCCGGTTTTTTCGGTTATCCGGTTAACCGGTTTGCATGCCCTAGTTCGTAGCAATGCGCTGTAGCAATAGGCACTATACATATTTATGTATGTCGATTGGTTAACATATTTTTTTGTTATAAAATAACCCGCCAGTTTAGTGTTTCGGAGATTCATTTTATACATAAAATCGCATTCTAAAATTGTAGTGAAAATAGAGAAAACAAACTCTTATTGCATAATAGAGTACTTACATGTCCAGGTAAAGAAGAAAGTCATCTAGAATAATATTAAGTTAAAGATGGAAAAAAACATAATGTTTTTAAACATAAAACGAAAGGTATTTTCTTTTGGAAACCTACACCGAGTCACAGCACTGAAAATGCATCACAAGACCGAAAAACGTGGTCACGATCGCTCCGCTAAAACAACGAAATACTTTTTGCGGCGTCAAAGAGATTGTGGAACAAAAGCCAGAGTTCGTTACGTCTCAGATGTGGCGTCTGCTCACGGTAGGGTTACCAGACCTCATATCAAGGACCGACATTTATTTTTGCAAATAGGCTTATAAAAAGCACTTTTACACGTGCCAGTGCATTACCACTGCTTTGGGACAATAAATGGGCCAGTGCTGAGATGCAGCGCAAGAAAATCAGTCACTATTGTAAAATCAAAGAAGATCTATTATCCACAAAGATAACACGAAAGATGAAGATGGATGAAATTATTTTTCCTTTACACTAGTTTTTATAAAAGCTATACAACTCGTAACTAGACATAAACAAACATCCTTCGACTTGAATCAGAATTACAAATTGCAGCTATTTGAACGTAAATTCAGTAAAACACACTACACTTTGATTTTGGACAAAAGCCATTATGTAGGTGTACTATACGAGACCTAGAAGAAATATCCTATTTTTACCAGACGTTTGGCAACCCTAAGGGAAACACGGCGCCACATCCGCGTTTGTTACAAAAAATACCCAGCATTTATATGTTTAAAAAAAATCTTGCACTTCTCAAGTATGCATGCTTTGACTCCGTAGTTTTTAAGAACGGTTGCCTTGGTTCCTTTAATATTATACCCATTTCTTTTCCTTATGACTTTTACTTAAATAATGAGCATGAGCTTTTGCTGACAGGGCTATTGATATTGTTAAAGTATAACTTTACTTAAACAATACATACTTTATTATCCTAACAAAAACAAAAAGTGACGAAATTGATTAAAAACTTTTTTTAATTAAATTCCTTCCTACCTATTTGGTTGATTGATTAAACGGACAAACGTCGTCAGTGCCATTGTGACATTAGATTTGTCAAAAAGCTTCCTTGTGTCGGCAGCCTCAGCTGGTTTGCGCTAATATTAGAGGAAAAATTGTGATTTTTGACAAAATGTCGAGAAAAATAACGTCAGCTGTTAGCAAAAATCAGATGGAAGCCAAAGCGACACAAAGTGAGGTGGTAGACGAGCCGATTTCTGAAGAGGCTGAGGTGTCCGCGGTGTCGTTGACCAGGATGAGTGGGTTGAGGGTAGGAAGCCTGCTCCGTACTTGGGCTGAAGTATCGCTGATCAACTACCTGTCTTCCCAGCCTCTGGACATTATAACCTCAGGTAATGTCAAACATAGCACTGGCAAATGGTGTCTGCAGTGTCGTTGACCAGAATAAGTGGGTTGAGGGTAGGAATTAAGCCTGTCCGTTATACTTCGGCTGAAGTGTCCCTGATCACTACCTGTCTTCCCAGCCCCTGGACATTATAACCTCGGGTAATGTCAAACATAGCACTGGCAAGTGGTGTCTGCAGTGTCGTTGACCAGAATAAGTGGGTTGAGGGTAGGAATTAAGCCTGTCCGTTATACTTCGGCTGAAGTGTCCCTGATCACTACCTGTCTTCCCATCCTGGACATTATGACGACTTATAAAATCGTAGATCCTCGAGTAAATGCTTATGGAATCTTAGTAAATATCCATATTTGGAAATAGAGTACTTACTGAAATAATTAGGTGGACGAAGTCGCGAGCAACAGCTAGTCTGTTACAAAAATAGTGACCTACTTCAAACATTTCGCCACAAACGCAGTGTAAAATTATCTGTGAACCTGCGTATTAAATGTAAGCCTTGTCTAAGAACAAGCAGACACATATTAATGGTCACCAGCGAGGGACTGTCATGGTGTAATCCCTCAAGGATTATAGCCATTATGAGTAGGTAATGTGGACAAAATGCACTTGTGTCCTCTGAAATACACACCTTCGTCACGCATGCTTAGCCAAGTTTATGAGACAGCTATTTCATTGTTAACCCTTCAAGCACCAGCGAATCGAAACACAATAGAAATCAATTGTTTCCGCGGTCTCATGCGACCGTTGTCTATGAGTTATTAGATCTTATTGTTTCCGCTAAAAGGAGCCATCTCGGAACCATCTTCCTTGTCACGTTACCAGGTTGATTCAAGTCTGCATTAAGCCGGAGTAAAGTATTCAGCGAAATAAGCGGGGAATTGAAACTAGATACTATCGAGGTCTCGACGCCAGAAGCCGCCAAATGACAAAAACTGCGAAAAAAATGCTTGATTCATAATTCTTAATCTTAATTGCAATGGATGGAATTTTTCAACAAAAATGTCATTAGTCCGATTTACATCGACTTAGTTACTCGTAAAATAAACATTCACACAACTTCAAATTCCACTACACACACATAACATCAGAGTTCCGCGAACGTTTTTAATTTAAAAAAAAAATAATACCCGTATCGAAATTTAATACCAGTGTTCCATAATCCTTCGTGTTAAATAAATTGGTGTATAGGTGGAATTCAAACAAAAAAACCTTTTTTAATTGAAATGTATTTCAGGTGACAGCATTCGGCGGCGCACCATCGGGATACCGGCAAAGGAATACTCGATACAATGCTTCGTGCCCACCGAGCTGCGCAACAAGAGCGACGAGGATCTCTTTGCGGAGCAGGTGAGGGCCCTTCACGGAATCGCACGCGGGGACACGTATAAAACCGCTGATAATGACCAGGCGATTTCGTCGCACTTCACAAATCATTTTGCTCTTTGATAAATTATACAAAACATACGGTGCAACTAGGATCTCTTTGCGGAGCAGGTGAGGGCCCTTCATTTCCATGGGCGCGGGGACAGGTATAAAACCGCTGATAATGACCGATGGCGATTTCGTCGCACTTCACAAATCATTTTGCTCTTTGATAAATTATACAAAACATACGGAGCAACTAGGATCTCTTTGCGGAGCAGGTGAGGGCCCTTCACGTTTTTCCCGCTAACTCCCGTTCCCATGGGAATTTTGCAATATCCTGTTGTAACTAAGCTTTAAATTTACTAAGGTACCTGCATGCCTTTCAAGCGTCTAACTTAAGCGGTTTAGATTTTTCATACAAAAGGATTTTCCCGCTAATTCCCGTTCCCGTGGGAATTCCTAAGTATACTATAACCTGCCCAGGAGTATGAAGAATAATTGTACCAAGTTTCGTTAAAATCCGTCGAGTAGTTTTTGTTTCTATAAGGAACATACAGACAGACAGACAGACAGACACAAAAATTTTACTGATTGCATTTTTGGCATCAGTATCGATCACTAAGGGGGTGACCCCTGATAGTTATTTTGAAAATATATTTCATGTACAGAATTGACCTCTCTACAGATTTATTATAAGTATAGATTAAAAATTATCCTGCTTTCGCCTCCGAGATTTATTTTACCATGTAGTACCCCTGTACGACAACCCAATCAGCACACAATCTTCAGCGTAGTAGTATTAAAAAACAAAAGAGCGGGCAACCCCACCCCTACCACGCTGTGGGCTCGGTGTCCGAGCGGTCTCATTCCTTTGTGCGCACGCGCAACGACCGCACGCAGTATAAGAAAAATGCTTAAGTGACGTCACCAGGACGTTTTTACCGACAAAAAACGTAATTATTTTAAGTTGTGCAGTGTAGTGACGAGAATTAGACCCAACAAAAGGTTGGTTGTAACAACTATTTTGTGCAAGTGCTCGTACATTTTTATTATAAGCGTTGTGACACGACGCGTAACTTTGACCCATTTTTAGCTCCAAGTTAACGCGCGATGTTAACCAGTAGCCATTTTTTTAAAAAATGGCTACTGGTTAACATCGCGCGTTAACTTGGAGCTAAAAATGGGTCAAAGTTACGCGTCGTGTCACAACGCTTATAATAAAAATGTACGAGCACTTGCACAAAATAGTTGTTAAAACCAACCTTGTGTTGGGTCTAATTCTCGTCACTACACTGCACAACTTAAAATAATTACGTTTTTTGTCGGTAAAAACGTCCTGGTGACGTCACTTAAGCATTTTTCTTATACTGCGTGCGGTCGTTGCGCGTGCGCACAAAGGAATGAGACCGCTCGGACACCGAGCCCACAGCGTGGTAGGGGTGGGGTTGCCCGCTCTTTTGTTTTTTACTACTACTACGCTGAATATTGTGTGCGGATTGGGTTGTCGTACAGGGGTACTACATGGTAAAATAAATCTCGGAGGCGAAAGCAGGATAATTGAGATCTCTAATGATTTACAATACAAAATAATGTCATTAAGGTTTCCGTCAAAGTTCGCACTGCACATTAAAATATTATTAAATTCTTCACAAGTTTGCCAGAGTAAACCAAAAGCTGTTCCGCGCCAAGTTTACACGAATGAAATATTCATGAATGTAAACTTTATTATGAAATATTTTCGTCAACATTCCCGTCGAGAGCAACGCGACAGGTACGGAAACGGTCCTAAACATCTTTTAAGGAGGGCCAAAATATAGCACAGAAACATCGCCTCGTCTCCGAGCTTCACCCCGTGACTTTGCCTTATTAAAACCATGACACAACCTTATTCAGCATTTTTCACTCGACTCCAATTTATGATACTAACTGAAGACGACGCGCTACGGATTTGTAAAGAGCAAATAATAAATTATTAGGAATATATCTGAATTTTTGATGAAGTACTTACAGACGGCGGCCTTAACGCTGTGGAATCTGTATGTATACGAGTTAATTTTAGAACAAAAATGTAATGATATCTTGCAATTGCTTAACTGATCTAAGAATTGTATCTTGTAATAAGTATTTTATACGTAATTTGATTATAAAAAATCCAGTTTGAAAAACGAGATTTGCTTTTCCAGTTCCCTGTCAACATCACGCCTCTAATGAACGAAGACCAACTGTGGGGCTGTTTCTATAATTTCCCCGAAATATACGCTGACGTGTACTCTCCTGTGGTGCGCATACGCAACATCGAAGACGTGCCAGAACTTGTGGGCGGAGTTCTGACCAGAGATATGGTCACTGCTTGCCTCTCTTACCTAAAACGAACACCTATTTTAGGGGACTATGTGTACATTAAGCTGGATCTTTCTTCAAAGGTAAAGGGATAAAAATATTTACGCTATCAAATTCTAAAGTTAAGCGTATTAAAGAACTCACGTAGGATTTTCATTGTTACCGTTTGTAAGACCCCACAGTATTGTGACGGTAAAAGCTGCTGTTATTGTCCGTGTACCTTCGCTTGTTACTATTGTATCTTTTTAAAAAGCTTACCTACTATTCTGTGGTTGCCTGGTAGAGAATTCCACCCGGCTTTAATTCCGCCACTGTACAATACTTAAGTGCAAAAAGTTAATAAATATTCTATCGATTATTTTTTATTTTCAGCATTTAATCAACATAGACATACTCCAACACTACAAGTACTTGGTATACCTGGACTTATCCTCTAATCTGCTTACCGAACTGAGCGTGCTCTCCCATCTCCTCTACCTACAATTTCTCTCCGTTGCCTTCAACAGACTCAACACAGTCTTGGAATACGACACTCGTAAAATCTTTATCATATTTCGACAACGCTTTATTACGCTTCTCGCATTTTATTAACTACATTTTTATTTCAGCTCAGTGGTTCTTAACTGAGGTGCATTATAAATTTAACTCTGTGAAGAAAATAAGAGATCTAACAATGTTTTGGTCTATTACGATACTAGATTTATCTCACAACAATATAAAAAATATCAGCGGACTTGAAAGCTTGAGGTATAAAGGAAAGTTTTGCTGCTACAGCTTTTCAGCAGAAAATTTCATTCTGAAATAAGCATGAATGAATTGTATAATATTTTCTCAGATATCTACGTCGGTTGGATTTGTCGTTCAACCATATTCAGCGTCTAGAAAATCTGAATGACCTTCGTTTGCTATGGCTGGATGTTTCCTACAACAACATTTCCAGTTTCGAAATTGGTTCATCGACCGGCCTTTGGACGCTGTTACACCTTGAATATTTAAATCTGAACGAGAATAACTTGACTTCGATGAAGATATTCTCGGGATGCACCAGGCAAGTCCCGTTCAATATCTTTTTAGTACAGGGGCACACTAGACGACACGCGACAGTGACAGTTCGGTGACTGGACGCGACGACAGGTTGCGGCTCAGTGTTTCACACACTGAGCGTCTCATAGTCGCTATGAACAAAATATATGAAATTGTCGGCCGCAGCCTTTCGTCGCGTCTAGTCGCCGAGCTGTCGCTGTCACGTGTCGCCTAGTGTGTGCCTACACTTAATGTAGTTTGTATAGGCTTGCTTTTGATAACAATCTCGCTCGAGGACTGAGGAGTGCATTTGCAATCTATGATGGAGTGAGCTTTCAGCTTACCCATATGATGCCTACTCTCAATACTCGCAAAGGACACACATCGGATCCAATAACGCGTATAATAGCACGGCAGAGTCACCCAAATTGGATGTGTTGCCTCTGCTGACATACCTACAAAGGCACGTCATCCCTAAATTATTACAGGCGCACAGGAAATGCCTTTGCGACGAATACAGCTCTCGACAGAAGCATAACGCTTATTGACTGCATGAATTTAGGTAGAAATAAGTACATCCTGCTATCCTATTCTACTAATACCTATTATAAAAGTGAAAAGTTTATGAGGATAGATGGTTTTTGTCACTCTTTCACCCTCATAACGTTGAACCAATTTAGATGAAATTTAGTAGTTTGAGATCCAGGGAAAACATAGAATAGTTTTTATTTTGGTTATTGGAAAGAAGCATTCGCAGGTAATGAAGACTTTTTGAGATAGACCGAAATATAAAACGCGGGCGAAGCTAAAAAAGTGAAAAATATGTTTGCTTTATGTATTAAACTGTCAGCCCTTATTGCCAAGCCATAAGGTGATATTTGATTTACAGACTGCGAGAACTTCACGCGCGTAACAACCGGCTCAGCATGCTGCTAGAGCTGGCGGTGTACATGCGTCAGATGCGGCGCCTCATCGTCATCGACCTGCGAGCCAACCCCATCTGCGCCACGCCGGGCTACAAGGATGTCGTCATCAACACCTTCCCGATACTGCTCAGCTTGGACGCTGAGGAACTTGACCCTGTTGTACAAGTGAGCTACGTATAGACTACATTTTTGTAGCATAACCACCCCTATTGCATAGGAACTTCACGCTCGTAACAACCGGCTCAGCATGCTCCTAGAGCTGGCGGTGTACATGCGTCAGATGCGGCGCCTCATCGTCATCGACCTGCGCGCCAACCCCATCTGCGCCACGCCGGGCTACAAGGATGTCGTCATCAACACCTTCCCGATACTGCTCAGCTTGGACGCTGAGGAACTTGATCCTGTTGTGCAAGTGAGCTACGAAAGACAACAGTCTACTCAAGACTGCATTTTTGTAGCAAAACCTCTCCCCTATAGTCCAGTCAAATTAGACATGAACCCTGCAATAATTCGCATACAGCTGAAAATTGGTACGAATGTTAGGAGCACTATTATGAATTAACTGTGAAAAGTCCCCATCGATCCGACATGTGCTAAAAAAAAATTCAAGGTCAAACTTAATAAAAAACGGGTTTTTGAGATTTTCAGCCAAACGGTAAGTTTTATCACAAAAATATGTATGACAAGGTTTAAGACCATACAATTATCTATCAAAATTGTCTATACACTTTCTCTTAAGAGTCAGCGTTTCTGAGATTCGATGATCCGAAGAGTCAAAAAAGTGTTATCTTCATAACGGTCTTACACATAAATCCAATTTGATATCGCCTCGTGCCACGACTCAGCATTGTATCATGATGTGTTGTCGACGTCGAATATAAAATGATCCACCTCAATGTCGTTTGTCATCTTTAATTGTCGAAAAATGTTTGCAACTTAGACGAAGGACTGCACCGTGAGTTTCTAAGATACGAAGATTTCGTGTCTATTATGTTTAAGAGCTCTTATATGCACACGTCACTACTCTACTTATAACTCTATGGTCACTCTTTTAGCCCGACCAAGTTAGACAATCCAGGTTATAATAATTCACATAGAGCTGAAAATTTGTGTGAATGTTAAGAACACCATCCTAAATGAAATGTCAAAAGTCCCCGACGATCCGTCATTTAAAAAAAAAGTTTTCGAAGTCCCAAGTTTTTTGCATTTTTAGGCTAAGTAGTAAACTTATCATAAAAAAAGATAAGAAATAATAGTAGATCATAAAATTATCTATTAAAATTGTCTTCACCCCTTTTTCCTAAGAGTCACCGATTATGAGGTAGGACGATTCAAAAAGTTAATTAAGATGTTCTCGTTATATGCACATGTTTCCACAACACCTATGAGGGTTGTTTGGCGCATTTTTTTTACCAGGTTTCCCCAGTAGGCTTTTTTTAAGATGTATTTGTTATCCTGTTTAATTCAAAACTATTTTAATAGAGTTGAAGTTGTGGACTTGTGGAGTAGTTAACAGAATGCGAATTCTCCAACTTTTTGCATCGTTACCACATAAACGGTGACTCTTAGGAAAAGCGGGCAAAGACAATTTTAATAGATAATTTTATGATCTACTACTATTTCTTATCATTTCTTATGATAAGTTTACTGTTTGGTGAAAAAATGCAAAAAACTTGGACTTCGTAATTTTTTTTTTCAAATGACGGATCGTTGGGGACTTTTGACATTTCATTAAGGATGGTGTTCTCAACATTCACACAAATTTTCAGCTCTATGCGAATTATTATAACCTGGATTTTCTGACTTGACTGGGCTAAAAGAGTGACCATAGAGTTACAAGTAGAGTAGTGACGTGTGCATATAAGAGCTCTTAAACATAATAGACACGAAAACTTCGTATCTTAGAAACTCACGGTGCAGTCCTTCGTCTAAGTTGCAAACATTTTTCGACAATTAAAGATGACAAACGACATTGAGGTGGATCATTTTATATTCGACGTCGACAACACATCATGATACAATGCTGAGTCGTGGCACGAGGCGATATCACATTGGATTTATGTGTAAGACCGTTATAAAGAAAACACTTTTTTGACTCTTCGGATCATCGAATCTCAGAAACGCTGACTCTTAGGAGAAAGTGTATAGACAATTTTGATAGATAATTGTATGGTCTTAAACCTTGTCATACATATTTTTGTGATAAAACTTACCGTTTGGCTGAAAATCTCAAAATCCCGTATTTTTTAAGTTTGACCTTGAATTTTTTTTTTTAGCACATGTCGGATCGATGGGGACTTTTCACAGTTAATTCATAATAGTTCTCCGAACATTCGTACCAATTTTCAGCTGTATGCGAATTATTGCAGGGTTCATGTCTATTTTGACTGGGCTACTAATGCATGAAAACTTTACGTAACAACTGGCACAGCATAGCGATCGTCTGATATTGCGAAAATAACACCATAGCGAATTTTCCATATTTTTTTTTATTTTCCATAATATTATTGGTACGTATTGGACGTATTGGTATTATTTGGATTTGTTACGATAAGTTTTGCCTTATGTTTATGGTTCAAACAAAATTACTTAAGTAGGTATTTACTTCCATTCATACGATTTGGTTGAGCTTTCAAAGCTTAATTGCGTAATTAAGTAAATTGGAAATTTTGAGCCATCACTAAATGATTCCTCATAGTTCATAAATGATTTAAATAAAATCCACCATCATTGTGTTAAAGCTCTACCTTTTCCTTGCCTATCGTCTCCTCGCATTGTTTAAACAGATTACAGCAAACTATCACTAACAAACTCGAAACATTGCACCGCCGCCAGTTTGCATACTAATAATTAACTTACAAGCTAATCACTAATAAGGCAAATTAGGTTGTAAGTTAGGTTCGAACGATCTCGGGGGAGCTATTACCTTGGAGCATTTAATGGATACTTATTAAGTTGTTGCTAAATTTAGTTTAATACAGAATATACCAAGCATCGAAATAACTTTGCATCTCTAAGGTTTAAGGCTTTGCAAGGTCTAAGGTTGTGGTTTATCTAATCTAAACCTAAGTAATAGGATCTATCTATCTAGACAATTTTGAAATGTTAATGTTTATTTTGAAAAGCTTTTTAAATGTATGCTGTGCCAATTGACGTACATTTCAAAAGCATGCCAATATATTTTTTCTAGATAGGGCCCAAAACAATACTCAATAATCAACCTATTCTTTTTGTTTCTTACTTTTAACTAAAACGGATAATCAAAAGTACCTATCACCAACTTATAACATTTGTGTTCCCACATTATTTCAGAGAAGCTACAAAATGGACATGACACCCGACATCAACACATTTGCCACCCGCCGTCTGCTGAGGCTGCTCTATATCGAGCAGCTCTCTCGGGCTCACGTGTCGCCCCATACGCCTCCCGCTGACACCACTGAGATACCACTGGTGGTTCTGGTCGGATGTGAAGCTGTCGGCAAAGGTATCTTTAAATAGTCCTTACCTGACTATCTATGTACTTGTAATGACGTCAACGGAGGAGAGCTTCTGAGAATGTTCTACTTCGAACAGCTGTCTCGGGCTCACGTGTCGCCCCACACACCCCCTGCTGACACCACTGAGATACCACTGGTGGTTCTTGTCGGGTGTGAAGCCGTTGGCAAAGGTAAGGTTATTTCTACATGACTATCTACTTGTGATGACGTCAACGAAAATAAGAACTGCTGAGACTGCTCTACATCGAGCAGCTGTCTCGGGCCCACGTGTCGCCCCACACGCCACCTGCTGACACCACTGAGATACCACTGGTGGTTCTGGTCGGGTGTGAAGCCGTTGGCAAAGGTACGGTTAATCTTATGTGACTATCAACTAGTGGTGACGTCAACGAAAGAGAGGTTCTGAGACTGTTCTTTGAGACAGCTGTCTCGGGCTCACGTCCCACACGCCCCCCGCTGAGATACCACTGGTGGTTCTGGTCGGGTGTGAAGCCGTCAGCAAAGGTAAGGTTATTTTCTACATGACTATCGACTCGTGATGACATCAAAGGAGAGCTACTGAGGCTGCTCTACATCGAGCAGCTGTCTCTGGCTCATGACTCACCTCTCTCGAGCTCGCGTTGACAGACTTTTGACGTTTATTAAAGTTAAAGTAAGATGGTGCAACCCTGCCTAAAAGATTATCGACTTGTGATGACGTCAGAGAAGATAAGCTTCGTAAGTTCAGAGAGACTTGGAATGCTGAAGAGCCATTGCTCTTGATTGGTCATTACCAATCGCGATGAAAGTTCACTTTGACCTTCTCGCTCATCTAGTTGAGTAAAGTTATGCTCTAGCTTAGATACTTTAAGTCTTACAGTGAGCAACTGTCTTAAACTTGAAGGAACACTGCATAAAGTTTCTATGACGTAGGTACTTACTTCTGTCTGCATCAGACACAGGCTGCAATAATACACTAGGCATATTTCTTACATAAAATGCATATTATAAGTATCTTGATAGAGTATATTATCATGTAGTAACAAGCAAGTTCAAACAAATCTCATAACGACTTCTCCTGAATATGTTAAAATTACCTTACTTAGTTCAAATGGCAGATATCAAGCTCAATAATTGGTCTGAAACTATTGATCATCTAGAAACAATAGCAACACTTTGCCACTTGGGAACTATGCTGTTCCAGCCCATTGTTATACGATTGTGTTTAATTAACCGATTGTTAGTTTAAATGTACAGTCATCATGAACAAACTTAAGTTGGAGTTTTCAATTGTTTTTCATTCTAGGAACCCTAGCCCGGCGTCTGGTGGAAGAATGTAGCGCACACATTGAACTGGGCTACTTACACACTACAGCACCCTACCACTTCCCGAATCGCTACAGGGAAGTATCGAGGAGCAAGTTCGACGACATGTTGTTAGCCGGAGATTTTCTAACTTACAGTGAGATGGACGGGGAGTCTTACGGGCTAAGTAAAAGCTTCAAATCGTATTTGTCGCTAGGTTGACTAGACTTGTATTGTTCGTTTCTACCGAAAACAACATGAAGTTTACTCTGAAAAGAAATTGTACATTTCAGTTAACTTTTCCAAGCTTCGACTTTCTTTTGGCGATTTAAGTTTAGCTGTTTGATTTGAATTAAAAATGTACGAAATTGTTATTATTTTGTGATCTGTCGCTGAATATGTTTCGCAATTTTCCTAATTTTTGAATCGAGCTTTGATCACGTCTCTACACCATTATAACCTACCTACTTTGCACTTTTACGCCATACTTACATCTACGAACTATTATTTTCGTACTGGCATGGCATGGGTACCTATACTACGGTGCCGCGGTAGCGAAACTGAATAATGTGTATAAAACTCTTCACAAGTGGTCGCGCAATCACAAACTTCCCAACTGCCACAGATGTTTCCAGGCCGTGAGCGCAAGTTTTTTAGTAATTCCGTTTTTAAAACTAGTCTACAACAATGCTTTACTCATACTGAGTATGAAAATCAAGAAATAATAGTGTTATTTAACATTATATTTTATTCTGAGATAGAGAGAGCTGATTATGTGAACTTAATGTCTACCTAAACATAACTCTACCATATTTTTTTCAGGCCGCGAAGAAGCTTTCATCAACGAAGGCAAAGTAAAAGTTGTGTGCATGGACCTAATTGGAGCACTAATGCTGAAGTCTCGCGGTCTCAGGCCGTATTTAATTCTCGTCACCCGCCTGGACAAACGATTGCTTCTCATAAAACAGAAGGAACTGAAAACGTAGGGCACTAAGTTATAATAAATTATTTTAAAAATACAATCATGTTTACAGTACCCTAGATTTTTGATCTTAAACAAGATTACTTATAAGCTACATTTTTATTTCTAGGATCCGGAATATAAACAACGAACATAGAATGTCTTTAGAACCGCCATTGGAGAGGTCCACTCTACAAGTTCTGCTTTCTGGGCGTATCATTATAACAGGAATCCTTAACGAAATTTTACTGGTATTTTATTTTATTGTGTCTTCTTTAACTGAATCTAGACAGCTACTTACTTTTAGTTGTATTTTACAGTATCTGCCAGAGGAAAAGGAGAAGAGTGAGTTTGTGATAGAGTCGGAGTGCTCCCTCATGATGGACAGCGAAGCCCGCCAAGCTGCCAAGGCGTACGCCAGGGGATTTAACATGATTACATTACTAGCCTCTGTAAGTTAAATCTCACTGTATGTCCTTCCTTTAACACAATTTAAGATATTTTGAGAAAATTATTTGAGTCTACCAGTTAAGTATTTCCAATTTGTTCCTTTAATATATTTTTATAGAGCACAACTTCAATAGACGATGCGTGTAAGGACGCTCGGGAAACGAGTCAAATGGAACCCAGCCTCTACTCCCTGTATAAGGAGTCGCAGGGCACCGACGAGTACAACAGCTACGCTAATGGCCAGAACTCCTACCAAGAGCGAAACGCTCGAAAGGAGTGTGTATAAATAAGCATTTAATAATGATCAGTTAGGGACTCCCCACACTAGCGTCTTTCGAGCTTTGAGGTAACGCGTCGTCATCTTGCCGGCGCCAGCGCAGCGTTGACGCGATGCCTACGCAACGCTTCACGGCTTCTGACGCTACAGCAGGCAAGAAAATGACCGTCGAAACACGCTAGTGTGGGGAGTCCCTTAGTTCTCAAAAAAGTATTTTCCTCTAGGCATGCGGATAGTCGTCCATCCCGAACTAAAAATGATAAGCCAGCAAGTATTTCAAGACCGAAAAGTGTCGACTTTAGTAGATACGCTTCCTCGACATGGAAAGGTAAGCAATATTAAAATAGCTACTTTACTATGGTAAATGTTATTTTAATACTAATAATAAAATAGCCACTTTACTATGGTAAATGTTATTTTATTACTTTCTTAAAGGTTTTTCGGTAGTCCCGGACAGTTCTAAATCATCAAAATCGGTGACGTTCACATCGCAAGAAAATGAGGCGGAAGATAAGATAGACCCCAGCGGAATGTTGATCGAACCACGGCATTTATCTGAGAAAGAAGGTAACGACGACAAGGGGACTATTCCACAAGCACGTTGAAAACTGCATCTCGACGCTTAATTTTTTCTTTATTTTTTATCCACGATGAAGCTTAATATCTTAATGTTGTAACTTTTTAGGCTAGCTAGAATAACTGGCTGCAGGCAACTACTCGCTTATGTTAACATTCCAACATTTTCATCTTAGGTGAAAAGAACAGAACTGCAAGATCCATCAGCGGCAAGGTTCCATGGAAATCACGTCGGACAGCCACGTCTGGCTCTGGAGACGACCTAGATCTGTGGCTAGCATTCTTGTTAGAAACGGGTTTGCTACAGGCTAGCAGTATAACTCGTAATTTGTGTAAGTACCTATAATGGGATAGATGAAAAATTATCCTGCTTTCGCCTCCGAGATTTATTTTACCATGTAGTACCCCTGTACGACAACCCAATCCGCACACAATATTCAGCGTAGTAGTATTAAAAAACAAAAGAGCGGGCAACCCCACCCCTACCACGCTGTGGGCTCGGTGTCCGAGCGGTCTCATTCCTTTGTGCGCACGCGCAACGACCGCACGCAGTATAAGAAAAATGCTTAAGTGACGTCACCAGGACGTTTTTACCGACAAAAAACGTAATTATTTTAAGTTGTGCAGTGTAGTGACGAGAATTAGACCCAACAAAAGGTTGGTTGTAACAACTATTTTGTGCAAGTGCTCGTACATTTTTATTATAAGCGTTGTGACACGACGCGTAACTTTGACCCATTTTTAGCTCCAAGTTAACGCGCGATGTTAACCAGTAGCCATTTTTTTAATGATCAAACGAACTTACCAAGTGAAGTTCGATCTAAATTATCCTGTTTTCGCCGAAGAGATTTAAGGTCCCTCCCAACCCGAAGATTTCTATATCTTCTTCCCTGGAGGTAAACGTCAATGTCATCTCTTCTCTAAATATAATGAGACCGCTCGGACACCGAGCCCACAGCGTGGTAGGGGTGGGGTTGCCCGCTCTTTTGTTTTTTAATACTACTACGCTGAATATTGTGTGCGGATTGGGTTGTCGTACAGGGGTACTACATGGTAAAATAAATCTCTTCGGCGAAAACAGGATAATTTAGATCGAACTTCACTTGGTAAGTTCGTTTGATCATTCAATAAGCTACGGCGATTTTTTATTGAAAGGCATTGGGGGAGGCCTATGTTCATCAGTGGACGTCCTATGGCTGAAATGATGATGATGATTTTTTATTTTTCTGTTTAAATGAATAAGTATTCGTCTTTGTTTCATAGCTGACGTCGGTTCCCGGTACGAACCACGACTCGTAGATGACCCTGAATCAATCATAAGGCAGCTAGCAGACTATTTGCAAGTTCCTTGCGAAACATACACTACTAATATCAGAGATGAATACGAAGACATACACCGCAAATCACCCGGACTTTTTTGGGACACGGTATTATCGTGAAATTCTTGAATATGATTATTTTAACGATGATATTTCTGTTTGCTTGTAGCTAACAACTAGAAGTAATGCACATGTAATTGTAAAAATATGTAGTAAAACATTGTCATTTACGACAAATTATAATCATAAGTTCTCCACAATTTGCATGTCTTGTGATTTTATATTTTATGCTTATGTTATTCTCCAGGTGACAACAGACAATCCAAATGAAGCTTTTATCAAGGTGAAAGGTATAATTCACAATATTTTCAATTCTCAACCCAATCTCAAGCCAATGTTTGATATTGACTTTGCAAACATGCAAGACTACCCCACAGTTGAGAAGAAATTAGACAGGATTTGTAAGGAAATAGCCCCTCAGAGACTGTTCTATTAAAATATATGCATTACAAAAAATTCAGAATGTTTTTATTTGTAATAGATAGGTACAATTAAGTAAATTAGTACATAAGTATCATACATTCAGTGACCAAAAAGTTAAGTCTGAACTGGATTCTTAATTGGTTGCTTGTCTTAACACTTTACATTACTAAATGTCTCACACCGAGATCATTTGAACACCATGGTGTCGAGCATTGCACCAAGAGATTGGACTATGTTGTTTGACATGAGAACATCTACTTTTTCTTCTAAATGCCTCTTGGGGTCTTGCTTGCCAACGTTTTTGATGGCTAACTGTTCAGGAGTCATTTTCTCTTCATCTTCTAAGGCTTTGTTGTAGTTTTTAGCCAGGTCAAGCATGTCTGTGACTGTAGTCTCGTTGATTGAACAGTGTTCTTTGTAGTCTGAGAGAGTAAGGCCATCCATCCAGGATTTTTTGTGTAGATTCAATAACATTTTCTGCTCCAGTTCGTTCTTCCTGTAGTTTATACTGATTGAGTAGTAGTGGCGGTTTAGGCCGTGGATGAGAGCTTGAACGGAAGGCTTTTGTAAATGACCCAAGTTTGAAGTGGTCTGCCTCGGTTCCTGCCCAAGGACCATCATGTTGGGATTGATGAGACGGAATGCATCAATGACGACTTTTCCTTTCACTGACTGAATAGGGTCAACTACCACAGCCACAGCTCGTTCAGAAAGAGCCTCAAATGACTGTTGAGTGTTTATGTCTACCCCAGACAACCAGCAGCCAAACCCAGGATGTGAATGGTACCTGGAAATGATATAGGTTGTTATGTAGATAGGTCAACATACTAACCATGAAACATTTTTGCTATTTCAGAATCAATACAAAACTCATTAACAAAACATTAGACACTTTGACAAAAATGTTTGAGCTCAGTCAAATTGCTTACCAGCCAACCACCATTTCAGGGCGTCCAGTTTGTTTCAGCATATCCAACATCTTAGCTTGGAAGACGGGGTCTACCGCCTCTACAGACACTCCTGTACCAGTCTGAGGCATAGCAAACACGTCAATCACCCGCACAGTATAGTCATCCACAAATTCACCTGGAATTGAAACAAGCACATAGTAAATAAACTTGAGTAGCAGTCTGATTTGCTCAATTACTTAAAACAAATATTTTAATTATTAATAATGGAATCAATAATGCTTCTGCCGTGTGGTGACGGCAGAGTAGAATACATTCGTCACTCTTCCCGCGGGTGTCGTAAGAGGCGACTTAGGGACTACACATCAAACAGAGAACAGGCAGCAGCGCTCTCTGACAAACATAAATCTTTTAAACTGCAATCTCCAACCCACCTGCCAAGCGTGGGGATTATGGCAAAACCCTCTACTATAGTGGAGGAGGCTCATAGTCCAGCAGTGGACTGTAAAGGGCTGTTGATGATGAATGCTTCTAAATCTTAATATTTGGTATGAAAAATAATGCTTGTCATGTAAACAACCACAATGAGGTTATAATTTCAAAACTAGTAAATATCAAAAAGAATACACATCCTTACCTAACATTAGACCCATGACTTCCATGGGGACGCCAGCCCGGCCATGCTTCAGCATTTTCAAGAGGGCCAGTGATGAGATATAAACCTGCTCTGCTGTGTCCACCACAGGCGCATCAGTGGGAGGAGGAGCCTGTGAGAGGCCTGGCACTCCACCACCAAGACGTAGAAGACGATCCATTTCACAATTCAACTTCTAAACGCTTGAATCTAAAACAAAGCCAAGATACGGGTTGTAACACACCAGAACCGGATGACATTTCATATCAAATTTAGCACGAAATTAGAATAACGCCATGGATTTTCACTAAACATAAGACTCACATTTAATATTTTTATCAATAGATCAACATGTAAATCCAAATATTTCACACAAATCAGCAAAATCTAAAATAATGAACGAATAATCGTATTCATTGGTGATAGAAATTAATGACAGCTGACGTCGAAAATGCAAGCTCATTTGAGGTTGCGTTCAGTTTATGATTAAGGATGCATTCAAAAAAAAATATTTTTAGGAACATTCCTAAAGCCTTGCCTCCATTAGGGCATGAGCTGAAAATATGTAGAGATGACTCGATGTTGTGAAATCTCTTCGTTTCAGCATTTTACATTTTGTATTTAGTTATTTCGCGCATAAAACCCAAAAACCATTTCGAAATTAAAGAAAACTGCCCCCGTAGACAAGTCACAAAAAGTTGCAATTTTAATTTCAATAACTTCATGAATGCGCTACATAAACAAAACGACGGAACCCCTGAAAAAATGGAAATATAATAATTTTTCAAAATACTTTCGAGGGACGAAGAGATTTCGAAATCACAACTTGTTGTTACACGTTATAAAACGTTTCTTAAATCTCAATGAGGGAATTAAAAAAAAAATTTTTTGACAATTGTTTTGTTGACACCTGTCATTCCTGTCAATCATCCCTGTCATGCGCGCAGCGAGCTCAAAAATTTGGATTAATTTAATTTTTACGGAAATTTATTATAAATAAATACCCAATTTAACAGAAGTCATGTCTAATAAATCGGTACTTCCACCGAAATTCGCTGACGGGCCGCATGGTTTAGGTATGCATGACGTTAACAGGAGTTAAAAGAAAATCCTTTAGTACCGACAAGTGTTTTAAAAAATAAAAAATACTTTATTCCAGGTGATCCAGATGATAGGAGTCTGCGGAAAGTTGAAGTAGAGGTCGTGATACCAAAGCTCATGAGAGAAAAAGCAAAAGTAGAGAAATGCCCAAAAGAAGTTTTTGATTTTGAACAGTGCTGTAAAGAGTCTTCACTACTAATGGTGGTAAAATGTAGAAAGCAAAACTCAGCTCTAAAAGATTGTATCACAGCTTGGTATAGAAATGATGAGTTTAAACAGTTATGCACTGAAGAATATTTGAAGGAGCGTAGTGAATATAGAAGAACTGGAATAAAGAAAGCTACTAAAAGAGCATAAAGTTTATAATTTAATGTAGTTGTTATGTAGTGTAAATACAAAAATTGTTTAATCATCATCTTCGTTTATTGCAATTGGCATTTTTCTTGATAACACAATTTCCCGTACACTGTAAACATTTAGATTGTCAGGAATATCTATGACATCCATATCTGTTTTTTTTACTTCTGCTAGCATAATTTCCTGTAAAAGAAAAATACATGAAGGTATTCTTATTTACTAAATTCAAAAGCTACATTACTATATCAATTATTTTTATTATAGCTACATCAAACTAAAAGTCTTAGCTCTGATTACAGCCTGAAATAAAATTCTTTACCTTTACTGTTGTAGTTGCCATTCTTAGATGACCAAGAAGGGAAACCCAGTCAGTCTGCTCTTCCTCACATTTGATCACTACAATGTAATCTGCATGCATAATTCCTGGAGCTTCCTTGTACAACACTAAAAACAACAAATCTTATTAGAATGAGGTTGCATGTAATTTTTTAAAATTGAAAAGAACACAACTTACAGTAATCTCCACCAAACTTAATCCCAGGCTTTACAATATATCCTTTAGATCTAAAATAATGATATACTACATATTTTGGAATGAACATGAAGTCTATATTCAAAAACAGTTGCCAACACTGGTCTGTACTTAACACTTTTCCATCACTATTCAGGATTTGTAAGCAGCCTAGACCATATGATAAGAAGAATGCCTCACAAGGTGTCAACATTAATTTCTCTGGCACCTTCACTTTATTGAGGCAACATTTAGGTTTAAAATTGGCAAAGTAGTTATCTCCTTCTGAATCACTGTCTGGAGCTATAACCACAAGATCCTGTTTATCACAAGTACTAAATGCATCCATGTTAATAGGTACAGGAATTTCCTCCCCCGATTCACAAGCTTCTCCCTCATCATCACTGGACACCAAATCTATGACATCTTTCTTTTTACTCTTCTCACCATCTTTTATAATCTTTGCTGTGAGCTCATCTATGTCTCTGAAAAATGTATCAGACTCTTGTGTGTCCTTCGACTTACTAAACTTTTTCTGCCAGTCAGTCCTTTTAAGAAACTGTCTCTTTCTCATCATACTTGGGCTGTCATCATTTTGTATTACTTTGGGTTTAGAGCGAGACAGCGAACCTTTCCCAAAACACCCCATATGATGTAGCATGGCCATTTCTTCAGATGATCTCACTTCAACATTAAAGCCATTGAAATACCCAGTGAATATAATCCGCATAGTACTATCTAATGGAAACCGTAATGATTCAATTGCCTTCGGAAATAAGTTATTTGGGTCATTACTTTGACAATCATCTGATTGGGAAGAAGTCATGATGACAAAAGCGCTGGCCAGTTTCCAAATTTATTTACGGCCGATGTGTCACGTCACGGTTCCGAGTAAATAGCGTAAAATATGAAACTGTAATAAAAAAAATACTGTGAAATATTAAACAGAGTGACTATGAACTAAGATAAACAAAATTCTTGCACGTTTTAGCTTACCGGTTGTTGTGTAAATAGCAAACATGAATTTGTCAAAGAAGGTGGAAGACAAGTTTAATCGTAAGTCTTTTAACTTTTCTTAAATTCACTTTGAAATGTTTCTTAACTTTCACACAATATTAATAACATAAATTTTCCACGAATTTACAAAGTCATGAAAATTATTTACAATTTTCAATGTTTTTTTGCGAAAATTTGACATTTGACATAACATGACATTTTTGTATTATGATGTGAAATTTATTCAAATTATTCAGAGTATTACCTATATTTTTTAGAATGAATCATAATATTTTAGAATAAAAATATAGCATAAACCAATTTAAATTATTAAAGATACGGTCGATTAAATAAAAATATTTTAAACGAATGTAGGTAATAAATTTCCGAACGAATATCAACACAAATCACAAATGTCATTTTTTTAGTAGGTTGCAATATTATCGATGCTAATCAGTGTCGACAACATAAAATCTAATATTGCTATCTCGTTTTCTTTCAGCGAGAAGAGTATTCATAAGAGAAGGTAAGAAAATAATTATCACAGTAATGGTAGCTCACTTCACTTAATACAGTCACAAGACCTCTCAGCTGAGGCTGTCTGCTTTTCGATTTTGTAAATCCAAGAATTCCCTGAATTCTATCCCAATTTCATAGCGGGATTAGATTTTATAGCCAAAATGGCTAATATTAACGATGAAAGTGTGAGCAAACTTATACCCACGCTGGGAGATGATAAAATCGGTAAGGTTCTGAGATATACTTTGTATTATTCCTGAAGTCTTGTTTTGCGCACCTAGTTATTATGGTTTGTGTTAAAATTTCTAGATATGATTGCTGCTACCAGTGTGTTGCAAATTCGAGCCAGCGAAATCCGTCAATCCCAAATTAATTGGCAATCTTACTTGCAGTGAGTATTGATCGTAAATTACGTCATAAATGCGTGTTCCAACCCTTTAATTCGTATTAAATTTGTCTTATTAGATCGCAAATGATCACCCAGCGTGACCATGACTTCATCGTGAACTTGGATCAACGCGGGCACAAGGACCTGCCCGACAAGAACCCCGACACCTGTGCCGAAGTGTTCCTCAACCTGCTGACCCATATCAGCAAGGATCATACAATCCAGTATGTCTTGGTGCTGATTGATGACATTCTCTCGGTAAGCAATATCTCATTATTGTCTGAACTCAAGTAATGCATAACCAGTCATCCCTCATCAAATTATCAAATATTTGCAATTTTTAATGTTGATTGCAATTAGATAACTGATAAACAGGTTATACATATATGGGTCATTCCACAAAAATATGTCAACTCTTAGTCCGCGCCACATTTCACATGGAATATTTGTTAATATTTTATTCCAAAATTGTTAAATAACAGCTCGCAATGTGTTTTATTCATCACCCATTTATATTTTTTTAAACTATTTTTAAAACATCTTAAATTCCTTTTAAATAACCCATAACGTCATTCCCTAGTCATGTCCGTACTCCAAAAGTTTGTGTTTTGGAACCCATATTTATAGAAACATCAACTTGATCCTTTGTTTTAATTAACAAATAATCTATTTAAACGTATATTACACCAAATCCTATTAATATTTTGCGGTTTCAATAAACAATAATTTGATTTTCTTAAGTTGAAAAAGAGTCCACAGCTTTTAACGTCATTCCCTCGCCACGCACTGATTTTATAATTTTGCGCTTTAATAAGTATTTAGAGTGAATGACATTTAGTTGAGTTTAAAGTACGATACGAAGTTATCTTTAGACCATACGGACTTTGCGGCTACCGTTCTTTGAATTAGTGCAAACGTGCCAATTGTTGCGGGAACATGGTGTTGATCCAGTCGCTTCGTCAGTCCCTAGTTGAGTAGCTTTATTGATTACAATAGGAAATTGTATATAATTTAATAGTATTTACGTGTAGTTTTTAGGCTATTTTCGGCACATCGTTTTAAGCATCTTATAATATAAAATTAATCTGCATTTGTGTTAAGTTTTACTCCAAATCGTCAGTCCCTAGACCGTCAGGCCCTAGCTTTTAATGGCGCTAGGGACTAAGTTACTAGTTATGGAATGACGTTTTTTATAAAGTGAAAATTACAAAACAACTACATTAAGTATATTAACTTATCTATAAATGTTAAGGTTATAAATTTTATACTTTATAAAAAGTCATTTGAGTAATGTAGTATGAAAAAATTTAAAGTTATAATTTCTCCTAAAATAAAGCATAAAGTGACTGGCCCTTTTAGACATAACATAATTAATATATAAACTATTATTTACACTAATAAAGTATTCAAAAGCACCTTAAAAAAGTTTAGGACAAAATGATGTCGAAAATATACACATTTTCATGGAATGACCATATACATATAATTCTAAACATCAAATCTCAGGAACAAGTCAACACATCAAAATATTTTTCCTATAATTTTTGCATTCCTTGAGGTTTTATATTAATTGTTTTTACTGATTATCATTTCCCACACACAAAGTGCAACTGATCAGGTAAAGCACACAACCATGTTAATACCTATTAATAAATATTTTTATTTATTATGAAACACAAACGGTGTAAATGCAAACTTTATTTGATCTATATCTTTTATTTATAGGAGGATAAATCCAGAGTGAAGATTTTCCGCGAAAATAGATACATAAATAATGTGTGGCAGCCATTTTTGAACCTGCTCAATCGCCAGGATGAGTTTGTGCAGCACATGACTGCGCGTATCATCGCCAAGCTCGCCTGCTGGCACCCTCAGCTGATGGACAAGAGTGACTTGCATTTCTACCTCTCATGGCTGAAGGACCAACTCAAGATGAACGTAAGAACACTCAATAATCTGTAATTCTTATTAGAAAGTTTTTAAACATTTTTGTCAGTTGTAATTTAGAACAAAGTGCCTGCATGCAAAATATTACTGATAGTATTAAAGTTAAATCAATAGCAATTTTTGCATGAGGTTTTATAGCATGTCTAAGTTGATTTTGATATGTTTTTGTGATTTTATTGTGTATTGTCAAGCTGGGGATCATTACACCATACCATCACTAATGCTTTGCTAATTTACACTAATATTTTTTGTGTTTCTTTTTCTTTATAAGTTCTATTTCATCATTTTTTTAAATGATTAGGAAAAGTTTTGCAGTTTTAAATTTGTTTATTTTTGAACACTCAATAATATTAATTCAAGTACTAAAGGATTTTGTAAAATTACCTAGTTCTATCTACCAAGACTTCATTATGTAAAGAATTCAATAGTCACCACCCCATGGATTTTTTTAATTCAAGTAATCTTTTCTAATGTATAATATAATTAAAATAATCATGCTATCTACCTCACTAACATCACACAATTAACGAATAAAACCAAAAACAAGCACACCTATTACTTTACTAAATTGCAAACTAAAGTATGTAAGTAAGCACTAGGCCAATGAATGGGGAAAAACCATACAAATATGTAAATAATTCAACACAAATATTGCCACTATTGGTTAGTATCTTAGAATGAAAGCATTTTCAGGTGGGCGTCACAGTAGAAAAAGTTCGTAATTATTTCACATTCATCAATCATCTCATTTACATTGTTAAGTATTGCTGCACCTCAAGATTTACTCATCATTTACTTTATTTCATCAATAGACAAAAATATCTAAATAGACACTGCCATATAGTTAGACGATACAACATAGGTACATGATTATTGTAATGTAATTTATAAAATATTTTTTAAAGTCACTTACGTTTTTCATTTATGTTCATTTCTGTTTCAATTTTATCACGCCATAGTAGGCACCTATAACAACAAAGTAGTTAAAAAATTAGACAAAATCACAATATTCATGTAACAACTTTAATTTTTAACGTAATTTAGTAGAATTTCTGCTGTCTGCAATAACAGTATCATTGTGTTCTAAACCACTGAAACTTAACGTTGTGAGTATCATCCGCAAGTATCACGCATCGTGGGGCGTAGAGGCAAGTACCGCGACTGAAAGGTTTGTTTTCTGGCAAGGCGGAGAAAATGTCCGCCGAGTTAGCACAGGCTGAGCAGGTTATGTTGGCGCATGAGAAAGAGCATTTCGCCGTCGAAAAGATCACCAAACACCATCAGCACAAGGAGAAGACCGCCACGGCCGAGGGCCCTGAGAAATATTCGAGCCTTTACAGCTCTTTCGACGAACTGAAACCCCATGAGGACTTGCCGCCTGGTCTGCATCAGGTACTCTACATAGAAACACGAAAATAATCCTATACAACTGTCGTAGATCTAGGATGTGTCTAACAGAAATGTGGGTAAACCGTTGAGATATGAAAAAATATAAAATGTGAAATAATTACTAAAATGTGATGTATTTTCTAACATTTATAAATTTTACTTATAACATTACTCATTAACCATTTGCATGCTTGCTCGCATAATTACTATTTTCGCTAATATGTCATTACAAAATTACAAGGAATGGAAAAGCTTATGTATAAAGTCTGTTTTATTATGTAACAACTTGCTTTATTTAGCGTCTGTTATATCCATGTAGCTTTTGTGGAAATTTATATTTTATGAGTTTAAATTATTGTCTTTCTACTCTGAAAAGTTCCTAGTACGTAACAATGAAAAAATCTTCTTCTCTTCTATTTGTGATTCCATCTGCAGTTACGACGTAGCTGCAATTTGTACTTGGCTGTATGTAGCATGCATGCTATCTGCATATTTATTTTATTATTCGTCACTTTCGTGGCCGAAAACCAGCTAAATATTGTTATGCATTATAATTTATAATGTATGGAATCAAATATCTTCCAAAAAGGTAAAAATTACTTTTTTTAATATTTTAACATCTCTATAAAACCTTTGTGGTACTCTATGCTCAACTTGTGTTTTCTTTTAATATTCGTTAAAATTTTTGAATGATCCTCAATCTTTGGTGGGTAAAATTTATTTTCAACCTCAATTTCATTTAAACCTAACGACTCCCATGTTGATCAGGTTATTAATATTTATTTTAATACTTTTTTATAACGACTTGCACAGAACAACGACTACATCCAGTCGGTAGCGCGCTGCCTGCAGATGATGCTGCGCACCGACGAGTACCGCTTCGCCTTCCTGTCGGTAGATGGCATCTCCACCCTGCTGTCCATCCTCGCTTCAAGGGTTAACTTCCAGGTAAGGGTCTATAAGTTTTGCAATTAAGAATGTTACTAGGTATGCAAAATCACTTGAAACCTATGTTACAGTTAGGCTTTTACATTTACAAATACATTAGTTTTTATTTCATTCAAAAATACCCAGTAGTTATGATTTTATAGGCATTCAAAGTTCGCTTAAATATTGAGTCCCGCCGACGGTCACGTGACCCCGCGTGACGTACATTCACAGTGGCCGCTCACTAGAAAACGGATATAAACATACTTAAATACATTTTTTTGTAAATACAAACTTATTATACATACTAGCTGTGCCCGCGACTTCGTCCGCGTGGAATAATGACTTTGGGTAGGCACTTTTATTAATTTAGTCTAATTATTTTACAAATAGCTTTTGCCCACGACTTCGTCCGTGGAGAAGTCGAAAACGTTCTCATACGATTATTTTAAATGTTTTAACGTTATTATCTAAATGTTTGAATACTTTTAAAATATAAAAATCAGGTTAAATAAACATGAAAATATTTTTTTCTTATATTTTATGAATATGCAGCTCGGCCTTTGATCCGGTGAACGAAATCGAAAACTACACCTACCGCAGTATTATTGGTAAACTTTTTTTTATATTTTCCTACGGGTGCTAGAATCACCAAGCTTCCAGCATGCCACTGGCCGTGGGAGAAGGAGCTTTTCCTCAAGACTACTCCCACTACCTCAAGCGCCTCCGCCAAAACTCTCGCGCGAAAATGAGTTTATGTATACAGCGCAAGCAGGTGCCCGCGGCATGACTTTCATGCATTACTATGCATTGTTGGGCGAGCGCACGCAGCGGGCACCCACTCCGAGGTTAAGTGGAGGCCCCTAGAGTATGGTAGTCGTTAACATGACGTCATGATTGTAAAAAAATGCACTAATGAGTAATTAATATCAACTTTGAAGCAAATCACCACTAAAATAACTTTCTACCCCTTTTTAACATAGTTAGGGGGTGCATTTCACTAAAATACGCCACCTTCCAGCTCCATCATCAGATCAGCTCCATGTCATCATAATATTGCATGGTCATCCAAATCACATGTGTTTGCGAAATTTCAGCTTAATCGGTTGCCTGGAAGTGGGTCTTAATTCAGCTTGTAAGATTCCACCCATACAAATATGAGCCAGTCACTGTAATATGACGTCACGCGCATATAATGGCGGGCCGGCCGCCGCCCGCACTTTTAAAATTCAATATCTTGGAAACTAATTGACGTATCGAAATAATTCTTTCACGTGTATTTTTTATTTTTAACAGAGAATACAGAAAGCTAAAAAACAAAATTAGTGAACATTCTTCATTCAGTAGGTAGGTACTCACTGAAACTTCTAGTAAAATGAAAATACTCGACCGCGAAAGTGATAATGATCAAACAAGTAAACGGGTCTCAGGCTCGATCTTACCACCAACCAAACTCGAACTAGCTATACCACCAACCAAACCAAGTAGCAAAATTTTCTACTTGGTTTGGTTGGTGGTATAGCTAGTTCGCCTGGGTAACTACCACAATATTACCCAATTCTGTCGCCATAACAACAATGTTGCATCAGGTAATATGCAGGCCAAAAGCTTCTGCATTATAGATGAAAATATGCGATCCTCTTTATTTAGAACGCCTGGTCAGAGCTCTGTGCAATGCTAGTTGAGAAACATAAAAGGGGTCCTGATTGACCCATTCAAAGTCAATTACGTTGTTTATTGTGCAGCGGTCAGTATTGAACTCAAAGGTCGAATAATATTGTGTTTCGTCCTGTGGGTATTTTTCTTATCAAGTAGAACAATCTTTGAAGTAAACCAAATGACGAATGCAATGAAAACTTTATTATTTTTTAATTAAACTTTTATCCCTCTTAGAAAATAAAACATGTTTGATAATTTTATGATAAATGAACTGCTTAGCCATTTGTGAACCTAAAATAGAGGCTGACAATAGTGTTTGAGTTTCATGCGCTGCTTCTTCTCAACACTAGCGCACATTTCCTGCAGCAGTGGCAGTTTACCTAGGGCGTGAAAAAGCGCTTTTTAAAAGCATAATTATTGCAAAGCAAACTACTACGCGTTGGTTCCCGCTGAAAACCAGCTTCTCGACATGACCACGAAATAGATTCCTATTTTGTGACATGACGTTTGTGTTATGTCGCGATTTTTGCTAAGCGGGCGGGGCGGTTTATGCCTCTTCAGAATAGTTTATCTTTATGAAATGTATGTTGTACTACAACTTTTGTTTGTTGTTTTTTGTATACTGAACTAGCGGCCGCCCGCGACTTCGTACGCGTGGATCCCGTTTTACTCCCTTAGGGGTTGAATTTTGTAAAATCCCGTCTTTGTAAGCCTACGTTCTAAAAGGAACCCCCATGCAAAATTTGAGACTCCTAGCACTTGCAGTTTCTTAGATTTCGTGACTAGTGAGTTAGTCAGTCAATCAGTGACCTTTCGCTTTTATAGATTTTCTTATCTTACTTTTATATCTTAGGTACAATACCAGCTGGTGTTCTGCCTGTGGGTGCTGACCTTCAACCCGCTGCTAGCTGAAAAGATGAACAAGTTCAACGCCATCCCGATCCTGGCGGATATCCTGAGCGACTCCGTCAAGGAAAAAGTCACGCGCATCGTGCTCGCTGTCTTCCGCAACTTGATTGAGAAGCCTGAGGACTCGCAGGTAAGGTTTTTTTTTTAAATAAGAATATTAGCAATTTGTAAATACTTAAACCCTTGTGGTAATAAGTGGTGATAAATGTTTATCGCGCCATTTTATCTATTTTACGTGATAGGCCCATACATTTATCGTCTGATATCATCGATACGATTTTATCACTACGCGCATCCTAGCCCCGCGCGAGCTATAATTTGGAGGAAATCAGGGGTTGGCCACCAGCTGTGTTATGTGGCGACTCCTCAGTTCCATCCATAGATTTTTTTATCAAAACCTTTGTGTCCATAGATTTTTTTATAAAAACCTTCGACCACCGAAGTCACACAATTATTGAAGTTCCTGAAGACCTCGAATATTATAAATGTTACTTGGCTCACCATCTCAAAAGATTGTGGACTCCTAATCTACATTACATCGATTAAATAAACCATTTCATTCATGTTCTAAAAGCCTGAGAACTTTATCCTACTTAAAAGACATTTTTGGAAACCTTTATGTTAGATTTTAATTTAGTTAGCTTGCGTTGTGAGAAGTACACATTAGCCACTGTCGATCGCTCTAACCAATCTCAAATTCCAGACGAGCTTTTACATTTTCTCCAGGAACTTAGATATTTCATTCTCATTATAGGTCGCCAAAGAGCACTGCATCGCCATGGTCCAGTGCAAGGTGCTCAAGCAGCTGTCCATCTTAGAGCAGAAGCGTTCAGACGACGAGGACATCATGAATGACGTGGACTTCCTCAACGAGCGCCTGCAGGCCTCCGTGCAGGACCTCAGCTCCTTCGACCAGTACGCCACCGAGGTCAAGAGCGGACGGTGCGTGCTCTTACACAATATTGACCATGTTAATGAGTATAATGGGAAGTAGGTTAAGTGATCGCGCGTCGATGACGTCATGATGACGTGGACTTCCTCAACGAGCGCCTTCAGGCCTCCGTGCAGGACCTCAGCTCCTTCGACCAGTACGCCACCGAGGTCAAGAGCGGACGGTGCGTGCTCTTACACAATATTGACCATGTTAATGAGTTAAAGGGAAGTAAGTTAAGTTATCGCGCGTCAATGACGTCATGATGTAGTGGACTTCCTCAACGAGCGCCTGCAGGCCTCCGTGCAGGACCTCAGCTCCTTCGACCAGTACGACACCGAGGTCAAGAGCGGACGGTGCGTGTTCTAGAATTTATAGTCCCATGTACAGGCGTTGGGGCCATTCTAGTTGGCGAGTTGGGCCTGGGATTTTGAATGCATCATCGAATTCAGTGTACTTTATAATTGTCTAGCCGACTTTAGCAGCGCGACGTCTCGTGCGATAGTCCCTCGAATACGCTCATTGCATTCAGTCAATGTCAAGCTAAGGTTGCAAGTGTAAACTTATTTGATTGTGGACACAGTATAATGAGCGAGTTTGGCATTCATTAACCGATCTAAGCCGTAAGATGGCATAACGCGACAGCCGCGCTTATAAAGGTGTTCGTAAGTTACTGCTCTAATCTCCAACCTGTTTTTTGCAGCCTGGAATGGTCGCCCGTGCACAAATCGGCCAAGTTCTGGCGCGAGAACGCTGCTCGCCTCAACGAGCGCGGCCAGGAACTGCTGCGTACGCTCGTACACCTGTTGGAGAAGAGCCGCGACCCAGTGGTCCTGGCTGTGGCCTGCTACGACGTGGGTGAATACGTACGTCACTACCCTCGCGGCAAGCAGTGAGTATACAAACGACTCGTAAATATACACGTGCCTGTGTGAGGTCCTGCTGAGTACAGCGCGGTCAGAAACTGCTGCGTACCCTTGTACACTGTTCATACTACTGGAAAAGTGCCGCGACTAGAGGATTCAATCCCGGACTTTCTTTCTGATCCTGGAATTGCGGGATTGGATATATTCAATCCAGGGAAAACCCCGGGATTAAGAAAATGAAATAAAAATAATATTTTCTAGCTCAAATATCCCGGGATGAATCCTCTAGCCGCGACCCAGTAGTGCTGGCTGTAGCCTGCTACGACGTGGGTGAATACGTGCGTCACTACCCGCGCGGCAAACAGTGAGTATACACACGATTCTGATACGTCACTATACACGTGCCGGCATTGGCGTAGCTAAGGTTATTTTTCAAGGGGGGGGCTGATATGCCATGTCAGGGGGCGTAGCACGGTGGATCGAAATGGCATTAAAGTGGACATAGGGATTTTTTTCGGAAAATCGAATTTTAAAAATTGCCAATCGATAGTCCTTTGCTCACTCATCACGACATGTCATATCACATTTTTCTCTAAACCTGATACTTTAGCTTAAAAAAAATAATTTGTGTTTTTTTTGTATGAAACGAGACATAAAGTGCTAATTTTCTCCGAAGACCTGCTAGATCGTGACTTGAAACAACCTAGGTCGGTATAACTGCATTATTTATTAATATTCTAAGCTATTTCCAGCTGCTCCAAACCGCAACTTAGCCTGTTAAACGATTCCGAAAAAAATTAAAATTGACTCTTCTTGTAATTGTATTTTAGTTCTTTTTTTTTAGAAAAAGCTTCGATTACGGTACTAGAAAGTGATTTTATCGTTAGGTGACATTGTTATCTATTCTCAGAATCTGTTAAACCCTTTCTTTCCTATCAGCGCATGACTTTAAAACAACAATGAAGTTACTCATACCTCGTAAATAACGTGTTTTGCGAATAAGCAGATAATGGTCAGGGGTGGGGGTAAAAAACAGATACGGATTGTTTATTTGTTTTAAATTTAGTTTGGGCTGTGTAACGTCACCAATAACATTCAACTTTAAATGCGGTTTTTAACATGTAATTACAATGGAAGCTATTGTGAATAATATAGATTTGTTCGTAGTCTTAAGAAATACCTTAAAACCTTTCATGGACAGTGAGGAACTTTATAATCACCTTTAGCAGAAAATGGTACATTTGTCAGAAGAAAACAGTGTTAAGTTAAAAAAAGTTTGCCGGAATTTTCGTACTAATCTTAATGGACGATGGACAACCTGTCATCTATCTCTTCCCCAATTTTTAAGAAGAAACAGTGATTGCCTTGAATCTCCAATTAACTGGGTCTGGCAACTAGTTTTTGATGAAGACAAAATTGAGGAAAATGTTGGTTCAATTACTGAACCTAGTGAAAAAACAACGTCAAATATAGATGCTATTACAGAAAACATGTCAATTTCTACACTACATGCTTCGACTACTTCCTTTATCCCGAGGAAACCGTTACATAAATTAAATCAGAAACAGAAAAAAAGATGAATTACACGTTACATAAATTAACTCAGAAACAGAACATTTTCCTCAATTTTGTCTTCATCAAAAACTAGTTGCCAGACCCAGTTAATTGGAGATTCAAGCCAATCACTGTTTCTTCTTAAAAATTGGGGAAGAGATAGATGACAGTTTGTCCATCATCAAGAAGAATAATGGTGTAAAAATCACTTTGATTTTTGGGTATTTCACGTTCTTTGAATTTGTGATTTCTTATTGTAAAATGCTTAAATCTAAGAATTTTCTCAACTAACTATTTGCCTAAAGACCTATGCTATAGGATATAAATGTTTGTTATATCGTTTTCACAGTATTTTTATAAAAAAATCAGCTTGTAAACTGACGCTAAAGTGGAAATTTGAAAACCTGTGAGGACTTATCTTGATAGAATTCTTAAATTAATACTATACTAATCGAAATATTATCTCAACTAACTATTTAGACGACAAAATTGCCTTATTATTTATGCCTATAACATATTTGTAATGTAACTGGTTAATGATTGTAACGGGTTAAAAAAGTACTTATCGGGTTAAAAAAGTACTTATCGGGTTAAAAAAGTAATATGTCGGCCGTTTGGTGTAGTGGTTCGGAACGGACTACTATTCCGGAGGTAGCGGGTTCGATACCCGCACAGTACAAACATTTGTGTGCATGAACATATTTGTTTGTATTGGACTGGGTGTTTTCTATGTATAATAAGTATGTATTTACAACAAAAAAAGTATTTAAGTATGTTTATATCCGTTGTCTAGTACCCATAGTACAAGCTTTGCTTAGTTTGGGACTAGAAGCGCAGTGTAAAATGTCTAAGGATATTTATTATCATTTATTTATTTTATTATTTACTGTTTTTGCGCCAAACGGCGTAAACGCTCTTAACACTGTTTTCTTCTGACAAATGTACCATTTTCTGCTAAAGGTGATTATAAAGTTCCTCACTGTCCATGAAAGGTTTTAAGGTATTTCTTAAGACTACGAACAAATCTATATTATTCACAATAGCTTCCATTGTAATTACATGTTAAAAACCGCATTTAAAGTTGAATGTTATTGGTGACGTTACACAGCCCAAACTAAATTTAAAACAAATAAACAATCCTTATCTGTTTTTTACCCCCACCCCTGACCATTATCTGCTTATTCGCAAAACACGTTATTTACGAGGTATGAGTAACTTCATTGTTGTTTTAAAGTCATGTGCTGATAGGAAAGAAAGGGTTTAACAGATTCTGAGAATAGATAACAATGTTACCTAACGATAAAATCACTTTCTAGTACCGTAATCGAAGCTTTTTCTAAAAAAAAAGAACTAAAATACAATTACAAGAAGAGTCAATTTTATTTTTTTTCGGAATCGTTTAACAGGCTAAGTTGCGGTTTGGAGCAGCTGGAAATAGCTTAGAATATTAATAAATAATGCAGTTATACCGACCTAGGTTGTTTCAAGTCACGATCTAGCAGGTCTTCGGAGAAAATTAGCACTTTATATCTCGTTTCATACAAAAAAAACACAAAATATTTTTTTTAAGCTAAAGTATCAGGTTTAGAGAAAAATGTGATATGACATGTCGTGATGAGTGAGCAAAGGACTATCGATTGGCAATTTTTAAAATTCGATTTTCCGAAAAAAATCCCTATGTCCACTTTAATGCCATTTCGATCCACCGTGCGTAGGGTGCGATAGTATCATAGCTCATGAGTTAGTACCATCAACGAATCAATAGTCCAACATCTATTGGCCACCAGAGCATTTATATGCGCATGCGTGCCGGTGTGTAGTCCTGCTGAGTACAGCGTGCCTAGAACTGCTGCGTACCCTCGTACACCTGTTGGAGAAGAGCCGCGACCCAGTGGTCCTGACTGTAGCCTGCTACGACGTGGGTAAATACGTACGTCACTACCCGCGCAGCAAGCAGTGAGTACAAACGAATCTGAAACGTGTCGGTGTGTAGTCTTGCTGAGTACAGCGCGGCCAGGAACTGCTGTGCTCGTACTGCTGGATAAGAGCCGTGACTAGGAGATCCCGACAGTGGCGGCGTAGCATGGGTTGGCAACCGGGGCGATCACCCCCGTCTTAAGTCCTAAGGCACCCCCTACCCCCCAGGATTTTGGGGTTACCTACCGATTCGAAGATTAAAAGACAATCGCTTCTCAGTATGAATTTTCAAAGTAGCTCGCGAACTCCCTATCCACTGAAGCGAAGAGACATTAAGCAATTCTATTGGTGGAATGTTACCTCGCTCCGGGCCTGTGAACAGGCAGTCTAAAGCCGGGTCCAGGCGGATGTAATGTAATCCACCGTGTAGTGTAACACGAATTCTACGTGTGGACGTCACTACGAGCATTACATGTAACGCTCGCGCCGGCGCTCGAGCTGATCCATCGGCTGTCGGTTTTTGCGCGAACACAGGCACCCCGCTGCTATTGAAATAGATTCGCATACACAATTCGCTTTGAGTTAGTGTGCTGTTCACACTGTTGACTAAAAATGACACGTAATCTTACGTTACACATTACACCCGTCTGGACGCGGCTTAGTATTATGCTATTAGCACTGATCGTTACTGCAGTGTTGACTTCTGAGTAATTTAAGGTTCTGACTTCAATTATTGTAATTCCTTCCAGCATCATCGAGCAACTTGGCGGCAAGCAGCGCGTGATGTACCTCCTCAGCCACGAAGACCCCAACGTGAGATACGAAGCCCTCCTCGCCGTCCAGAAACTGATGGTGCACAACTGGTAAATATAACTTTTTTTAAAGATCAAAGAAATTACTAAGAGTCCCGTGTTAGCCACTCGTACTGAGCTAAATATGCTGGTGTCACGTGTGGGCTCACCACTATAGTCGAGCGGCAGCGGGGACCGAACCCGCGTTCCCCGGATCACGAGTCGGCCAGTCTGAACTCTAAACACTTAGATAAATATTAGCTATTTTAATTTACGTCAAGAAATCAACTGGTGATTTGAGGGTAACTTTTACTTGTTCGAACCCCATTGACTGTTGAACTATTGTGGTGAACCCTATACTTGCTGCAGTTAAAAAATACTAGTCATCTGTACAGTCTATATGCTCGACGATCGGGCTATAGTATTTTTATGAATAATAAAAGACAACCGAATGACCTACGAGTACTACATAATTTGAATTTCTTCTCGCAGGGAATACCTCGGCAAGCAGCTAGAGAAGGAACAGACCGACAAACAGGCGGGCACTGTCGTCGGCGCGAAGGCCTAACAATGTTAATGTATAAAATGATATTGTCATTTGTTGTTGTTATAGTTATCTAAGGTATGCTGGACTTGCAATTTGTAACTATTCATTTTCACATACCGTTATTATGCTTTAAAGTTATATCGAACATTGCGCTATGGTAATATTGTACATACTGTTAATAATGTAACACTCTTTGAATTTGTCGCGTTTTACCATACACACAAATCGTCAACCTCGCAATGTACCCCAATATACTTTTGTCCTAAATAACGTAAATGTATAGCAACCTCAAATCGTGTATTTTATTTAATAATGTGAATGCTGTAAATAAATATTGCAAGCCAATCGTATTATGTGTTTATCCAAATCTAGCATATATTTACTGTTGTTATTCTTGAAATTAAATAATATTTATGTTAAATTGGATTGTAATTTTAGAAAATGTCAAGTGTCGATCAGCACATTCCTGTAACTTCTATGATATATAAAAATAATAAATTGTAATTCAACAATGCTTATGATGTTCTATAGTGGGTGTCCAACTCACGAGTATAGTAGAAATTAATGTAGAAGTGGGATATTATGACGTAACGTAACACGCTGCATCAGTATTGTGAATAAAAAGCCATAAAATAGCTAAATGTGATGTTTTATTCAGCAGTAAAGTCTAATTATTGTACCCAGTAAGCCTTTACTTATGATTTGACTCCATCTACGAGTAATCGAGCCAGAGTGAAGCGTTATGAAGTCGCTGTTCAGTGTATGGCCCGGTTTTCCACCAAGGGCGCAGCAGAGTGGAGAAGTGTCGGGCTGATTAATTTTTGTACAGAATTTGCGCATTGGCGGCGGCGCGGCGCGGAGCTGAGAAATGGAAATAATCGATCAAATTGGTTATTCAAAACGCTTCGCTTTGCTCTGCCCTGGTGGCCTACAGGTATAGGTTTGATTGAGGTAGTTCTCAGAGAAGTTACCAAGCAAGAGAGAAATCTTGGGCAATCTCCTCTTCAAGTACATTCGTACTTGGTCTTGTCGTTAGGTTTTTTCACTACGTCTGTATTTTGGAACGCGAAGCGATCATGACACGAATTTCCGTTAAGTGTCTATAAAAGATAAATCTAAAGCCGTGTACAAATATTTAAAAACTCAACCGTGGGCTAAGGACCATGAAGCTAAAGATAAAAATGGAGGGCAGAGTTGGAACAAAAACTTGAGTCAAATACCTACTTTTATCTATCTCGCTCTCTGCGGCCCTACCTCTCTTTTTAGTGTGAACTGTAGTATTGCTATCTTCTGATTTAAATCTCCTTGTAAATTCTTCGAAATAGCCGAATCACTAACCAAATCAGAAGTTTAACAAATAAATAATTAATATTTGAAACTAAGATTACCTAGTTAAATAAAAAATCACAAAATTGTCGGCCATTTAGGCTTAATGTGTTGGCGAATCAGGAATCCCAATTCCTGGGTAATCGGTACCATGTGGCAACATCAGCCCAATCCGGCCCATCATGGCGGTTGTTTACCATTTTGTTTATTAGGCAGTTAATTTCGTTTGAGATTGTTTACAGGAAATAATCATTGTTTTATCACAAGAATTGGTGCAAAATTGTGTAGTGCGTGGTTGCGGTAGTACGTGGTGTCCTGGAAGTGACATAAGATTCCACGCGTAAGTGTTTATTTCGTGATTTCCGACATTAGATCATTGTAAACATTTTTCACATTTTTTACAGTAGGGGAACCTGTTGTACTTAGGCCAGTTTTTCGAATTTTGATTTTTTGAAAAATAATGGTGATAGTTAAACTTGTCTATTGCAGTTATATTTAAAGATCATTTAATTAACTACATAATTCATTCATAAAATTGTGTATAATTTTAAAAATTTGGGCATACTAGCTGCTAGAAAAAAAAAGGGAAAACTGTCCTAGGTACAACAAACCAGGTGTACCTTGGACCGTGTACGTTGTACCTATTTAAATATAAAAAAATGCTTATATTCGCTTCAATTTGTTAATTTTCTGTTAAATTATTATTTGAAATACCAATTATTACAGTTATTAGCAACAATATCTAAGTAAAAGTATTTTTTAAAAAAGATCCTCATCCATATTTTTTGTACTAATTATTTTTCACAATTTTTTGGCAACAAATCACTTAAGTTTAAGCCGGCTCTCCAGTCCATGTTTAGCCTTACACAATCAACAAAAATATGACAATATTCAACATTTTTTCTAGAAAATTTTGCTGAATGTTGATATGTTATGTCGTGTAGGACAAAATACGCGCTGGAGTGGCTTTAACTTGCAATCTAGTTTTTTTTATTTCTTATCATTTAACATAAATTCTAGCAAAATATCCATTAAAACCGCTTTATCAACAAAAATAATCTTAAAAAAGTCATATGAAGATACATTAAACGTAAATTTAAAAAACATTAGAAATTAAAAAAAAATATATCAAAAACAGACTTTAAATTGCTATTTTGAGGTCTTCGGGGCATTGTATCTATAACAGTATAATATGTTGTTTTATTACAATAAAATTCTAATTAAAACTTAATGAAAATCAGTGACCAAGGTACATCGCTAGTTGGGTGGTCAAGGTACAACATTGCGACTATTTCACTTAATAAGCTTAATAAACCCACTTCTATTTGAGCTTAGGATCTGAAACTCATATCGTCCAGTAGCTAGATATATAAAGGGTTCTATATTGGCTCACATAAAATTCTAAATCCTATTCTTTGTCTTAATACCGATTTGTGTTCATAATAATCTCTCTTCATAATTTTATTTTTCATACTTTTTTTATTCATACATTTTTATTACTACCATCGGAGCTCATAACAGTTAGTAATCATAATTTTTTTATCAATACTGTTACTACCAAGAACCATTTAAAATACATAATTTTTATTTTCAGATCTTTTTTCTTCATAACATTCATTGATCATATTGTTTTAATTAATAATGTTGTTACTAAGAACATACTTCAACTCATAATGTTGTTGTTCAGAATAATTTACTTTATAACAGACATACTCGTATCTTTAAAAAAATCATATATAATTTAATAGAGTAGATCAGCATGCAGAGCATGCAGCATGAAAGCAAGCATGCAGCATGCATTGGTATCTCCTCGTCTCCGGCGCTGCGGGATGTGCAGCCCTTCCGCCCTTGCGTAACGAGGCTCAGGCACCCACGCTTGCTTCCGCAGCTTCGGCTTTTTGGATCGCCATCGGCGCCTTCGGCGCCTCGGCGACCAGCCTCAGCCGCTCCAGCTCACCCGGGCGCCTGAGCCTCGTTACAGCGGGCGAGGGCTGCCCTCCCTCCGCGCCTCCGGCTTTTAAATTACACTCTAGGGGTAGGGCAGACAAGACTACGTGGAGTCGGTTTTGCAGCGATTCGTTTCTGTCACGTTAGTTTTGTGGCACAAAATATTGCCTGTTTTGGACCATTTCAAATTAATTTAATGTTAAAATACGATTTAATACGAATATAGACATCATGATTTTCAATAATATGGATAAATACACTTATGAGTAATAAATTTATGAAAACAAATATTAGGATACATCACATTTATGAATATTATAGTTATTTATTCGAATGATTATGAGTTTCGATCATTAGTATAGAAAAATATATGAAAACAAATATTAGTAAAAACTAAGTGTATGATTAGTGATATTATGAATATCAATGATTATGTTTTTAAATATGTAGGTTTTAAATTTTTTATGAAGAATGATCATTATGGTATCAAATTGTATGAGAAATATTTTCGGACCTCCAATGATAGGAATTGAAAAGTTATGTAAGAAAATGCGCTAGATATATAAAGATTATGTTCTAACTATAACCGTTTTGTCAAACATGCAACATTTTTCATAAATTGACATGAAGTAAATCTCCAAAAACTCACTGCGTCAGTGTAAAATATTAAATTACCATTTTTCTTGTACTTGCACGGCGTCGGCGAATCTTAGCTAACTTCACGTTAATGTTGACAAATAACGTATGTAATACCCTAGACAACTTCTCATAAAACCGCATAATTTAAAAAATATATACAATTGTTTTAGGTACAACTCTGTCCAAGGTTCAACAGGTTCCCCTAATTTCTTCCTAAAACGTTTTACCAGTAATTACACTTATCATTTTTAATGATACCTATGTCAAGAAATAAAGATTTTACATTGGTTTCATTGAATTTGAGCAATTTTATATTTTTTTTTTATTTAGAAAGAGCGAGTCTGCCTACAGAGAGCGAGATAGTGATACTTAGTTTGTGCTTCAAGTAGGTATTCGGAGTGTGGCCTCCATTTTTATCTGTAGCTTCATGCTAAGGACCGTAGACTGAAGCTGGAACAAAAAAAAACTTAAATGTCACAATGACAGCAACAACTGTCAGTGTCACACTGACATTTGTGTGGATTGTGTTGTTTGTTGATCACGCCGGGTTTTAATTTTTACATGTAAAATGGAGGATGTATTAGTATTGAAAGATTACAAAACTGTACCTGATGTGGTCCATGAATATGAACCGTCATTAAAATTTGGTCATATTCCTTTAGTCATTGATAACGGTGAGTAAACTGTATGGAGTTGGAATTTTGATTTTTTGATTAATTATAGACGTTTCTAATTGTTTTTTATATTTTTAGGTTCTTACCAGTGTCGTGTGGGTTGGTCTATATACGAAGAACCACACCTTATATTCAAAAACTTGATAGCGCGGCCCCGAAAAGATAGATGCAAAAAGGACGCTGAACCCCCGGTGACCCCTCCTATTCAAATAGGGAATGACATTATCAATATTGAGGCTGTCAGGTAAATAAAGAGACAATTCTTCTTCCAGAATACTGAAGTCAACTTACCTAGAAACCTCTACAATTAACAAAATTAGCATATAGTTACTATGTCTATCCATAACTTTTCAGGTTTCAGCTGAAGACACAGTTTGACAAAAATGTTGTAACGCATTTCGAGGCGCAGGAGCAAGTCTGTGACTACATATTTTCTCACCTGGGTATAGACAGTGAAGGGTGTGTGCCGCACCCTATTGTGATGACTGAAGCTTTTGTGAACCCTAATTATTGTAGACAATGTATGTAACATTAGAGTTCAGTTTCTTTATATTATTTACCCTTAAAAAAAAAAGTATTAAACTGAGCATGACAGTAGATACTGAAATAAACTGTGATATTAATATTTTGTTACAATTTCAGTGATGTCAGAACTGCTTTTTGAAGGGTATGATGTACCAGCAGTGTCATATGGTGTGGATTCCCTTTTCAGCATGTATAAAAATGAGATTGGGGATACAGCCCTCATTATCAACTGTGGATACCACACCATTCATATTATTCCAGTCATTAGAGGCCACATTATAGAGGAGCATGCCAGAAGAATAAATTTGGGTAAATCTATCTTCTAATCAATAATATACTAATCAAATCTCACTTAACACCAGGTGCGATTGCGGTCAAATACCTGCCTTGTCTAGTATAAAAAAAATAATAATAAAGCACAGGTCTCACTCCTTATCAATTTTCTGAATCTTCTTAATTCTCAAACTGCAGGTTCATTCAAAGATTCAAGGAATATAATATCCTAAGTGCTAATACATTCAAACATTTTAGGTGGAAGTGAAATGATATCATACCTTCACAAGCTGCTTCAACTGAAGTACCCTGTCCATGTGAATGCCATCACCATGTCTAGGATAGAAGAGATCCTGCATGAACACTGCTCCATAGCCCTGGACTACCAGGAGGAAATACGGAAGTGGGCAAGCCCTGATTATTATGAGGCCAATGTCAAAAGGATCCAGCTGCCTTTTGTGCAGTCTACTAGTTCATCTACATTGACAGGTATATTTTTTATACAGTGAAATGGAATGAAAACTAAAATCTAATAGTTTAGACTAAACTGAACTAATTGACCTATTTGGTTTTTATACTAGGAATCTTAGATACAATATTTATTAATGTTAGTTTAATAAGTTGACATAGTTCAAGCTTTGCTTTGTTTGTGTTATAAGGATGAATAGTAAATAAACCTTAATACATACTTATTCCAGCTGAGCAACAGAAAGAGCGTAAGAAAGAGATGGCTAGAAGATTACTAGAAATAAATGCTAGAAAACGTGAGGAAAGATTGGCTGAAGATGAGGAACAGCTCAATCAATTATTGGCAATACAGGTCAGTTTCATAATATAATTATTTCTTGAGTAAACTTACTTGCAACATTTTATAATAATATTAGTTCACTTGGTGTTTTCCAGGAAATGATAGAAGATGGTGATACTGATGAGTTTAATGAAGCAATCAAGGGCTTTGACATCAAAAGTTATGAAGATCTACAGGTAATTACTTGAGTCACAGTCTTAAACTGTGTTTGGCATGTACGAGCATTACTGGTGTTGCATACGGGCGTTTAAACTGCTAGAGGCAACTAAAGATGGCTTCGCAATACAAAATAATATACCATCTAATTCTAGTATTAGGTGTAATTCGAAACAAAAGTGTACATTTCATTCAACACAATGTTTACCATTTCAGCGGCAAATAGCAGCAGTAAACCTGCGAATTGAGAAGAACAAGCAGCGCATCCTTGCAGCTGCCAACGCGGAAGAGAATCCAGACCCGCGGCCCTCGGGCCGCATGCAGCCGCCTTCCGACCCCGTTGCGCTGCAGGCCTGGCTGGCCGATACGCGAGCAAAGGTACATTGAGCCTTGTGTAGTTGGAATAAGAGTCACATTACAATGCACCCTAGTGGAAGAGAACCCCGACCCGCGACCCTCGGGCCGCATGCAGCCGCCTTCCGACCCCGCCGCGCTGCAGGCCTGGCTGGCCGACACGCGCGCTAAGGTACACTGAGACATGTGTAATTGGAATAAGTGTGATTTTGCATCAAAAATATCCAGTTCTGATGTGGATTCAATGTAGTCTCCATGACTAGAATTAGTCGGAAGCATCAGCACATAAATTAGTTTAGCTGTAAGTAAAGGTTCAAATGCACATGTCGTCATTACTTGCATTATGAAGGTCGAAAAAAGTCCTTAAATCTAAAGTTAATTCATTTTATCATTCGTATGCCATGTTACAGTACCGTGACTTGGTCTCCCGTCGCGAAGCCCGCCGCGCCCGACGCGCTGCCATGCTCAAGCGACGCACGGCGGCCGCAGCTGAGCGAATGCGCGTCATCTCACGCCTAGCCGCCGCCGGAGATGAGTTCGGAAACCAAGACTCTGACTGGGATGCCTATAAAAGGTACTAACACTACTTGCCAGGGCATTTAGAACCTTGTGTATACTGCTATAAGGCTCGCCGGTATGCTCAAGTGGCGCATCGCAACTGCGGCTGAACGCATGCGCGTCATCTCGCGCCTCGCAGCCGCTGGCGACGAGTTCGGCGACCAGGACTCCGACTGGGACGCTTATAAGAGGTAGGTCTGTTGTACTGACACCACCCAATAAGAACCTTGTGTATAGTGCTAAGCCATTCAGCAATTAGGACTTTCACTGGGACGCTTATAAGTGTACTACGGGCACCTGCGCCAGAGCAATGGGAACCTTGGGTATACTGCAATAGTGCTATGAGGGCTGGCTGCTGAAGTGTTCAAGCGGCGCACGCATATGCGCGTCATTACCATCGTCTTAGATTTATAGACGAAACTCGTTGGGCCGTAAATGCTTCGCTTCGCGCCTCACCGTCACCGGACTCACCGGTGACGAGTTTGGAAACCAGGACTCCGAGTGGGGACTCTTATAACAAGAGGTACTGATTGCACCTACTACGGCATTTGAAGCCTTATGTAGGATGTCACCACACTCGTCTCAGATCATAGACGAAGCGCGTTGGCCCTTAAACATCTCCGTCTCGCGCTCGCTGTCGCCGCCGAACATCGTTATCGGCTCGTGCTATATGTATTTTTACTTAAGCCGATATTACATAATCATATCATACCTATGCCCTAGAATCTAAGAAGAATTCATTAGCTGACTGAAACAATATGTTCTTTATAGTATTAGTCGCGATGCGGATTCAGACTCGGAGGCGGACGGCGAGAGGCTCGTGGAGCTTGAGGAGGCGCTTCGTGAGTACGAGCCGCAGACCTCCTCCCACCAGCACCATCAGCTGCACCTTGCCATTGAACCATTCAGGTAAAAAAATAAACTTTTCCCGTTGTTCCCTACCCTACCATTCACACTTTGGCTGACTAAAATAAGTTACGACAATGGAAGAAAACGCCGCGTTAGATGTCTTAGGAGCCACCTACTATAGCACAGTCGCGACAGCAATATAATTACGCGCGAGCGATAAGGATGGGTAGCTTGGGGTCATTGGACAAAATTCTACGTGCTCGCAGACCAGGCTTTAGTGGACATAAGAAACCAAAAAAAGTTCCGTTTGCTCAACTATGTGTACAAGAGTATTAGGAACCTTTTTTAAAACATTACGGCAATGAAAAGGGACAATAGCAACAGATAACCAATCCCAACATCTCGCGTTGAAAAATACGGAAACTGTGCTGTACGACTTTCATTTATTTTGTTGATTTTAGAGCCCCAGAGCTGATGTTCCAGCCGTCTATGATGGGCAACTTGGAAGCCGGACTTGCGGAAAGCATGGAATATGTGTTCAAGCACTTCACTCCAGAAGATCAGTTGCTATTGGCCAATAACGTCTTTCTCACTGGTGGATGTTCCCAATTCCCAGGTAGGTTCTTCATTCAATCTTCTTTTTTTTTGAGCTAGTATGTAGAAGATTTTAAATCTTTAGGGCATTCTTCTTTAATTTTGAGGTTCGTATTCTCTCTTACTTGATTGGTCTAGTAAGACACACAAACAGCCATTACATTTTAAGATTCGGTATGCGGACCGATCATCATATTGACGATTTCTAGGGTACAATGTCCACTAACCATAGATTCTCAAAAGAGAAAGGTTTCTTAAAATATACAGGGTGTTTCTTGTAAGGTGTCAAGCCGAAGGCAGGTGATAGGTGAAGACTAGACCTATCGATTTCACCCCCATGTATGTTTTACGATTTTTCGTAGTTTAGAAGTTATCGTTAATTTTGTGATTTTTTCAAATTTCATGACCTAGTGGCTTAATTTTTTTTTCATCTTTTTTTTGGGTTGACTTTTCTCAGATTTCTTTTTTTTTACAGATTCCCTATTAGTTGCAGATATTTGAAAAAAATAATCACCTTCCTATCTTTGATGCAAGATACAAAATTTTTGCTAGCAACATAAAAAATATGCTTTTAGCAGAACATTCTAAAATTTTCAACTGAAATGTATGAGAAAAAAAAATAATTTCCATAGGTCCAAAATAATTTTAAAAACTGCGCAGTTTTCTAATCTTTCATAATAACACAAAAAAACATGTACTTAATAGGCCATTATTTTCTGTAATCGCTCTACTAAAGTAGTAAGTCGGAGATTCTGTTGCATGTTTTTGACTTTCTTAGGACTAACTAATGTTTGCAATCCACTAAGTGTACGTTACGTAGAACACGTTTAGAGACAATAACTGAACAGAACATTTTTTATCCACAACGAGGAAGCTCTTGCCCTTCATCTGACCTGATGGAAAGTTGGAAACTGCTGGATGATCAGCGAGCTTCACCCGGAATCCTAAACCACAGAGGAATTGGCTGTCCTAAATAGGTAGTCTTACCACTAGACCACAGTGGTGATTGTTACTTTACGATTAAATTTGATATACCTACCTGTTAGAGTGTGTGTGTGTGTGTGTGTGTGTGTGTGAATGATCAAACGAACTTACCAAGTGAAGTTCGATCTAAATTATCCTGTTTTCGCCGAAGAGATTTAAGGTCCCTCCCAACCCGAAGATTTCTATATCTTCTTCCCTGGAGGTAAACGTCAATGTCATCTCTTCTCTAAATATAATGAGACCGCTCGGACACCGAGCCCACAGCGTGGTAGGGGTGGGGTTGCCCGCTCTTTTGTTTTTTACTACTACTGCGCTGAATATTGTGTGCGGATTGGGTTGTCGTACAGGGGTACTACATGGTACCTTAAATCTCTTCGGCGAAAACAGGATAATTTAGATCGAACTTCACTTGGTAAGTTCGTTTGATCATTTAAATATCTGCAACTAATAGGGAATCTGTCAAAAAAAAGAAATCTGAGAAAAGTCAACCCAAAAAAAAGATAAAAAAAAATTAAGCCACTAGGTCCTGAAATTTGAAAAAATCACAAAATTAACGATAACTTCTAAACTACGAAAAATCGTAGAACATACATGGGGGTGAAATCGATAGGTCTAGTCCTCACCTATCACCTGCCTTCGGCTTGACACCTTACAAGAAACACCCTGTATATGTCACCGTAAAATTGTGAATTCCGTGAGATTACAATCTGACGTAGTTAAATTACAATCTAACCTAACCTAACCCACTGTTAGTTTACAATCTAACGCGTTATATTATAAACTGACAGAGTTCACAATTTCACGTTGACATATACATGGTTTATTTGTTATCGATGATTACTTCCTCCTTTTCAGGGTTGAAGGAAAGACTAGAAAGGGAGCTGTTAGAAATGCGTCCATTCCAATCCACTCACAAAGTTGTCATGGCCAGTAACCCTAGCCTCGACACGTGGTACGGAGCGCGAGACTTCGCGGGCAGCAGCCAGTTCGAAGACTGGTGCATCACCAAGGAAGACTACTACGAAATGGGCGGCGAATACTTGAAGGAACACCACGCGAGTAACAAGTATTATAAGAGTCCGGCGCCTATTGTAGATACTACGTTAGCGCCCGCTGGCGACGCCAATGTTGTGAAAGAAGAAATAGTAGTGGATTGTTAGAGGTAACGAATAAAGTAGTATTTAAGTATCATCGCTTTTTCTTCATACAGCCCATTAGCCATTAGTACTTCCATCCAAGTATTCAGATTCCATTTAATTTAAATATCATTTTAATTCGAGTAAGTAATTAACCCAGAGAAAATTATGTTCTATGTGGATCTAATAAGCCATAATATTATCATCTAAAGTAAACAACTCTGAATTTAAAACTGGACCATCGCCATAGGGCATAGCCATGTCATCAATTTATTGAATCAATTAAAATATTTAAGTACAGTCAACAGCACATCAGGCTACATTTTTGATGTGTTATATTATTATAGCAACTGTTACCAGGACATAAGGTTATTCAGTGATTTGCTTGATGCGCTGTCGCCTGTACTTATAATAAAATAGAAGGGATAGGCGTCGGGCGAATAAAACAAATAAATTAGCCACAAATATCATGGCACGTTTATTTTTCTCCACTACATGGCGACTTCTAAAAGAATCGTGACTTGTTATTTTGCATTCATATAGTTTCTTTTTTTAATAGAGCTCTGCAAATGAGCATTAAAGAATAATTTTACAATGTATATTTTCCATAAAATTAAATAAACTCTGTTTTTAATTTGATCTCAATATAAATCACTATGAACTGAAAAAAATTATAAACGATTTGTTAGTTCGCTAATTATATTGATTGATGAGACTATATAATAAAGATAAAGAGTACATTTAAAAAATCACATTAAAGCATATACATAATGCTGACTACATAAATGCTCTTACAGCCTCGTACACTCCCGCGTTGCCTTGCTCTTAGTATTCAAAATATCAACAATAAACAATAAGATTTTTAAGTAGAAGATAAAACAAACCAAATATAATAAATTTCTATCACAATCAATTCAGACTATAAAATCAACAAAACATTTATCTGTAATAAAGGCTGTAAGAGCTATATTCACGTGCAATGTAAATACACCACAATTAACAAATCTAACTTATTTAAAATATAAACTAGCCTAAAAATTTTAACAATTAAAGAAAAACAGTTGTAGTTAAAATATTGGTCATTAAAACTCTGAAGAGCTATAACTAAATGACCGTAATCATCATGCCATGATGTTTGCTTGTTGAATTTCAATAAAAAATTAGCACATAAAGGGATGTAAATAACTCCAAAACTTGGTAATTATGACTTTTAGCCATGTAATATAATTTGGTTAGACTATACAAATCGTATAAAACCAGTGACTTAGAAATAGCTCTCAGCATATAAAAAAAGTTAAAATCCTTAGGCTGTACTCTCGTATGATTATAATGTAAGCAACGCAATAATGTTGGCAAAGCGGAAGTTCGCGTAAATCTAACGATACAATATAACTAAATATGTATGTACCTTAGACATTATGATTACACAAGGCTCACTGTTATTTGCTCGTACTACTACCACAGTGCAGGTCGGCGCGCGGCCCTAGACTAGTAGCCTGCCTCGACGAGGGAAGTAGTATACGACTATTCACGGGTAAGGGATATGTACGATTTCTTCAACAAAATTTAAACAGTATTACAAAGAATTTGGTTGGTCCTTCACCACAACCGCTCCGATATTAAACAACGAAATCAACAAATATATATCTAACACTGCCAAAAGTTCCGGTGAGTATTCATGTTTCAATATTGTGAATTCCATCTTTTAAAGTAATTCAGTCTTTTCTACAGGTGAAAAGAAAGATAAAACGCTAAACGTACGGATTGTACCACACCTCTGATTACGTAAATTTAAATGGCTCATTATTATTACTCTAAATATAGTAACTAACATCGGTATGTAAAATAGCTGGAACAGTGAAGCGACACAAGTTGGGGGCCCACGGAATACTTGGTACGCGAAGTGTTCGCCACGGGGCTCCCAGCGCATGCTGCTCCGCTGTATGCCGCGCAACCCCGGCTTCGGCGAGGTGTATCCCGCGGGAACAATAATAATGACAGTTCAACAGACTCACAATGCAAACATCTAATAATAATTAAGATACACCTCGCAGATCACGGGGATCCGCCGATTTCTATCATCCCGCACACTCGACTAGGGTGAAGCAACGATAGGATATTCAAAGAAAAACAATTATAAAGACAGTAAACATATAATAACAAAAATATATTACTAATTCTAGAATTTAATAAGAAACAATCACCCTCGTCGAGTTACGGAGAATTAGGTAGACATTTAATATATACTTCATCATATAATATGTAAACTAGTATACTATGTTGGTGTTTCTATTTCCTCTCATAATATCTATGGATAATACACGGTAATCGACATTGCGACACATCTATAGCATGATGCTCACCAATGAAGTTACATAACTATTGATAAACTATGGTTTGAAAATTCCACAATGATCTTTCATAAAATGGTATTGAAGATTTATACTACTCTTTAAACCCAAGTCCTAGTTTGTCTAAATAATACTGTTATCAATGGCTTGGTAAGAAACTTACTACACATTTAATAATTTGAAAAAAAAAAAACGCGTAAGATGTTACATAATCCTTAACTTTCTGGGCAACTAAATGCATCCGTCATATTATTTTATCTTAAAATATCGTGTACATATTCTTTATTTTATTTATTAACTTTAAAATGATAAATGAGATTGGCCTATTTTTTTCGTGTTTTTTTCTCAAATACAGAACTATCAAAATATAAAAAAATATTGAGGACTATCAAACAACATTCATATGTATATAATATTATATGTATACGTATGTACATCTACAAGGAAATTTTGATTTTAATAGTACGTAGTACCCAAAGTATAGTTCTGCACTAAACTCTAATATTAATTCCAATTTATGTTTGCTCAGTTCATATTTGTATTAACTATGATTGTAGAGATATATGTCTACAAATCATAAATTCCTTCCTATTCAACGCCGAAATTGATTTTTGACGATTTATTTGAATAAATAAATCCTACCAATATTTACAATTTCTGACCCAGCACATGGACACATACAATGTGGAAATAAAATAATGTATGTGTATAAGTATAAAATAACAATACAGTAAAAAATATAATAAACAAGGTAAACAGTTTAAACGTGTTCGATATAAATAACAGGCGACAAGGAGATAAGTTCTCTTACAATATTTTATTTCCAGTTCTACCCTGACCTGCAGACTTAACTAAGCTTACTCTACCACATCGTTACATAGAATGGCACCAATCTATCTTTGATATCATAATGGCAAACCATAAGGAACCCCCGCGGCGGACCTCGCCGGCCCACGCGGCCACGTGCGACAGTACTGTCTCAAGGTATTGGAAGACTACTGCTCTAACACTATCATAATCACTATTATTCGAAACAGTAATGGAAACGAACAATTCGCACTTTACGGTACGCAGTAAAGTGAAAACTGTTTCATATATTCTAAATGGTAATCAAAATATGCTGTATATACTTATATGATGCTTTATATGTATGAGAGTACACTAAATATGAACATCCTTTATGGAAATTAGAAAAAATAATGACGTCCTATTGTGGTGTTACGATTGATACTGCCTAATATCGCTATCCGCTAGAAGGCACACAAAGTTTTAGTAAGAAGCTTCACAAATGACTCCCCTCGCGATGAACATAACTTACGAACGCAATACGATTAAAAAATATTGCCAATTTTATGTTGCAACAGGCACTTTTCTGGATTTCTCCAATAAACATCATATTATACGACATTAATTTTGTGAAGCTTTTAACATTGCCTCTGAGGACTCTGAAAGTATGTGTATTATTTTTACTTATTTATTATTATTATTTCATATGAACTTGAGACTTTATTAAAGCATTCTTATGGATTACTATGAGGAGTATCATCTAGAGTCCTTTAAATTTATCAGCGATCAAAATATTTACCTCTCACTGGTAACAATTCTATAAAATTATTGAACTTCATTATACACTGACACATCCTAAGTTAAAGCATCGCAATAAGATATTGTTACATTTCACTACGTCTAATGAGAGTGGGGTATGATAAGCGAACGACGAACATCAAATTTAGAATTTCAAACATGGATTTACCATTCACGATTCCAAAATTTATCACACTAAGCAAATTAGAATATGAGATCAAAATTTTTAGGCCTACAATCTAAAATGATGAGAGTTTTTTTTTAAGTATTGATTTATGAACGCCACCACGAGAATTAATATAATTATGTGATGGTATAGATAAATCACAGTTGTGGGTAAAAATCACAATGCATATCATAGGCGGTACCGCTACGTGACTACTCACTACCTCTTCTCTATGTGATGTCCACCAGGTGTTACGAGGATTCCGCAAGCGTAACTAAACCGATGCTGCACGATCCTTGCTCTCGCGTCACGGCCGACAAACTCAACAGGATAAATAAATAACTCGATATATAATAAACAAAATCTGTGCATGAGTCCATGCTGACAAACCTAATGGTTAGGAGCGTCCAGTCTCCTGGTTGCATGCGTTATTATCATGGTCATAGCTGCTCTTGTTGATGGCTGCCAATTTTTTAATATTGCACTCTGGCTGCTCACTTTTCAACCGAGAGCTGAAAGAGACAAGTTACTGTGAGCAGATTCGTACACATCGATAGAATTCACAAATGTCAAAGCAGGAGCCTTTACGTATAAAGGCACGTACGTACGTATACGTGTAAAGGTACGTACCTATTCAGGCGATCAGTCTCCAAGATGCATCTGTCCAGACATCTGGGGCTGCGGTGTTGGGGTGTGTGGAGGAGGAGGCGAAGCTGAAACAAAAATAATATTGTTATTTACACGGCAAATACAATCCGAGATACCTAATCTTAAGCAAAAAAGAAACAAATGAGTCTTCACTGTCATATTGGCATGACCTATTTTGTTCGGTTTCTAACGTTAAAAGCCATGTAAGACTTGGTGGCGTAGATGAGTTATTACTTACATATTGACGCGATAGACTGCGGCGACATAGCTGACATCTTGCTCTGAGTATCTTGCATCGAAACCTGCGTGCCTTGAGAGGTCATGTAGCGGTTCACCATAGGCACGAAGCTGAAAACATTAATTATTGTTATGGCATACAACTTCGATGTTGAAACTTCCTAAAAAAACTAATATAGGTAACATGAAAGTGTCATCAAGTTAGTAACCGGTATATTGCACGCTATACAAAACTGACGTTTAAAAGGAGAACCAAAGTAACCGTAATAACAGACATAGCCCGCAGAAATCAAGTTATAGTGGGCGTGGCAAAAGTTCTCGAGTGCCGATGATCTGGTGAAAGTCGCGGGAAGCAGTGGGCAGCGCATCGTTGTGGAATCCTGCCTTTCTTCGAGCCGCTTCTTCAGGGGAGACTTGCGATCAGGAGAGGAGGGTCAGTGGCTGAAATATTATGGTAATGGTATATACACCACTAAATTTTTATCACCGAAAAAAATTTAACAGGTTATGTAGAAACGTGTGAAAAATTTAAAGCAAAAGAAAAAGAAATGTTTTTCATAAAGTTAATTTTCTTTAGTCCGTATTTTACGCGTCACAGCTTTGTCACTCCGCTGCTCGCTAGAGTAGCCGTACGCGCTCGCACGTTGCATCGATCTGTCTGTCTCGCTCACGCCTCGACCACGCTTTCAGTGTTATTATTACATACTTAACTAACTTAGAGCATTTTGAATTCTAATAAGTGTTACAGTAACGTACGTAAATAGTGCTAGCGACGCGTGTGTCCATAAATTACCAATTTTAGGAGGAAATTTTGAGTCATTTTATTTAACTTTTTTTTTTGCACATATGGGATCAGTATCAATAACTCATTACCCAGAATTTTTTTTTTTCGGTGATAAAAATTTAGTGGTGTATATACCTTAAGTCACAAACGCCGGGCGAGTCGTAGTTGCTGCTGGAGTTATTGGTGTTGGTGGCGACGCTGTTGATGGTGCCGATGCTGTTGGCCGACATGTTGCTGTGGTTTTCGCGGTGCACGCGGTTGTGATGTCTGTGGACAGTTGAATGGTTTAAAAACACACGCTAAACCCTAAATATGACATTACGGTGGAAAATTCAACGACACGTAAATAACTGTGGTTGCCGGAGCGGCCATCAGTTATGTTCTTGAACTTCTTGAAAACATTACGATTTAGAATTTTTATGCTCCGAAAATGGCTTCTGGGCGTAAATTGAAACAGACAGAGCCCAGCTAAGAAGCATGTCAAATATCGACGAGGATTAGTCGCATCTACATTTCTACATACAGGGTGTCCCGTAATGTAACGTCAAGCCGGAACTGGGTGTTGAGGCAAGTTGTGCTGGTTATCAGAAAAATATAAAAAAAAATCTATGTGGCATATTTTAAAAATAATAGGCATTTAAAAAATATCAAAAAATTCTACTCCAGGTGACGGTCCTTTTACTCGTGTTGCCACAAATCTTCACTTTTTCCAAATTTTTTTTTTGTTATGTAACCCTGAATAATGCTTCTCTAAATTGTTATCAAAATTACAAAATCAGCTGCTCCAACTTGGATGAAAAAAAATACATTATTCCCAAAAAAAATATCAAAATAAAAATTTTGCCTAGTTTAAACTGAATGTACTGAAAAAAAAAATTGTACTACGCGAGTGTGGCAAGTGACGTCATAATTTGGCGCATTTAGAAAGGATTCCAAAATGGTATAACACTTTGTAAAATCTTGCTGTAATTGTCGACAATTTTTGTTTATTGGAAATAATCCCGTTTTTAACTTTATCTACCTTGGTTAAAAATATTATTCTAATGTGCCCAAAATTCAAGTTTCTGGCTTAAGTGAGGTGGAGAAGCCATTTTAAAAGGTATGAGCGGGACGGAGAGGGCCATCTTACCAAGCAGGGATGTTATGGATATCCGTAACCGTAACCGAAACTATCGGATATCCGAAATAAAAAAATGTCCATAACCGTAACCGAAACTGATTCAAAAGTTACGGATAGTTTCGGATAAAGGCCAAACTGCAAAACTCTATGAAATCTGCAGTATACACGCCGCAGCTGCAATGCCGCGCTGCCGATTTCATAGTTTTGCAGTTTGCGGTTGCAGTTTGCGGTCTGCGGCCCGTCTTGGAATTGTACCTTAAATCTTAATATTTGTTACCAACTTGTCTGGCATTCGCTGGCACCATCTAATATGCCAGCCTGTTTTACCTTTATCATACATAGGTGTCGTCTTAGTTGGTACATAAAGTAGCTATGTGGGTCACGCTCACGCAGCATCTTGCTATTTGTATTATACCTACATTTTTGAAATTCTAATAATTCCGTAACCGAAATTATCCGAGACTTTCGGATAATCTGAAATGATTTCATATCCGTGACCGTAACCGAAACCGGTATAATATTATTCTAATATCCGTAACCGTATCCATAACCGAAACTTCATATCCTTATTATCCCTGTTACCAAGTACAAGTGCAGGCAGAGCAGGTAGTAAAGGCGCGCGCGCACGGGTGACATTTGTCACAGTATGTCAACTACTAATTACTGTCATGGTGACAAAAGTTTCTGTGACAAAAGTTTGAATTTTGGGCACATTAGAATAATAATTTTTAACCAAGGTAGATAAAGTTAAAAACGGGACTATTTCCAAAAAAACAAAAATTGTCGACAGTTACAGCAAAAATTTACCAAGTGTTATACCATTTTGGAATCCTTACTAAATGCGCCAAATTATGACGTCACTTGCCACACTAGCGTAGTACATTTTTTTTTCAGTACAGTCAGTTTAAACTAGGCATAATTTTTATTTTGAAATTTTTTTTTAGGAATAATGTATTTTTTCATCCAAGCTGGAGCAGCTGGTTTTGTAATTTTGATAACAATTTAGAGAAGCATTATTCAGGGTTACATAACAAAAAAAAAATTTTGGAAAAAGTGAAGATTTGTGGCAACACTAGCAAAAGGACCGTCACCTGGAGTAGAATTTTTTGATTTGTTTTAAATGCCTATTATTTTTAAAATATGCCACATAGATTTTTTTTTTTATTTTTCTGATAACCAGCACAACTTGCCTCAACACCCAGTTCCGGCTTGACGTTACATTACGGGACACCCTGTATATCAATTAACCAGTTTGTGATTTTCTTTAGCCTTTTAAAATCAAGTATGTGCTTAGTAGACTTTAATGATTTCCAAACGAATTGTTTCAGTGTCATGTTTTTATCTGCTTTGCAACATACCTACTCGGTATTTTCCTGTAAACATCTCAAGTAACTTACAAATAGCCGTACAGTCAGCGTCAAATAGTTCGTGACACCCAAAGTGGCCTATAGTTGACAACACCTTATTCCATTGTAACAAAGACGTGTCGCAAACTTAGGCGATTATCACACGCCGCGGTACGCGGGACGACAGATTTAATCATTGTATGCAAGTACCTCAGTTTGTATAGAAAACACGCGCGGCACAACACACTGACAACGCGTCTGCGCGCGGGATTTTTTATATGAAATCACGCGGACCGCGGTGGAGCGCGCCGCAGTGTGATAATCGCCTTATTGGCTATTTTGGGTGTCACGAACTACTTGAGCTACAGAGCTACATACCTTATGAGATAGCTGTCCCGCACGAAGGTGCGCCCGCAGACGCTGCACTCGTAGCAGGGCCCGGCCGAGTGCGTGCGGATGTGCAGCGCGAACTGCGACTTGGACGTGAACGTCATCGAGCAGCGGTCGCAGTTCAGCGGCTTGTCAGCCACGTGCGACCATCTGTAAGGGATTTTGATATCAGACGTTGTGGAATTATGGCAATTATGTTGATGTCAGATATTTTTCTAAGGAAAGATTTAAACGATTGAAACGACGGATGGATTTATGAGCCGCTATAGATATCTGCCTTCTGACGCCAAATCAAAGACAAATCCTATAGGAAAGGAAATGTGCAGCGCGATCTGAACGTCATCGAGCAGCGGTCGCAGTTCAGCGGCTTGTCGGCTACGTGCGACCATCTGCGAACGACGATGACGTCAGATATTTTCTAAGGGTGGAACTCAGGTGAATGGGGTGGGATTTATGAGTCGCTATATACATCTGACGCCAGATTATAGACAAATCCTAGAGGGAGGGAAATGTGCAGCGCGAACTGCGACTTGGACGTGAACGTCATCGAGCAGCGGTCGCAGTTCAGCGGCTTGTCAGCCACGTGCGACCATCTGTAAGAGATTTTGATGTCAGACGTTGTGGAATTATGGGAATTATGTTGATGTCAGACATTTTCTAAGGAAAGATTTATACACTGATGTATGGGGAATAAGGGATGGATTTGTGAGCCGCTATAGATATCTGCCTTCTGACGCCAGATCAAAGACAAATCCTATAGGGATGGAAATGTGCAGCGCGATCTAAACGTCATCGAGCAGCGGTCGCAGTTCAGCGGCTTGTCGGCTACGTGCGACCATCTGCGAACGACGATGACGTCAGATATTTTCTAAGGGTGGAACTCAGGTGAATGGGGTGGGATTTATGAGTCGCTATATACATCTGACGCCAGATTATAGACAAATCCTATAGGGAAGAAGGTGTGCAGCGCGAACTGCAACTTGGAGGGGATTATGAACCACTAGGCCACTAGGTATAGACTTCTGACGCCAGATTATAGTCAACCTCAGGTTTTTGGACTGTGGCTTTTTAAAATACTGTTAACCCCATAGTTAACCCCTCCATGGGCTTCATGTACGCTAAAGTGCTGGTGTTAGGAGTGGGTTCACCACAATAATCCAGCGGTTGACTGGGATCGAACTGTTCCTCAAAAGATCTATGAGCTGCCCTGGACGTCTGTCATGGCACAATCGGACATACGCTACATAATGCCCTCAGCAATCAACTATGAAATACGGTGCCAGGTTCTATAGAAGGAGAAAAGGAAGTGATTCCCCATAAGGGAAAGAGAAAATTATACAGGATGTAAAGTATATGAAATCATGTTAAATGAGTAAAAGAAGTATTTCTCACCTGTGTGCCGTTACATAACTCTTCACAGCAAATCTTTTCTGACAAATATCACAAGCGTACGGTCGCTCACCTGAAAGTTACAACTGTATAAGCATCTCATAAAATAAAATATACGAAAGAAACAACTAATTAAGAAAATATAAATCAGCAATAAAAATAAAGATGAATGAAAGCAAGTTTGAAGGAAAATGATGTTAGAAAGACGGCAAGATGCAACTAGACATTAATGAGGCAAGTTTTAAATTAATGAATGCGGAAGCCAAGAAATGAAATAAATAATACAATACTGAAAATTAAGTGATGATGCAGCCGCTGATAAAATTAAAACATGATGACGTTGTCGGTGCCACATCATAGGGAATTTTGATACCTGCGTTCGCATTTGCCGTCTTCTTAACTTTCATCTTCTAATTGCGGTAAATACTTCACACATGCGGCTCTCTTCCATATATGGTGGTACATAATTTGTATTTAATGTTACAAATAATATTATCTGTCATTAATAAAATTGTGTTTAATTTCTTAGATATTTTATTAATGTGTGAACCAATTACCGAGTGTAATTCACATCGAATTAGACGATTAGCATTTTGCAATAATCACAGATGTTTTAGAGCTCAGGGGTTGAAAATGCTATTCGCATAATCGCGATGTAAAGAAACCCCTGCACTGAGATAGCAAGGCAAGCATGAAGCGTGTGGTCCGCCATACCGGTGTGTATTCGCTTGTGAATGTTGAGCGTCGATTTCTGCGTGAAGCGCTTGAAACAGACATCGCACTCGAAGGGCCGCTCGCCCGTGTGCGTTCGCATGTGAATCTCCAGGTACGGCTTGCACGTGAACGCCGCCGGGCACTCCAGGCAGGCGTACGGCCGCCCTTGCACTGACCAACACGTTAGTTACCCGAGTTACAACCCCCCACATGTGGCACCGACAACTTTAACCCACATCAGAAAGTGCTAGAAGACATCACATCCAAGAAAACATAATGATAGCTCATGAAACAAATGCAGTTAGATATCTCAAAAACAAAAATCGCTGCGACTGACCTGTGTGCGTTCGTTTATGTATATTGAGTGTCGATTTTTGCGCGAATCTCTTGAGGCATACGTCACACTGGTAAGGGCGCTCGCCGGTATGCGTGCGGTTGTGGATCTCTAGATACTGCTTGCAAGTGAAGGCGGCCGGGCACTGCAGGCATTGGAACGGCCGGCCCTGCACTGTGGACGAAGACAGACGTTAGTGAGAAGCAGGCGCCGCGCCCACCTCCCCCGTGCACGCATCACTCTCTAGTAGCCCACATTACGTTCATTCGTCCCTAGAGCGACGCAGGCCGCGCACGTACCTGAGTGGGTCCGCTTGTGGATGTTCAGACTGGATTTCTGGGTGAACCGCTTGAGGCAGATGTCGCACTGATACGGGCGCTCCCCGGTGTGCGTGCGAGTGTGAATCTCCAGGTATTGCTTGCAGGTGAAGGCGGCGGGGCACGACAGGCACTGGAACGGTCTCCCCTGGACTGGTGCCCAACACATATATTATAGCAGCGGCGAGTCTGCAAGGACGCTAGACGCCCTCGCACTACGGAGATCGCGGCGCGGACTGGTCGCCGCTCGCCGCTAACTCCGCTCCAAATCTTTACCGCTTAGTTTGTTAATGAACTGTGATCGAAGTGGAGTCGCAAGACACGCAAGCTAATATGAAAGAGATTTGGAGGAGAGGCAGAGTGTAAGTGGAGAGAGGCTGGGGCGGGCGGGGCGCCAGTCCGGCCCGCGGGTGCACCCACCTGTGTGCGTCCTCTTATGTATATTGAGGCTGGACTTCTGCGTGAAGCGCTTGAGACACGCGTCGCACTGATAGGGCCGCTCGCCTGTGTGCGAGCGCAAGTGAATGTCCAGGTAGGGGCGCCGGGCGAACGCCGCCGGGCATTGCCCGCACGAGTATGGGCGCCCTTGCACTGCGCGCAGTGCACACACAAAAGCGAGTAACGCACGTCGCCGACGCATGCTGGGCGCCCGCCCGCTGCCAATCTCAACCGCATGTGGTCTGAGCGACCGATACCCCAATTTCGAACCCAATTTTGTCGGCCGGCATCGTACCGAAACCGAGAGGCGCCAAATAGATGCGTTACTGCGGCGATTGCATTACCGCTTTTGTGAAAGTATTAATATTCATGAAGAAATGATGAAATACAAAATGATACACTATAATCACCTACATGTTTGCAAATGAGAGGGGCGTGATCGGCAATGCGTTTAGTATGATAGGCGAGTAGTTTGTAAATGCAGAAGTACGAAAGCGCGCATTGAATCGAGTTAAAGATATCGAGATGTTAGTCGAAAGCAACGAGATGGAAGCTACTGTAATATGGGGATGTAAAAACAACGGGTTAGGCGGGCAACGGAAAAACAGGAATAAAGCATGACGCTAATGAAATGCGGAGTGCGTGATCGATCACTCTTGTCTATAGTCGTACCGATAGGAATGTTGCGGATATAAAATATGTGGGCTACTAACCCGTATGTATTTTTTCGTGCAAATTGAGCGCGCACTTCTGCGTGAAGGACTTGAGGCAGACGGTGCACTGGAACGGCCGCTCCCCTGCGCCGCGCGGGGGGACAGAGAAACAAAACAAAACCACGATGGACAAATAATTCTAACCACGCTTCAGCGCATACCAATTATTGCACTTTCACTTTAACTACCATGAGGGAATTTTAACGATACTATTTGTCCATCAAAAACATTCTCTCTCCTACTTTAAAGTAACCAAAATCCTCACAACGTACACATGCTTTACTTTACTGTTTGTGAATAGTTTTTGAGCGTGTGCATCCTAATGGAATTTACCTTTCGAATAGCGTTACAGAAAATCTATGGAACAAAATAAAACACTTCCGAATCGCTAACCATTTTGCTTTTCAATCAATGATAGTGTTTAAGTTATCAATTTGGGAGCCCTTAAAAACTATTCACAAAACATAGGTTTCAAAGCCACAACCGAAAACAAAGGAATTAAGCTAGTGAGTAATAGAATTGTGGCTCGGAGACCGATTGAAAATAAAAATGTTAATATCAAGGGACCCACCAGTGTGTATACGTTTATGAGTGCCAAGGCTGGACTTCTGCGTGAACCGCTTGTCACAGATGTCGCACTGATAGGGGCGCACTTTGTTGATCAGCGATTGGATGTGCTCCTCTAGAAATACCAACAAAATTCAGCTACAACAACGATTCTGCTCCATGCACTGCTTTGATGATAGTGCCTAATAATGTGAGCTCTATAATAAAATTTCATTGTCTACTTAAGGATTTTAGGGGAAAATGCCTACCAGTGTGTATTTTCCCATGACGGCCAAGGCTGGACTTCTGAGTGAAGCGCATAAAACAGATGTGGCACTGGTACGGCCGCACTTTCTCTAACAGGGCTCGTCTGTGCTCCTCTATAAGTTATACGAGTTTCGATATAGCAACTCAGCATTCTCTCAAACAACAGTATATTAGCCTAAGGTTAAACTGTACACTCTCTCACACACATTCAGGGGGAGGTAGGCTATGCGGTTTACAGTAAAACGTTAGTACCGATCTGCCTCAAGGGTGACGTCACGCATACGTAGGCAGTAGAGAGATAGGGACCCACCGGTATGTATTTTTCCGTGCCGGCCCAAACTTGATTTCTGGGTGAATCGCACAAAGCAGACGCCGCACTGGTAGGGTCGTTCCTTAGCCAGCAGCGCGCGCTTGTGTTCCTCTGAACGAAACCATCGCACAAGTCAAATAATGTTAACATTCACTACGATGAGAACGGGGCTTTAGGAGCCGCGTGATGACGTTTATGAAGAGACATAGAATTGGGCACAGGGCGGTACGAGGCGTACCCAAACAGAACCCACCCGTGTGAATTTTCTTGTGTCGGTTGAGGCTGGAGCTCTGCGTGAACCGCATCTGACAGAGGTCACACTTGTAGGGCCGGTCCTTCGCCAGCAACGCGCGCGTGTGCTCATCTAGAACCCAGGCCACATCCAACAACACACGCTCTACACGTTATAGCAAAACACGCGACGGAACCCTCGCAGTGTCGAGGTCCGTTGCATGTTTTTACCTCCCCCTGTTTGCCTCGCATCAATGAAGCCTTCCTCACGCCCTGATTTAATGTAAAGCTATTTTGGCTGTTCGACACATCTCAAAAACTATTCACATTTATAAGTTAAGCATATGTATTGTCAATTGTTTCATAGCGAACTGTGTGTCGCACCAGTGACTAAGTAATTAACATAGTACTCCATTGAATGCAATATGTATAGAGAATAGTAAAGTATATAAGTATAAAGATGTTCGTTTATGAAGCTCCGTCCAGAGGCCGCGTGCTAATATTGTGTATAGGCAACTTGCAAATATGCATACATAGAGTACGAACTTTGGACAGAAAAATTAATTATACATACAATAGTATGCAAATTGAGCAGAGAAAATAAACAGTTCAATAAAGCAGATACTCCTCAATAATAATAAAAAAAAAAACCAATAAATAAAATAAGTACAATAAATAAACAAAATTCAGTCTTATACTTTGGAATATAATGTGATTACATAAAATGGGCTTTCAGGCAAGTACTTTTGCATAGATATAATATGGAAAATAATAACAATGGTATATTATCAATAAAAGACAATACATATAAAATATAACTCAGATATCAGGGCGTTCATAACAGGATATTCAATAAGCAAAATATGTAACAATATTTGAGTATATCAAAAAATTAAAAACAAAAGAAACTTTACATATTTTGGTTTCACGGAAACAGGAGGAGGTTAAACTTGACTGTAAAAATATAAAAATCCAATTTATTGTCTCAATTAAAAAGAATCCCCTCATGGTACCAATAATGTAGGAATGACATAATGTAAGCTTATTCTGTTTTGTAAAGTGTAATTATTATTATATTTTAACTTTAATCTTCTTTAATTTCGTTGCTACATTTTTAAAATTTAAACATTTTTGGACAATGTTCCAAACATTCCCAACAAGGCTTTTAACACCATGGCTATGGGATATAATACTATAATACTAAAGTATTAAAAGAGTACCGTAAAACCTCCATCCTAGGGTATTTAAAGTTTAATCATTAGTTTCTCCATTAAATATCAAGGCCTTATAGCATTTATCCTAAGCTCTTTTGGATCCCATGGTATTTCTTTAACATTTGAATATTATTTTGAATACTACAATAATAAGGATTTCTATGTTTTACATTTGTCTAAGCAAATAGTACCTTCTGTACTCATTCATTTACACATTATGTAAAAAATATAGATTTATTATAATAAAAACTATGTAAATGAATGAATATCTGCAAAAAATATTTTATGTTATTTCAGGTTTAACAATTATTTACCTGTTAAAAACGGGGAATTATTCCTACGTGAGCCAATCAAAACCTAACACACTGTCACACAATAAAACAGATTACAGAACTAGTTTACACTTTGTGAAACAAATAACTAGAAAAGTATCGATTTTGGTAATTTTTGATTAAGTTCAGTTTATTTAATTTACTCTAAATGAAATAAAATAATCGAATAATACATTTCTTTAAATAACTCGCCATCGCGATGTAACGTACAGGTAGCGCCATCTCTCGGTGGTGCTATTGCATCAGACTCATATTCAGAAACTTAGCCTTACCAGGGGCAAGACTCATTAGCATTTAACAAAAGATCCATTGAAGTGACCCCATTCATTTTATATTCAACCCCTCTACACATTATTGGGTACCTACTCAAAAGTGAAAACTAGTTCTGCAAGCTGGTTTCTCGTAGCTTATAACATAATAAATTAATAATGGCGACGTGAACTCACCAGTGTGGACGCGTTTGTGCGTATTGAGACTGGATTTCTGCGTGAATCGCTTCAGGCAAAGGTCGCACTGAAACGGGCGTTCGCCTGTGTGCGTACGCATATGGACCTCCAGGTAAGGCTTGCGGCAAAAAGCTGCGTCGCAAACCTTCGATAAATAATAAAAAAAATCAACCAAACTGCCAACTGCTCAGAAATTTTAAACAAAGTGGCAAACTTTTCAGTGGATTAGGATTCAAAGTTAACTCAAGATTCTGAAATGCATTATTCTAAAATTGTAAGCTATCTGATGTTTGCTTCTCTAATTTTCTAAAATAGGGTTAAAGTAACAGTGGACAAAGTAATTATGTTGTAGAAAAAAGTACTTACCGTACACTGGAAGGGTTTATTGCCAGAATGAAGTTTCATGTGGACATAATACGATGAAGCAGATGATAGCACTTTACCGCAGACCTGAAAATAATTTTAATATTTTTACACTAATCCTGATTATTCTGATTAAGTCTAATTTTCTACTGAGCTGGCAGTTGCTCTTCTGGTAATCTCCAGGTAATATCTGAAGAAACGCATGGCGGGCTACCTAATATTCATATCAATTTTGTTTAACACTTTAAATTTATTTATAAACAGCGAGTTCAACTATAAACATTAAATAATGTATTTAAAATAGAAGAAAATATTTAATAAGGTGTTTAGCAAAAATTTTATACTTACTTTGCAAGCTTGAGGTTTTGATCGAGGGGTTGATTGGCCCCCATTTGGTACCTCCATTTTTGTCTGAACAGAGCCCATATCCACGCCCATACCCTGTAAATAAGCTTTCTGCAAAGAAAAAAAATGTGTATGAGTAACATTATACATTTTCATAATGAATGAATCCTCACAGCTGTATAATTTCCTATTAGAATATTATGTAATACCTGAGAGCACTGTCGGCTATCCATGTCCATGTCTACACCCTCATCATCCATTCCCTTGAAACTGAGCTGTAACAAATTATAGTAATCTTTGAATAAAAAATTGATAAGATGTGGTGATTCCTACTTTCTTTATGTTTGTTGGTAGCTCATAGTTAAACATTCATCAGGAAGTTTTTATAATTCAACAGAACTTATAGTCCAGTAGAATTAGCTTTTAAATCGGAAATAATTCCTACAAAAGATTTTATTGTTTTAATGGCTTCATTGGTTGCCCATTAAGACTCTCCTAAGTTTTCGACTTCGACGGAGTTGTGCTTAAGTGGTGGGGGCCCCCGAAAGGGGCATTTTTTCGGTTTTCCGGTTATACCGCGTAAAGGACTTACCCTATCAAAAAGTGGTCTTCATAACGGTTGAAGGGCACTTAATCCTGCATTGAATAAGACCAAATTCATATGTTTTGGACAAACCGTTCTCGCGCTAAAGTTCGGCAAAGTAGAAAATATACGTATAATTAATGACCCTCTCCATGTCCAATGGTTTGTTACCCACAGGCTTCCAAGTCTTGAAAAGGGCCACCTCAACCAGTGTAACCCTATCAAGGCTTACGAGCTTGATGCGCCTATCCTTGTTCGTCCCAGCCGTTCCTTAACTGCGGTTGCTGCACCTCTTCCTGGCACTCACCTGAACGACTCTGTGTTACCTACTGTGGCTGCCCCTCTTCCTTGTATCCTCCTCCTGAACGACTCTGTGTTACCTACTGTGGCTGCCCCTTTTCCTTGTATCCTCCTGCATGACTACGTTGCCTAGCCGTATGCCTGGTCTAAGGTTCGACGCCAAAAATCAACAACAACAAGTTCATATTAAAACGCTGAAGAGTTTTTTGTCTGTTTGTTTGAACGCGCTAATCTTAAGAATTACTAGTTTGATTGAAATCATTATTATTGTGTTGAATAGCTCATACATTGAGGAAGGCTATAGGATATATACAATCACTGTACGACTAATAGAGGCGAAGCAGTAAAGAAAAATGTTGCAAGCACGGGAAATAGTATTTAAACTATTTTCACTCGTGCGAAGTTGATTTTGTGGCGTCGAACCTTGGACCAGGCACATGGCTAAGCAATGAAATCGTACAGGAGGGTACAAGGAAGAGGGGCAGCCACATTAGGTAATACAGAGTCGTTCAGGAGAGTGCCAGGAAGAGGTGCAGCAACCGCAGTAAGGAACGGCTGGGACGGGACAAGGATAAGCGAATCAAACTCGTGAGCCTTGTTAGGGTTACACTGGTTAAGGCGACCCTTTACAAGGCTTGGAAGCATGTGGGTAACAAGCCATTGGACGTGAAGAGGGTCATTAATTATACGTATATTTTCTACTTTGCCGAACTTTAGCGCGAGAACGGTTTGTCCAAAACATATGAATTTGGTCTTATTCAATGCAGGATTAAGTGCCCTTCAACCGTCATGAAGACCACTTTTCGATAGGGTAAGTCCTTTACGCGGTATAACCGGAAAACCGAAAAAACGCCCCTTTCGGGGGCCCCCACCACTTAAGCACAACTCCGTCGAAGTCGAAAACTTAGGAGAGTCTTAATGGGCAACCAATGAAGCCATTAAAGCAAAAAAATCTTTTGTAGGAATTATTTCCGATTTAATCAGTTTTTGTGTTTAATTCTACTGGCCTATTAACATAATTGGAAGTAAATATTTTTACCAATACCCCTAGAGATTACATAGGCTTAATTAGACCACCTAAAACTAATTAGTAATAACTTTTTCACAGAGTGATAATAATTGATGTGAATCTAATAAGAATCCTACAACATTAAATCTTATTAGACTAACAAAACAAAACAATAACTAAAATCTTACCTCATCATCTTGCTGCTGTAATTCTTGTTGTTGGTGTTGTTCCATAAGGTCCTGCTGGTGTTGTTGTACTTGTTGTTGTACTATGAGACTGTCTTTGGAGTCTTCCTGATGTGACTGGTGATGCTGGTTCATGTTGATGATCGGATGGTTGGAGTCGGGCCGGACTATTGATGGGGGACCGGAGTGGACATGTGGATGGGATGAGTAGAAACTGAAAACAAAAAAAATATAAATTGATTATGCTCTGGCGTGGCGGCAAACCTATTTGGTACCTACGTCAACTTTTCTTCTTGGAAAATTGTAGTCGGAGAAAAGTAAACATTGCGCGCTTCACTTGTTTTATTTAAAAAGTAGGACAGGTAGGGCCATAGCTAAGAACCTTATAAAAACGGCACGAGAACAAGTGTTTCTTGAATTATCTAACGAATATTAATGGACAGGACAGAAGACAGATAGTCGTGTCCTCATGTGAAAACTTTACTCTAAAAGAAAGTCTGGAAAATAACATTTTATATGAAACTATTGCCACAGGTGTTATTAATGATAATTAAAACATATAGCAAATATTGAAACTATGAACCTAATCAAATAAATATGAATTTTATTTTGTTTCGTTTCTTCCTTCAAGATTCAGTCAGTGGTTCTCAAACTTTTCTAACTTTTGTTTGACAACAAAAACAACAATCCCACCTGTCAAAAGAAACAAAAAAATAACTTTTTTTTTATATTTAATCTGTTTAATTATTATTCGGTGCCAGTGGATTCTGTACAGTAAATTAATGAATAAAAGTGGTGCTATATTTTGTAGATTAATAAATGTAATTTTTAAATATATAGATGCTGTCACGATGTAGTGAATTATAAAATACTTATGTAAAATATTAGGGATTGGTTTATCTTTCATAATAGTGAGTCCGAAAAATGTATTGTGTATCTTGAATAATTTGGGTATCATGGTAGGGTAGGAACCTGTTCTTACCTCATGGGCTCTGCCTTGATTTGCTGCTCAAACATGGATATAGTGGCGAGTAGGTCGCCGGGGGGCGGCACGGGGACCCCCACGCCCCGTGCCACACCCCCGACGCCCACGCCCCAGTGTGCCGGGAAACTAATGGCGAACTCTTGTCTGCTCCCCCATTTTCATCTACTGCCACCTGCACCAAAAAATCTAGGTAAAAAAATAAGTAGCTTAACCACCACGGATAATGACCATCTCTCACAGACCAATGTATAGATTTTGATAACCCAAGATTTAATCCAGTCTTATGTTTAGGATTACGTGCCCACTTGAAGGGTGAACTGCCCCTCTAGACAAGTGGCAAAACGTGCCAGTTGTAATTTTAAAGTGGCTTTGCTCCGACGCTTTTTTAGTTACTTTATGTGAAGGGATTCGATTGTTATGGCTTACGTTTCTTGCGTATTCAGTCTAGAGATGAAACGGATAGTTGTTTGGCCGGATACCGGATATCCGGCGAGCTGCTAGGCTGGATGGCCGGATCGTTTGCCCATTGTCTCGTTGCATGTCATGACGAGTTTAGCGCCGCACAGGTGCTTCGAACGCGATCAGTGGGTCTAGTAGACTAGATAAGTCACACTTTTCAAAAATCGAATCCATCCGACTAGAATGTCCGATTTTGCCACTTGTCTAGGGGGCAGATCAAATCGGGCGATTTCGGTGGCCATCGTGAGTGTGTGATTGAATAGCGAAAATAAAATTATAATAGTTTACTTGTTGCGTAATCTGACTGAACTGTCATACATGTCATCAGACCATTGGTGAAAAAAAGATCACCTATTTTAATTGGCAATAGTATTTCGACATTAACAGATATTTAGTATTATTTATGTATTCGTCATTAGAGTGAAAAAAGAAATAAGTTTTTTGGAAGGCCTTAGCCTTAATATGGCTTTTTTTGTAACTTTTTGGACTTTAAATAAAAGTTGTCATTATTATAAGCCATTTTATTGATATTTTCCTCAAAAATTCAAAGATAGTATTTCATTTTATTATAGGAAATAATGGTAGTTTTTTAATATCCGGTATCCGGCCGGATAGTGACTTACTATCCGGTATCCGACCGGATAGTAAATTTAGGCCGGATATCCGGCCTACCGGATAGTTACCGGATATTCCTTTCATCTCTAGCTATTCACCAATCCTGACACAAAACTATGAGTTTTATTTAGTAATTTTCTTTATTACGTAATGTGCGTGATTATAGCCGCTTAGTAAAACAGTAAAAATTTCAAAAGTATAATATAATGTGCAAGAAATAAAGGGAAGAAATTTATTTATTATTAAAAAAATACGTTGAAAAGGATTTTACCACAGCGGCGCGTGAATACAATAGAACAAGCCGGTCTTGTGATTCACATTATGATTCTACTGTAGCATAGTTTAAATAATAAGAACAAACTGATTTTATACACAGTAATAAAAAAAGTATATTTATTAAAAATCTAATTTCACTGTTATACCTACTATTATTAATGTGCTATTACTGTAGTATATTGGCATACAATGTTCTCAAACTTTATTATAACCCACCCAATGTAACATTTATACGTTACAACTTACACCCCTATTAAATATTTTCTGTTGGTAATTACAACAGATATTCAATTAAAGATATAACTTGCCCTTAAAATGGCTTAAATTGGTTATGAAAATTTCCAAGCCAATAATGACTATTTATAATTTTTAACCGACTTCAAAAAAGGAGGCGGTTCTTTACTATAATACTTTATATAAAAAAGGCTCAGTCATGCTCAGACCAGTAGGTATGTATTATAAAAGGTTTTGCTTAATGGGAACAAAAAAATAATAAAGAATGTGATTTATAAATTAAAACTTTATTAACATAAACAAAATAATAGATTTTCAATTTTGATAAAGATGCCTTTAATTGAATCAATCACAAACCCATAATAAAAAAAATGAAAATAATATTAAAATGCCCACGCGATTCAATTATAACTTAGGTAAATATTTTATTAAAAAAATACTTAAATAATTATGTGAAACATAAATTAGTTTGGCAAACACCTATTATAATAAAATAGTTAGTGGTAAAGTAGAATAAAATATCTACCTAAGCAACAACATTTCAACTGCAACTTAATTTATATTGTTGCACATAGGCCATTGACTTAGCTCAGTAGGTAAACAAGTAGATGGTTACACTATATATCTACATATTATTATAACTTCAGTTGTTTGGTACAGTAAGTAGGTAACTACAACACAAGCATTTTATGTATTCAATACACACCCACAACATACATAGATATACTTAGTAGTTGTGGTGATTAAGCTAAATGTACATAATTAAAGAAAAGGCACTGTATGACAAATTATTATTTAGTTAAATCGCGTTCAGATATGCATAAGTGTAAACAAAAACATCCGAAATGCAATAAACTATCCGACAAAGTATTAAATGGCGGAAGCTTACCGACTGTCTCCACCCAGCCTCCCCCCCGGCCATCAATAAAATGGCCAATTCGTTATTGAATTTTGTCCCCAACTTTCATGCCGAGGCTGCGCGACGCCGGTTTTAATGCGACGAGTAATTTACTGACCACAACTTTATAAATATAAACAATTTGAGTTTACAATGCATTAAAACCGTAATATTAGTGAAAGTTATGTCATATCCTAATCTTAAATAATATAATGCACTTTGCAACAATAACGTTATTGTCTGTAAACAAAAACGGCACTTGCAAAGAAAAGGTTCGCATCCAATGTAAGTAATACAACGACCTTTCGTTATGTGTGGAAGAAACGAGCTATAAATTTATTATTATATCTTTTTTATGCAAAATCTTAGGGTTTCATTGAGCTTATGTTATTCTATCTGTAGTTATGTACAGCAAAACTAAGTTTCTACTCACATTAGTAATGGATCACGTAAATATAGTAACGTGTGCGGAAACACATAAATTATAGCACTAATTACACAATTTCGTTAAGATTGGCCATTCGAATTATGTTTTTCTTAGACACCGACATAAAATGGCTGCTACCTCATTGTTCTGCGCGTTCGTTCGTGCGCATAGAAGCCGTGAACGCTTGGGGACGACCTCTCCGCCAATTAAAATTATGGCGCGAAATTTAAGGTGCCGTAAAATTGATTTTATACTGATAATTAATTACAGTAGGTATCAGAGTTACAAAACTTAACAATTACGTAACAAAACACATATGTTGTGATGATTATAACGACGAAAGTTGACAGATAAACAGTGTAATCGAAGTGATGATCTTCATTGCAAGTAATTTTTTTAGGGGCGTTATTTGTTAATGCATTTTGCTTATGTCGTACGCCTTCGAAATGCTGGTTTAATTGATTAACAGAATTGGTATGTAAGTCGCAAGTGGAGCAGTAAAATTTGTGGTATTTCTTAGAAGTGTTAACTGAACCTTTATTATCCATATTGCGTCTTCTCAAAACGTTGGATTAAACAAATCTTCAAATTCTGTCCAAAAAAGAGTGATGTTCAACTTCAAAAAACCTAAGCAAGAAAATGAACGCACGGGTGATATTGAAATTATTATTATGAATCTACCGCACCAAAGGTGAATATTGCTCTACAGAAAAAAATACAAAGGGGTGGCTTAGAGATAAGAAGTCTGTACAACTACCTGACTGAACCCTGTTTTTTTGTAATTTTGATAGGGTCACCGATTAGGGAGAGTTACGGGTGCGGTTTCTCCGATGGGTAAGTAGGTACTTGTCCCAAATAATATGGTCTCAGTTATTTTAAGTAAGTATTCGGGTAAAAGCATAGGTAGCAAGTAAAAATGTACATAATTAATTTAATAATTTAAATATGTAGGTGCTGTTATTGTTCGATAAATATGTCGTGGAACTACCTACCTTAAAATCTAGGTACCATAACGAATTGTATGTAAGTAGGCCTACCTACTTCTTAAGACTTGTTGTGAATAGGTACCTACTTTGTTTCAAGTTTTTATTTATGAAATATAGGGTCTATCAATAAGTTATTGAAAATGACGATTGCTTTGATGAGAACGGCGATTTTATGAAGTAGGTATGTGACCTAATAAACATAATACAATAAAAATAAATAATATTGATTTATTTAGTAAATAATATTGATTTATTTAATAAATAGATGATGATTTATTTAGGGTTTAAATTTTAAACCCTATAATATACATTTTTAACCTTTTTTACTTTTTATCCGTTTAAGGGTTAAGCATTGAAATAAACTAGTAGGTAAATAAGTACATAAGTAAAAGCGTACTTTATCACACCTGACATTTATGTAGGTATTTATCGAAAATAATAGGTAATCGCTATATTATAATTAGTTAACAACACCGCTTATGAGATATTATTATTATGTGCTGGCACAGATTGGTTTTAATAAACCAGTAAGAACAAAATAAAGTGTACATTTTCTTATTTTAGGGTTAAATTAAAGTCAGTGGTTCCCAAACTTATTTTTAGTCGAGCTGCGCACTTATTTTTTGTATGACACTGCCAGGCCAGGAATAAGTTATTAATTAATATGACTATAGGTGCAGATTTAAAAAAAATTTTGGCCGCGCCTGTCCAAGCCACTTGAATTTATTTGGCTTATTATGCCCTATGAATCTAGTCGATGAAATACGCATCTTATTTCGACGCAATATGATCCCTATTGCCTTGGCGCTGCCTTTTCAGCTTTGTTGCAATGGCTATTTTTCTCAGCTTTTTACACCTGTAATTTTATAGCCTTTATTAATTATTTATTATGTATAATAGTTAGCTGCCTATAAGAAGAATTTTCTTATTCATTAATATTGTTTCTTTGCCAGTTATTATTACCTATTCATATAATCATATTGGATATCACGCCATAAAATTTAATAATTGGTTGGTAGTCGGGTAAAAACTATGGTAAAAACACAAATCAAAACAAAAGAAAAAACCGCATTCAACATTACCATTTATTATGGTTATGGCCATAAAATAAGTATGACGTGTCTATACGTCTCCTTTTGAATAGGCATAATAACTATCTACTGCAAATAAATAAATAAAATAAAAATTCTTTATTTCAGACAATTTTAAAAGTCCATATCCATGCAAAAAGCTCAAGCGCGATTTTAGGAAGTTTTTGCTCCTTAATGGCTTTTTTACCACTGTTTATTGTATTTTTATAAAGATTTTTTAAAATTAATCTTTGAAAATAAAGGGAAACTTTATTCGAATAATGTAATCTGTAATGTAATTTATTATCTGTGAAAAAAAAAACTGTACTTGACATTTGATTTGTAAATCTATGGTTCTCTGAAACGTCAAATAGTTCTTTCGTGAAAATTGTAATCATGGCGGTGGGTGTTTTTGTATTTTTGTGCTATGATATCCAATCGAATCCGTAAAATTTGTGATAAGAATACCAAATGAATAGCAAAAAGTGTTTGTTTATGCGTCCAGTACAACAATTTCATTTATATTTTAGAGATTTATCCCCTTTCATGTCTCTGTTTCGGCATAACCTAAACATTCATTGTGATAAAAACATCGGAAAACACTGAGTTTCTTGTATCGTGTGGCTAATAATTTAGGCTAATTGTTGAAATATGCTTTCTAGCGAGTACCACCACCCGCGAAAAAGGAGAAGAAAGAGAAGAAGGTTCCTAAAGACAGTTCCAAAAATGTTATGAGGAATCTTCACATCAGGAAACTCTGCCTGAACATTTGTGTCGGAGAATCTGGTGACAGGCTGACTCGTGCTGCTAAGGTTATTTACACATTGTATTATTTTATATGCATAAACTTTTGCATGCTCCACAATTATTTGTGGTCCTTTGTAAGTTCATGCTAAACTAAATGTTTCTCTTTGCAACTTCTGAGCACTAACCTCTTACTGTTCAGAATACTCGTAGAAATTACATTTTATTAAATTCCACTACATGGTTCATCATAATATGAATAGTAAGTTCAGTGAATTATTAATTTATTCTATTAAAAACATATCAATATAATTAAAATGATGAATGTTGCAGGTGTTGGAGCAGCTTACTGGCCAACAGCCCGTCTTCTCTAAGGCTCGTTACACTGTGCGATCCTTTGGTATTCGTCGTAATGAAAAGATCGCAGTCCATTGCACCGTCCGAGGTGCTAAGGCTGAAGAAATCCTTGAGAGGGGTCTGAAAGTAAGTTAAATTTTCAAATTATCATAACCTATCAAATTTGAATAGCCAGTTCTTTTAGGATTCCTGTTTACATAATAGAGATTGGTGTGTGGTTATAAAATCAAAGAAATTCCTTGTTTACTGTATTATTTACATTTAATCTGATAGATACATGTTAAAAGCATTAACACCAAAGTCCCAAAATTCATAAACATGAGACATTATGTATCACAGGGAAAAAAATAGATAAATAAAACTATTCCTAACATTTTATTCAAGTTTACACATAATATTTTTTCAGTCCAAATAATGTTACTTGAATAGTGTGATAATTTAGCAATAAATGTGTTGTAGGATATTTCTTTTTGCCTTATACATGCATACATTTGTTCAAGTTGCACAAACATATTTTGTGTTTCTTTGTAAATGTATGCTAAATTAATATTTCTCATTGCAACTTCTGAACACTAACTTCTTACTGTTCAGAATACTCGAGGAAATTACAACACAAAAACTAGCTCCTTTATCGTTGAGACCATCTATTTCTGAAATAAAAGACTCGCCCATCTGATGCAATAAAGTGTTTTATCTGAAATAAAAGTTAAAAATTATTTATGTCATTGAATATTTTCCTTCTAGGTACGAGAATACGAGTTGAGGCGTGACAACTTCTCAGCCACAGGAAACTTCGGTTTCGGTATCCAGGAACACATTGACTTGGGTATCAAATATGACCCCTCCATTGGTATCTATGGTCTGGACTTCTACGTTGTACTTGGCCGCCCAGGTGAGAAAGATTTAAATATTTTTTATTTTTATTAATCATACCATAATTAATTATGTTTTTCCATTATGTATTTTAAAACTAAAACATTAAGGGCTTTGTAGGGTATAGCAATTAGAAGATAGGAAGAGTGTTTGAATGAATAGTAGTGTTACCCCCTACTAAATTATAACTAACTTATTCCCATAGCCTCCTTTCTGTGTTTTATTGCGCACACATCATGTGTTTGTAATAGTCTTATTAGAAGCATAAGAAATATTTTCATAATTAACATTGTGCATTCATATTCATAGTTTAATTAATGTTTATTAGGGAAATTTATTAAAACATTATTATTGACCTGTACTAGCACATTTGTTCAAGAGTGCTGGGATACCTTTCCTTCACCCTGTAAAGTGTGTGCTATATCAAATTATATTTATAAAGCAAATATTTACCATAGTATTTGCTTCATAAAATTAAAACATTGATTTGCACATCTCATATTTGTTGTCCATAGCCTTAACTTTATCAATTATTGTAAAATCTAAAAAGAACACCAATGAGGCTTATTTTTCTTATTAATGATAGCCAGATTCTCTAAAAATGTAATATGTACTGGAATTCTACTAATCACAGCTTTGAATCAAATACACTCGACATCAAATAAATCGCACCTCCCGCGACAAGCACTTCCAAACGTATGCTTCCCCACTTCCCACCAATATTGGCACCATTTAAAAGCGTAGTTCTAAACTTAATTTCATTAAAGGAAAGGCTTTTACCCCAAAAATGTGTCTTTAGAAGGATCCAGAGTCACTTCTTCAAAAAATAGGTAGTTACGGTTGAGCCAACTTTTATGGCTATAAAACTGTTAAGTTGGGATTAATCGCTATCCATCTGTTAAAGAGGACACGTGTGATCATTATTTGGTTTTATAACCATAAAATTTGGTCTAATTGATCCCAGAGGTGAACCCAAAGTGAGGTCTTTTTTCAAGTCACATTTATGGTATATGTTAATAATTTATTAAGAAATTAAATGTATTTTTCTTTAAGGATATTTATTGGCCTTTCAAATAACACCAATATTGTTGGGGCACCATGATTGTGTCAGAAGAAAATCTTTAAAGTTTGCGTCGCGGAAGGTGCGGTTTATTTGATGTTGAGTGTAGTTTAAGATTTAGAATACACCTCTTCCCTTTTATTTTCAAATGGGAAATGCTGGACATCACAAATGATAATTAAATGTTTTCTTTGCAGGTTTCAACGTTGCCCACAGAAGACGTAAGACTGGCAAGGTGGGATTCCCACACCGTTTGACAAAGGAAGATGCCATGAAGTGGTTCCAACAGAAATACGATGGTATCATTCTTAACAGCAAAAAGTAAACTAAGTAAAAACAATTTTTAAAATTATTTTCAATCTTTAATTTATCTATCCTTTGAAACTAATTTGTTCGCGCCGACAATACATCATTTTAGAAAATTGAATTTCCTATTAATGTGCTATTGTTATTTTCAGTTGTTGACTTTTCGGCGCAAACAATTTTGTTTTATAACCCATAACTCATATTGTAAATGGAGGCTAAATTAGTTTAAAATCTTTCTGATTCAAAGCTCCATAAACACAGTTTGTACAGACGACAGCACACCAGGCTATTTTTGTTACAAACTGCTATCACAACTTATTTAAGACTTCGGTGTTTAGCTTGAATCAAGTTTGATGTGCTGACGTCAGAACTGAACTTACATATTTATCTCCACTACACACGACATTCAAATTGTTATTAGGTATCTCAAAGTAAAGAATGCTGCTGCATATTTTTATTATTAGGTACAGTCAGCGTCAAATATTTTGTAACACGGATTACTAATGTTTGGCCAAAAAACGTTTCCCAAATTATCACATCGCAAACAACGTTTCGCAAATTTTCATTTGGCAAAACAAATGAATTAGTTGCTAAAAGTTCATTTGGAAAATGAAACTTAGGCGATAAGTTGTTTGCGAAGTGAAAGGATGATGGGCATATTGGGCGTTAAACCAACAGAAACAAAAAGTATACTAAATTAAAGCTTAATACTAGTACTTCATTTTATAGTATGATAACAATCCTGAAATACGCGGGGATACGGAGATAGAGGTAGTTGAATATGCAAAGTTTCCATAGTATTTCACATCACATTAGGGTAATAAAAATAGTATTAGGTCAATGACATTGCTTTTATCGATCATATTGAGAGTATTGTATCATATCTTACTATCGATTCTATCGATTTAGTAAGTATGTATACCGAATAAATCATAATCGATTATTCGATTGCAATAATCGATTATATTGCTGAAAATAAGGAATTGAATTAACAATCAAATGATAGTAATGATGGTAATCAATAAAATCGATTAATCGAATTGTTAATCGATAAATCGTTTTTTGGCAATTCGATTAATAATCGATCCGTGATCGATTATGCGACAACACAATAACTTAACTGGTAGAAATCCCATTGAAACATGACTGTGTTCATGTCATTTCTCTAAATGGTTAGGGTTTGCTCCCGGGAAATCCCGGTACTCATTTTTCCCGGGAATTCCCGATAATCTAATCCTTTATCTAGTTCCGGTACTGACGATGCAATTCCCGGGACTTTCGGTACTTTCGGGACTTCAATAATTTATTTTTAATAACAATTTTTTGACTAGATGCCATCATCTTTTTACCTACACACTATCAACAAATGAAAAAATATTAATAATGTTCCTAATTCATTACCTACTATCCTTTTAAGACTGATTGTTTTATCTGATTGTACTTAGATACTACTTATTATTTCTTTCAACAGCGTGTTTTTTTATAAACCTAATTTAGTTAATTTATGTTTTGTCCCTAAGAGTAGGCGCACACCGTTGTTTTTCGTCGGCCGATAGTTTAGTCCGGCAGTTGATCAGTATGGGATGGGAGTGCGCACACTACGCCGCGCCGATTCGATTTGGCCGATTCTTCATACAAATTAAAATCGGGCACAACTATCGGCCAACTAAAAATCAACGGTGTGCGCCAACTCTAACTCTTGTCGCTGCCAGTATTTGACATTGATAGAAAGTGAGAAAACATATTTTAACTAAAATACTTAACTTGATTAAACGATTGTTGCTTTTTATGAATATGGCGGTTATGATTTTTAATAGGCATTTATAACTAGTTTTGTCGTGTTGTGTAACTGTTTGGACTGATTTATTATTAAGGTAACAAACCAATTGAACTGAACAGAAAAAGTTTAATATTTTTGTTAACCTATTTACATTTTTATTAAAATTACGTACAAATTAGGTTATTTGTTTTTAATAAATAATAACCATTCACGTGGGTACCGAAATTCCCGAATTTCCCGGTTTTCCCGGTACTGGCTTAGACCTGGTACCGGGAATTCAGTAACACTCCTTAGTACCGGGACTTGCAACCGCTATAAATGGTACCTAGATATGGTCCTACGCTTATAATGTAGAACATGGTTTAAATAAACCATTTGTTGGCCCCACTCCTGAACTGTTGGACATAATAATGGATAAATAACTTAATGTATTTGAAATGTAAGTAGATAAGTATATTAATTAATAATATTTTTTGTTTGCGTTCTATAGAACCTATCTGGGGGCACGGCAGTGCCCCCACCAAGTCGAGCAAAAAAGCGGCACGGCCGTACCATCCTTTTCTCGAAGCAATTCAGGCCATTTTCGACCGCCTGTAACTTCGTTGTGGATAAAACTAGAAGGCTGAATTTTCATTAGCTATGCAGGCATTGTAAAGACACGGTATATTTAAAATTTCATTCAATTTGAACCAGTAGTTTAAGAATTATAACGGGTCAAAGTTACTTAATTTTGTCACTCACTGACTGACTCACTGACTCACTGACTCACTCACTGACTCACCGATCATCAAAACTCTAAGGCACTTCTAGCAGACCTAGAAGCTTCAAATTTGGAATATAAGAAGTGTTTGGTGTATGAATCAAGGAAAAACTAAAATATTTGGGGGCACGGTAGTGCAACCGCCAAGTCGAGTAAAATTTTTCAATTTCGGTCCAGTTTTCTAGATACATAACTGCTGTCTACAAAATACAAAAAGAAATGAGATCCCATCAAAAACAATACTTGTCAAAAAAACCAAGTCTCGCAACTCAGTTGTTCTACGGTAAAAAGTTGTGAGATCCATGTAATACCAAGTCCAGGCCAGGAAATCTTTAACGTTTTACATAAATATATTGACTTGGTCATCGCATGAAAACACGTGTAAATAAAATTATTTAGTGCGATGGCCAAGTCAATAATTTATGTAAAACGTTAAAGATTTCCTGGCCTGGACTTGGTATTACATGGATCTCACAACTTTTTACCGTAGAACAACTGAGTTGCGAGACTTGGTTTTTTTGACAAGTATTGTTTTTGATGGGATTACTATTACACATTATGTCAATTTCCAAGCAAACCCGGGAGTTTTTGGTAGTTATTTATATGAAAATATATTTCTGATATTAAGTCCTAACAAATAATAGTAGTAACATTTCTGTTAGTTTTACGCCCAGATTCCATAGAAAAGTGCCCATCATCCTTTGGCGAAAAGTAATTTGGCCAAACGGAAGGATACCTTCATAACTATGTTCGTAACACCCAAAGTTGCCAAAAAGTAGATATCACAACCTTATTCCATTGTAACAAAGACGTGTTGCGAACTTTTTGATCATAGATAAATGAAATAAGATTATAGTTCCAAAATACTGGACTGTCCTGTCGATGACATTGACAGTGGGGCGCCACCGTCAATACCGGATCGCTGGTTCAGATTTTTGCCATGTTGGAAACCATATAGTTGAACGATGGTAGCGCCCCCCTGTCATTGAGTTTGGCGGGACAGTTCAGCGTGGGTCATCTATACATACTCTGTTGTATTGATTAAACATTGCTTTTAAATAAACAATTCGGTCACCAAGGCAACCGGTTTTACGTATTTGTCATTTTTGGGGTGGTTTTTTTAGTATGAGAGATTTGTGTGTGTAAATAAATAAATCATGGCTGGTCAATACGGTGGATACGACGATGACGAGGAAGATGTACTGGCACCAAAGGAACCGCAGGTCACTTCGCAGGACCCTGATGAGAGGAAAGCTGCGAGAGCGATGCGCATCAAACGGAGGCAGGATGCCTTGAAGAGGTAAGTAATTGATGTAAGTAATCAAATACAGTTAATCTGAGGTATACCTTCACTTAAAACAGGGTGCCACATTACACCACCTGATGAGCTGCTACAAAACGAAACTATAGATTATTGCGGGTGTGTTCATGTATAGCACTGCTGCACAGCACTCTGGTGTGAGGAACACTTGAGTAGGTATACCCTGTCTACAACAACTACAACTTGAAACGGTGTTGTCGAGTTAACTGCGCACTTCGCTGGAATGCGACTCCCTCGCACTTTACCCGCATACCTCCTCGTTTGCCCCGTTCCGTACTAGAGCGTTGATGTGACGTCACGGCTGCCAGGTGTACAATTAACTTGACCGGAATCCCATCCCAACTTCCCAACTATATAATATTATAAATGCGAAAGTAACTCTGTCTGTCTGTCTGTCTGTTACGCTTTCCCGCTTAAACCTCGCAACCGATTTTGATGAAATTTGGCATAGAGATAGTTTGAGTCCCGGGAAAGAACATAGGATAGTTTTTATCCCGGTTTTTGAAACAGGGACGCGCGCGATAAAGTTTTTCTGTGACAGACAAAATTCCACGCGGGCGAAGCCGCGGGCGGAAAGCTAGTAATTATTATAGACGAGTTTAAGGTTTAAATCTCCGATTCGGCACTGTTGCAAGCGCCATGATCACGGAGTAACTTTGACTGGGTTGTAGGTACCTCAAATTGCAACTGAGTAACATTGCCGAAACTGCAAATCTGCAAACAAACATCAAAGTTTTTAAATAGCGTAAGTTTCATGAACCAGAGCGGAGCAACCGGCAGAGGAAGCCGCCGTGGACGAAGAACCAGGGCCCATAGAGCAGGCCACGGCGGCGGCGGCAGAAGAGCTGCAGAGGTTGGCGCTCGATGGCGCTGCCAAGGTCACCAATGTGAAGGTCACGACGGACGAACGTGAGGTCATACGGCGCGCTCTGTTCTCGGAGAAGATGAGAAGTAGGTATATCGACTACACTTTTTGAACTAGACATTGAGTAGGTATAGATCGTGTCATCCACGAAGACGTGCCCCACCATTCTTCCGTAATGTTTGAGTGTTATCGATACACGCTTAATTATCCATGAGTGCACACGCACACTACAACAATGACGCTCGGATTGCTCGGATCAAACTCCCCGCACCCCGCGCTTCCCTTGACCAAAATTGGTGGGGCGCGTCTTCGTGGATGAAACGATCTATACCTAACAAGCTATAAAACTTTTATTTAAAGCATTAATTAAATCATTAGTATGAACTTGTATTAGTTAAACTCTCAACTGTGCTGTGGCCCACTGTACTTAGACACAGGATTCATTATGATAGGTAGTACTACGCCTTTTGACAGACTTATCAAATGATTGTAGATTCCTACCAAAAGATAGAAGATGAAGCAGCCGAAGCTCAGATTCAGTATGAAGCCATCACTGGCAACTGGGATCCTATGCTAGAAATAAAAGACCCGCTGGACATTGACGCTGCGATCAAAGAACAGAAGAGGAGATGCGACGATTTGTTGGATGAAAAAAATCAATTGATTGACGAACTAAAAGGTGATCTAAAGCGGATGGATCAAGCTTACTATGATGATCTGGATAAACAAGTGCGTTTGAGATGAAACATTTTGTTTATATTGAAACTTCAAAGGCTTGGTGGATTCCTATTCTTGGGAAGTAGGATTTAGAAGTAAAAATGCTAGTATTTTACAGGACAAGGATATAAAGGAACTCTCAGACAGGATCGAGAAACAAGTGACGATCATGCAGAGGGCGTACGAAAAGCAGTTGAGCTTGATAGAGCAGGCTATCAACATAGAACGTGACGTCATGGTGGACCATAACAATAAGCGATGGGAGGCTCTGTATAAGCAGCGAGATCGCGAAGAAGTTGCCCATATGGAATACAAATTTGAACAGGTATTTTCTAGCGTGTCGTTTTTAGGACGTTATGATTCGAACTGAAACATTTCAACAGACATAAAACGCAAGATGATAAGCTGATAACTTCACGAAAGTTCTTTTTCAGTTAGAAGAACACAAGCAAGAAGTTGAGGCGATAATGTGGGACCATCACGGGAAATACCGCGAAGCTAAAATCGAATTAGAATCGCTGATCCAAGAACTGCAAAAGGAATTGGAGAAGTTGAAAGCTACATGCATTATCAACACTGAAAAAATCGGGTACAACTATCAAGTGCGTATTTGACTATCCTGCATTCATTGATAGGGGAAAGTAGTACGAGTTGATCCCCTGGGGTAAGATGATCTTTTGCGATTGTGCTGAAACCACTAACGTCATTTAGTTTCTTTCACTGGTAAAACATAGCTCTGGGCACCTCCCCGCTTCAGTCAAATCGTAATGGTGGCGTGAGCGATACATCGAATTTGACGAGAAAAAAGAAAATTTGTGTACTTGTGATTTAAAATAGACATGACTTTAAGCTTATGTTACTTTTATTCAAACAATGTTAAATGTAATTACTGTTGTCTTTAGGCTTTCTATTATGTTTAATTTTAATATTTTGCCATAAAAACATGGCTGCGTACTTGTAAATTATCGTAGCAAATATTTAACAATAAGTGGGACTTGGGTCAAGATGATCCCTTCCTATATGTACGAGATGATCCCTGGGAATTAAAACAAAAAGTCAATGGAGTAGGTAAAGGGAAGTGAAATAAAAGAAAGAGAACTTTATATAAGTAACTCACCTGAGTCTGAAGAAGATGATACTGAGTGGCTGTACTGAACAGAAAAGTTTTCAAGCGATACCAAGGGTGATGGATGGATAAAATGTTATGCATGTGGAAAATGGGGCCATAAAGCATGTGCTGGCGTAGAGGGTGATGAAGCAGGTGAATTTATTTGTGATATATGCAACACAGCTCCAGCCAAAAAGCGTTTAAATTATTTAAAAGCTTTTTAGCAGGTACTAAGAAAGAATAGATTATTTTCGTTATTTAATTCGTAAATGTTTTTCTTTTCTAACTTTTTAACGATTTGTTCGGATAATTAGGTACTCCGAAAGGATTACAACTAGAAAAGAATAGATCATAAAATAGAATCATAGGGATCATCTTACCCCTACCTGGGGGATCATCTTACCCACAGGGGTGTACAAGATGATCACTTTGTAAGGTTTTGCAAAAAATGAAATATTTTAATGAAACCTCAATTAATTTCTGGTTTTGAGTATAAGGAAAGTTGGATAGATAAATATACTAGTAGTAATCGTCTTTATTTTTGGTTTTCCTTGAAAAATATGTATTTTACAGCGATTCCCGCTTAAGGGGATCATCTCGTACCTACTACTTTCCCCTACAGCACATTAGCATTTCTTCAGCGTAGCGTTCATGTTAATATCCACATAGTTCACATAGATCCACATAGCTAGATACCTACTTCCAACTTGATGGAATGCGACTGTCCGTCGTACTCACCAGAGCGTCGATGTGACGTCACGGCAGCTGGGTGCGCAGTTAACTTGAACGGGTTCTAGGTAGGAAGGTAATCTACAACCAAAATCTAAATCAAAAACTGCATCGTCAGGTACTCAAAAAACGTGAAGAAGAGAATGTCTTCGTCAGATCTCAGCAGAAGCGCAAACTGAACAAGATGTCAGACGTGGCCAACAATCTCCGATCCAAGATACGCAAAGCGGCGGAGGACGGGGCCATCGAGGAGATCAAGGCGGACGCAGAGATCGTCAAGCTGATGCAGACCATGGACGATTTGGAGAAAAAGTCTATGCACTTCTCGCACGTGAACCATTATAAGTTTAGCCAGGTGAAATTTGAGAGCTCATATTATTATGGTTGATGGCGAATTCTCAATTTGCCATCAACCATAATAATCCCCTATCCTTATAAAGTCGTTTACGTCACTTAGGTAGGCTTACATTATGCACGTCCGCAAAATTACTAAATACTAAAGGAATATTTTGAGCCGCGCTGTCCAGCCAGTGACAGTGCAGCGCGGTCTGACCTTTAGATTCAGAAGAATAAAATAATGTAAATTACTTAATAAGTAATACTATACCTTGCATATGGAGAGCGTAAGCTTGCTATCAGAATGCAATATGCGCGTGCGCAGGTGTGGCGCATGTCTGCCGCTCGCTGCGCGCAGCTGATGCGCGAGTTACGCCAGGCCGAGGTGGCGCTCCACGCGCACATTCTGTCTGAACCACCGCCGCCGCCGCCTCCGCCGCCGCCCAAGAGCCCATTGTCCAAACTTGGTAACACTTGAATTATACAATCTTATTACGTAGCTTTGTAGCAATATTTTGAGCAATACCTATGCAGCAGTTGTGGATGTTTAGAAGCAAGATATCCTCCACACCTACCATTGACAGCACTGAGCAGTAATCGCAGTGCTAATAACAGAACACACCCATAGTATGCACCCTTAAAAAAGTTATTACCTATACAGGGTGACTGGAACCTAACCCGCCATAGCTAATACGCGTATAGAGGAGGTCATTTGCTAATTATTGAACCTTACTTTCTATGACTAAAGTTTTATAGTTTAGGAGATATGACAATTTTTATACTTATTTCAGATTTTCCCGAAATTTGACCTAAAAACTGCTAAAATTTTTTTTCTCGCATGATTTTAACCGATTTTTTTATTTGATACTAATATCGAATAAACCTTTAGTCAAATAAAATAAATTTCAGATCTAGATAATGATTCAATAACTAGTTACGAGCCGCCAAAGTTCAACAAAAGTACAAACCACGATAAAAAATTCAAATTCGATTTCAATTTAAGAAAAAACTAATGGTGATAATGGATTGCCAATGATCTTAAAAATATCTCTACCTTCTCTTCTTTCCAATGACATATCACACGTAGTAATTAGATATTGAAATTTATTAAAAATTCAAAGTTTATGGAAGAAAATGGAGTAATTTACGAAAATTATCCATACAAAGTTTCTTCAAACAACTCATATTTTCTGCTATACTCCTTTTCATAACTATTTTCGTGTATTTTTTTAAAATGAATTTAAAAATAATAATCACATTATAAAGAAAAAAAAAATTTAAAAAATTCAAAATCAACTTTGTATGGATAATTTTTGTATTATTACTCCATTTTCTTCCATAAACTTTGAATTTTTGATAAATTTCAATATCCAATTACAACGTGTGATATATCATTGGAAAGAAGAGAAGCTGGAGATATTTTTAAGATTATTGGCAATCCATTATCACCATTAATTTTTGTTTCAATCGAATTTGAAGTAGAATTTTTTATCGTGGTTTGTACTTTTGTTGAACTTTGGCGGCTCGTAACTAGCTATTCAATCATTATCTGGATCAGAAATTTATTTTATTTGAATAAAGACATATTCGATATTAATACCAAATAAAAAAAACTGTTGAAATCACGCGAGAAAAAAAATTGAAGCAGTTTTTAGGTCAAATTTCGGAAAAATCTGAAAAAAGTATAAAAATTGACATATCTCCTAAACTATAAAACTTTAGCCATAGAAAGTAAGGTTCAATAATTAGCAAATGACCTCCTCTATACGCTTATTAGCTATGGCGGGTTCAGTTCCAGTCACCCTGTATACTAACGACGCTCAATGTCTTGCAGAAAATGAAGAAATAGCCAAAGCTGAGCCTTCCTCAGCAATAGTTCCCAAGGAACCAGTCGACCCCAAAAACATGGTTGCTAAAGAAGCCAAAGACAGATTGGTAAAGTCAAATATGTCAGCTTTCAGATAGTAAATTATTAACTGTTCCTAACTATAAGATGCCTTCGTTTTAGGTCCGACACATACTTCAACTGGTAGCAGACAACACCGGGTTTCTGGTTGAAGATCGTCTGCTAAAGCTTATTGAGAAATACCAGCTGTCTGCCAGAAACCTTTGCACGTTGGACGCAATTTTTATGGTTGGTGTCACATTGCAGTACCATTATAATACCGGTATCGATCTAATTACGTCTTACTTACTTATTTTATGCAAAATTTTCTAGGCATTAGAAATTCAAGCAGAAGAGGACATAGAACTTCTGTGCACAACGTTTCTGAATTACGCATTTTGTCCTATATGTGTTGGAATGGAAGCGGCTTCGGAACAGCTAGATCAAATTTCCACTACATCGCAGGAAGACGCGCAGTCACATCACCCTAGTGTCAGTGCAAAAGGAGCGCGAGGTAGGCGTGGTCTTATGGCTTATGAAGTAATCATGATAGCTTCAGTAGACTCATTTTAGATAGGTTTCAAAAGAGCCTACTGCTTGAGCCCTAGTAGAGCAGGTGCTAGGTGCTTTTTTATCTAACACTAGCCTTTCGCCCGCGGCTTCGCGCGCGTTGACTACATTATCTACATATTTTACGGAACCTTATTTTTTTCCAAAATAAAATTTAGCCTATGTTACTCGTGAATTATGTAGCTTTCGAATGGTGAAACAACTTTTAAAAACGGTCCAGTAGTTTTTGAGCCTATTCATTACAACCAAACAAACAAACAAAGTTTTCCTCTTTATAATATTAGTGTAGATAAAAAAATGATCATTTTCCCAGGCGAAAGAACATCAATGAGAGCACGCTCCAGTATAGCCAGGAGCATTTCAGCCAGCACTTCTCGATCAGCTCATATTGGGTTTAGGTAGGACATCATCTTACTCAATCTTTGCTTGAAGACTTATTAAATGGACATTAGAATGCTTATGATTGTATTTCCAGAGGACATGAATTAACTCCTGCTGATCAGCAACTTATGGCAGAAGCTGATGAAATCATACAAAAGTGTGGTGATCCCCAAGGTAAAAAATGAATTCATAAAAAGTGTAAAAATATGGCTATATTTCATTTTGTGGGTCTTCCCAAAGGAACATAGCTGGGTCCCTCTAATATTATGAAATTCAATTATAATTTTAGGAAGGGCACTGGTGGCAGCTTCAGCATCAGAAATCGCTGGACCTTCGTCCTCGAGACGTGCGGGCGCAAGAGGCGTCACGGTTACTTCACAGTCGAATCTAGCTGCTTTGAAAAAACCCAACCCCTTTTTGTGTCCAGGTTTGATTTCTTTTAATAAAGAAAAATCTTGAGAGTTAAACTAATAAATTAACCAAGTTTATTATTTTTTCAGTTGGGCATTATTTGGAGATTGAACCAATGCAGGTCTTAACCGCTTTAGGAGAATTCATATCAGTATTTATTCCACCTGAGAAAAAGAAGCTCTACGATCTTTTGTAAGTTTGATGTATTTGAATTTAAATTTAATTTAAAAATGACTATGATCACTTAAGAAGTTTTTCTAAATATTTATTGATTTTCAGGGATAGTGTAAAACCACCGGACTTTAGCACACCGTCACGTAAACTGAAAGCAGATGAAATAGAACAGTACTGGTCCCAGTGGAAGAATATTTTTCCAGCCGAAAAAGATCGCTTTTGGGATGGCTTGCTTACTGGCTTGAATAATTACTTGCCCATATTGCAGGGTGAGTTTTCCTAAAAGTGCGTCCAGGCTGGTCGAATTTGCTCGCGCGGCACGCTGGTCATCCTGCTCACTCTGCTCTTGAGTGAGCAGGATGTTGAGTTTGCCGCACGAGCAAATTTGCCCAATCTGAACGCACCATAAGTATGTTGGTCTTTACTTATACCTTAAGAAGAAAATAATCGTAGTGTCTTCTAAAATTTACAGAACGGGAGCGTCTTCACGAAGAAGTGATTCTTCTTCGGCGACGCAACGCAGCCCTTCGGCGATTAGTCCGCGGCGCGCTTCCAGAATTACCGCAACCGCAGCCGCGGTACCAGCGCCCATACCCGCCTGGCTTCACGGCGCCATACCCTGACGACGGTCCCGAAGCCTATGCCAGGCTCCCACCAATATAAATGAATAAAGATATACGTCTGATAAATGTTGCGATTATTATTTTTTGAATTCCTATTGCTTGTAGACAATCAGACGATTCACTTTGTTCGGGTATCAGGGTTTCAGCGTCCCTAAAATTGAATTTATCACGATATTGATCATGATGATCATGGATTTTCCGATGGAAAAGGTGTATAGTGTTAGTGTATTACCAAAGAGCTGCACCCCGATTACGGTAACTTTTAACGTCTACAATCCAGACGCGTTTCTGATTCTGCAATACGATTGGTCAAAACAGCTGACGTACGCTGTTGAACGACCAATCGTATCGCGGAATCGAGAAGCGTGTCTGGATTGTTGACGTCACGTTGACGTTATAAGTTACCGTATAGATGACCCACGCTGAACTGTCCCGCCAAACTCAATGACAGGGGGGCGCTACCATCGTTCAACAATTATGGTTTCCAACATGGCAAAAATCGGAACCAGCGATCCGGTATTGACGGTGGCGCCCCACTGTCAATGTCATCGATAGGACAGTTCACTATTTTGGAACTATAATCGGGGCTCTGGTGTATTACATTAGTGTGAACCATAGAGTTATTAACTCTATGGTGTGAACAGATATGGATCTATTCTATGGCCAAGTGTGTATTTACCTTTCTGTTGAGCACATTTTTTGGTGGCAAAAAGACTATTACCCAGACCAACACAATAAGTTAAGAAAAAAATCTAGTGATGCAGCTATTTTTATCCTTAGTCTGAGTAAGCAATCGACATTTCATTAGTCGATTAAGTCGAGATACGATAAATAATTCTTAGTTTTTGAGTTCATTTTATCTAAATTCAAAATACAAGTTATATATTTGTGCCGTTTGGGGTTGAGACTATGGGACCATGGGGTCCAAGCGCTCGTTCCTTTTATAAGGAACTGGCAAAGAGGCTCACCGAGGTGACCGGTGATCAAAAGGCTGGCAGCTTTTTCGGTCAGAGAATTATCCTGGCCATTCAACCATTCCTGACTGCGGCGCTGGGGGTGAAGTATTTTTTATTTTGTAAATAGTTTATCATTAGTAATTTTAAAATTTTAGTTTTTAAGTAATTTTAAGTTAATGTATTATTATAAAATTATAATAAAGATGTGATGTGATGTGACATACATGTTCATCCATAAATATTATGTATATTTCTTTCTTCGATTATGCTTAATAGAGGCTTTAGTTATGGTCTTTGTGGTTATGGTTACTACTATTATAGTAGGTTTAATTACAATAACATAGCGTTTAGTCGATTTTAATACTATCATGGTGTCGAAAGTTTAATCGCTTAAGTACATCACTATTACTGTCAAAACTGTCAATGTCAGTCGCATTGCGTCAAAAAAAAAAAATCGCGGATTTCGATCGTGTAAAATACAATTTAATTTTAAATTGCGTCCGTAAATAACACATAATTATCTGTTATTTACTTGGGATAACTTATCGAGAAAAGTAAGAAAGAATCATTAAATCATCGTTTTTATGTTGTTTAAATCTGCTAAAATACTTTTGCTTGATTATGAAAGAATAACTCGTGTAATTACATATTTTAGTTGGTTTTCTGTATAAAACCACAAGTTTCAGGTCGGATATCATCTCAAAATCTTCATTATTCATTGCAGGAAACGTGGCATAATGTTAAAAGCAATATTTCATCTCGTTGGAGCTCTTCATTTCTTCTACGGATGCTACTATGACTATACCTACGTCCGAATACCAAGTACTTCAAGCACCGTTACTTCTTTCGGTGGAAAATTTAAATACTTAACATTCTTGGATGCTGTAAGTTTTCATCCCCATTAACATAATTGTTTTATAACATATTTGATCATTGATGTGTATTGTTGTTGTTTCAGATGCTACAAACAGTATACTTCACGGTCGCTTTTGCTAATGACCTGATTGGAAATAATGAACCAACACCCTCTGATAAACCTTTGATTCGGCGTTGTAAAGACACCATTTTTAGCTGCCTAGCCTTCCCTCTGGCTTCATTTGTGGGGGTGTTATTTTGGGGTATTTACGCTGTTGACCGAGAACTAATATTACCTAGAAGTTTAGACCCTTACTTCCCATTATGGTTGAACCATGTAATGCACTCTAACATTGTACTATTTGCATTTATTGAGCTAGTAACATCTTTCAGAATGTACCCCTCTAGAAAAGTAGGCTTATCAATACTGACCTCTTTCATGATTTGTTATTTGATTTGGATCCATGTTATCTATTTCAAAACAGGCAGCTGGGTATATCCAATTTTAACAGTCTTGAATTGGCCTGTAAGAGTAATATTCTATATTATCAGCCTGGGTATTGTGTGTGGCATGTATTGTATCGGCGATACTTGTAACAGAGCAGTGTGGTCTAATGAGGTAGAGGAAACTGTAAAATCTGGTAAGAAAAAAGCAAAATAATTGCTAAGAAGAGAAGAGAGTTTGGATAGTAAAGCATAATGCTGCTTTAGTTTTGTGGTTTGGTAATTGTTAAAATGATTTGGTCTTGGGGTTGGTTACTAGGTATTGAGAGCACAATATGTTTGTTGTAGGAGAATCCTAAGCATCCTAACAAAAAAGGCTAACAACAATCCTTCTACTTTAGATAAGTTTTAGGCAAACAATGGCCTATTGAAATTTGCTATGCTATAGCAATCACACTTATTTCTCAATACTAGTGTATTTAAGAAATAAAGTAACTTATAAAATAGCTGTTAGTATACATTTTAAATGTTGACAATGAAGTGCATGCTATGTGGGACATGACCTTTGTTTTGTTTGTGTAAATCCACAAAACAAAAAGTATACATAGTCTGATATGCTGATGCTACTGTACTTTGGATGGACTAAAAACATGATGAATCCTTGAGAAATTCATGCATGTTAAGTGAGTAATTATTAGGAAAATATTCATATCTACAAACAGATACATTGAAAGCTAAAACTTTGGTGATTTGAAAGGCAGTAGGTACTATAAATTAAATGAGTAAGGTTGTGATTGAAATCTTCATAGCAATAAATACCTTGCCTTTAACTTTAACAGTTTGTACTTATTGAAGGTTTTACATTTTGTGAACATTCCAGTGATAATGATATTAAAGAATGCATAAGCTAACATGCAATGTTTCATCTAGTGAAGAGTAGTTAAACAATTTGTTTACCTATTTAATTTAATAATATTTATGGACTTTTAAGGCTAAGTAAAATATCTGAGTAGAAAGAAACATGAAAGGAAATAGATTTAGATTAGCTAGACACATAATTTTAATCTAGCATTACTTCTAGTAACCGCTAGAAAAAAGTTAACTATTGTCAGCTTTTTTATAATTATTAATTACAGTTGCCTGAATATAAAATGTAATGTTTAATTTATTTATTTATTAGAATAATATTCTCCCCTAGGAACACGTGAAACGACGACTTGGTTTTGATGAAGTTACTAAATAAAAATATTTAATAAATGTTGAAATAAATTACCATAAATTAACATGCGTTTAATCCTATCTTTGGACACCTTGTTGTAACTATGAATTCCTATTTCGTACTATTTCCGTAATAGGGACCAAATGATAACTACCAAATCCAAACAGATTTTAAACTGAGCTGTCGTAGCACGTATTCGAAGGGACTTAAATTATTAAAAAAATGTAAGGAGGCTACCTTTAAATTCGTTTAGCCAACAGGCAAATGAATTTAATTTTGTGTGAAGAGGCTTGCCAAGAATGCAATATTTTTTGTAATAAAAATACAAATTAGCACTGAAGCATTTTATTTACCATTCCATCATTTACTATTGTCCATATTTAAAATAAAATACTGAAGTAAAATAAAATTAATATGTATAAATTACAATATGTCAATACATCCTATAATCACACTTCACAAGTAAAAAATTAAAAATATATTTTAAGTACTGTTACATATTACGATCTATGTATACTAATGTATAGATATCACTATTATTATTACGACTAGACTTCAAATAGTTTCAAATAATTATTTAGCTTCTAACTTCATTTGGAATTAGCGTCTGCTAAAATCGTAACGTAAAAACGCTAAAATAATTTATACAAATATAGATACATGATTAAAATTAATAATACACCTCAGAACTATTTTTAGATTTATACACCTCTTTTGGCCCGAGTTTGTTAATAGGAAGATTTAATTTTTACAATTCGTGTAATAAAAATATAACAGGGCATAAATAATAGCAACCATAACAAATGTTACATCATAATGAAATTTGTGCAAATAATATTTTCCACATTGATTTGATTTTGTAAACATTAAACAAGGTAAAGGCCTAAACACGCTTTATAATAATTTAAATAGTATGAGAGTATCTATGTACTTGATAAGTACTCTCTCATGTTCCAAAAGAAAATAAATACAAATCTTGATAAAAATATTGACTATTGTAAAACAGCCTTCAAGCTTTACATTCCACGTGTAACAAACATGACGGGTATTATAGTTGCTTAAACATCTAAGTAACTGCCTTTTCAACACAGTAACAAACACAATCTCATCAGTTACATAACGTTTAAAACACGTCTTTTCCGGTTTTCTTAGTATAATTTGTTTATGTACTTCGCTTCGCTTTGACAATACATACTGGGTGGCGCAAAAGTACTGGCACTAAAGAAAATACTTTTTTTTTTTATATGACATTTTCTGTCATTTTTTTGTTGAAAATTGTGTAGTGAACAAATGTAAAATACACTGAAAATAAACATGGACCGTTTTACTCCCCAAGAACGTGGAATAATTGTGTCAATGTTCTTACGGACGCTTTTCCAGGTCGAGTTATCTCTCGTTTTGGCGATTTGCCTTGGCCTGCAAGATCACCCGATCTGACCAGTCCAGACTTCTTTCTTTGGGGTTTTTTGAAATCTCGGGTGTATGTGAACAAGCCACAGACTCTCGCAGCTCTAAAAGAAAACATTCGTCAAGAAATAACGAACATATCGCAGAAAGTGTTACGGCAAGTTATGCAAAATGTCATAAATAGGGCTCAAATGTGTATCAACTCTGGAGGTCACCATTTAAAAGACATCATCTTTAAATCCTAATGGTACGAAATTTAATGGCACAAATATACATTTAAAAAAACCTAAATCTAGTTTTCTAATTTAGAAAAAATGTTATAGCTGAACCAAATAGGGTCTTTACTTTTGCGCCACCCAGTACTTATTTTTATACAAAACTAGCTGACCCGGCGAACTTTGTTCCGCCTTAATGGCAATAAATAAGCAGACTTTTTTTTTTAATTTCGAACGGGATAAAAAGTGTCCTATGTCCTTCTCCTGGCTCTAAACTACCTCCCTGACAATTTTCAGCTAAATCGGTTCAGCCGTTCTTGAGTTATAAGCGAAGTAACTAACACGACTTTCTTTTATATATATAGATTTATGTAATTATGAAATTATTTTATTTCGTTTGTCCAATATTGCTTATAATTACAGTTGCAATTAATATTTATTTTTATGGATACAAATCCTAATTTAAATTTGTCATATGTTCGGCGTTCGGCCTTTATTTATATTTAACCATAGATTTGCCAATGTTGTTTTGCTTACGAACATTCGTGGCTAGTACAACTTGCTTATTGTATGTAGTAAACTAATCTTTCTGTATACAGATTTTGCTTGTTCCCGATCCTTTATTTTGCTCCTAAGGAGGCTACATCATTTTGTAATCACCTCGCCCAAAAATGCTTACTTGTAGACCAATAAAAAGGGAGCAAAACGCAGCGATCTCGTTGTTCGTAAGTTTGATATAAATTACCTATCAATACATATAATCACTATAGATCTAATTTAGAATAATGCTCAACGGTGTTAATCTTACTACTGACTTTATATTTTGTGCGTGAAATCAATATCGTCTACAATATTGTAAAAAATGTAAGCGATGACGTTCTTCACAGCATATTCGACGTTCAATCCGAAAAATACAACTAGCCGAATACTTTACAACAGGCACATGTGATTCGTGAGATATTCACTTAATTGTACTACTATCAGACCTCGACTTTACAAATTGATGCAAAATTCTATAATATTATTATCATTACAGGTAACTTGTTCTATATTAAGTATGTTACGATATCACTTGTGTTTGTGCTGAAAAAATGCACACAATATTTTTAGTTCGTAAGATTTTACACAAGTAATTATTACCTATTTAACTGGTGGAAGGCTGATATTTTAATTACTATTAACTCACGGAACAACACCTTCTACAAAACAAAAAGTATGTTGATTTGATCACTATTAACACCTTCAACGTCACTAGCAATGTTCAATGTAATGTTCATAATACATACGTCATACATATATTTAAATAAGTTACTTTTATACATAATACTTGTAATGATTCTCCATCGTCAGTATATTTATTCGATTTATACTTTGAATATTATGAAACATGCAAACTCAATACACTAATGCCCGTTTTCACCATCAATCCTTAATTTTTAAGTAACCCCTATGGTAACACTATGAATTTTGTTTTCATAGGGGTCACTCAAAAAATAGGAATTGATGGTGAAAACGGGCATAAAACCACTAAAGTAGTTACGATGTAAAACTAGATATTTCTAGGGATATTCATTTTGTTTTATAAATCAAATGTATAGATACAATTGCGCACCAATGTTGTAGATTTTTTACTATCGGACATGAGTGTACCTATATCTTAATTTGTTAGTAGTCCCTGATGAACAGGACAATCAAGCGCAAAATTGTGTATTAACGTTTTACTGCACATTTTTCTTATAATCTTGGCAGTTCCACAATACGACAGAACTGTATAATCACGGTAATACTATCAAGTATTAACGTGGTATAATCACCAAACATAAGTAACTTAAAATAATAGGGTCATGTCGCTTGTTCTCGTCCAAACAACAGTAATGAATATAGAAAAATAAGCATGAACAAAGAAAGAAACCCGAATGTATGACAAGTGTCATTTCTAAGTATTTTCTATTTTATTAAAGGGATAATCCGTCGTTTGGTCGCGAACAGGCAACATGACCCTACCCTACACATTTTACAACCGAGTGTATACAAATTGCACGCGACATTTACACACTAACAGCTAACTAGCGAATTGCACAAAGAAAACTGTATAACAAAGGCAGTGTTGTTTCCAGTTACGTTTTGACTTTGCGGCTGTTTTTATAGTGTCCGTTTTTCTTCCAACTGTTACCTTGTGGTTCTCCGTTCATGGATCGCGTGAGGAATGACGTGGACTGGCCCTTCGACTCGAATAGCACGTCTGAATCTGTTTCGCTCTCCGATATGCCTTTGTTCGCGACTGTAACAAGAATGGAAAAGGTGAAAAGAAGTTCAATCTTCGTCTGTGCAAATCCTGAATATAAGAAATCTTTTAGACATATCGCACTTAACTGCAACGCTGCAGTGTATCGCAGTTCAATTCTGTTGAGATGAAAAAGGGACCGTCTTACAACAGAGTGATCCTCTAAGACCGCTGTAACCGCCTCTGTGGTCTAGTGGTAAGACCACCTGCTTCAGACGCAGAGGTCCCGGGTTCGATTCCCAGTGGGGGCAGATTTTTCTGTTCGGTTTGGTTGGTGGTAGGGCTTGTTCTAAGTCCGCCTGGCTAGCTACCACCATCTTACCTAAGTCTGTCGCCATAACAACAATGTTAACAGCATTATTGTGTTCCGGCAGTTAGAGGTAAGATAGCCAGTTCCTCCGTGGTTGAGGATTCCGGGTGAAGCTCGCTTCCACCTTCGGCCTGATCGTCACTTATCATCAGGTGAGGTACAGGCCAAGAGCTTCCTCGTTGTGAAAAAAAAAAAAAAAAAAAAAAAGCCTCTGCAAATCACGTTTTAGGTGCTAGCGGAATGTGCTTTCATGTCTGAAAACGTGATACCATAATACACCGAGCTATAGTCCGAGGATGCGCGCCGCAATAAGCATTTATCGCACCATTGTATCGATAATTGTCTGTCGTCTAAAACGGCGCGCATCCTAGCTCGGCAGGCTACAGTGTCATCATCATCATCAATTCAACCATAGGACGTCCACTGCTGCACATAAGCCTCCCGCAATTACTTCCATGATGACCGGTTGGCAACGGCCTACATCCAGCGCCTTCCTGCTACCTTTATGAAGTCGTCGGACTACATTGTAGGTGGACGTCCTACGCTGCGCTTTCCGATTTACATATGTAAAGATAGAAGAAACTTACATTAACACCTCGTCGAAGATAAACTTAAGTTTAGCCGGCTAATCTTAAGTTTATGTTCACATCTATCTTTAGCCGTAACATATACATGGGCACGGTAATAATATCATACAGTATTGTAACTTCATATAAACCGACGAAACGCGAGCATTCCTTCGAATTTCAAATTTCGGTACGCGGTCGAAAGTAAAAGTTAGGGGTGTCGCGAATGTGCCGAACGGACGTCGATGGCCTAGTGTTGAAAATGACTAAGTTGATTGAATTTGACTTACCGTCTTAAACGGTCAAATTTTTCAAAAAATACCTAGTCATTAACTGTCAGAAATGGTCATTTTCAGTCAGTTTGATTTGAAATGAAAATTATATTGTATTTAAAACCAGCTTTGGCCCACGACTTCACCCGCCTGAAATTAAAGTAACCGGTCATTATGATTAGTAGATTCAAAATTATTTTAGTATATTTTTTTAAATGAAATCTACTAACCACAAAACAACACGCATTTTTATCCTATTCCATTCAAAAAGTATTTTGTTTGTCTAATTTAGATTTAGTAGGCCCGTTAATTAGAGATAATAATTATAGCTACATTTTAACGCTCCAGTGCGACTTGACCAAATACGTCGAGGCGTATCCGATAGCGAACAAGGAGGCGCTCAGCGTAGCAACGGCGTTAGTCAACAACTTTATACTCAGGTATGGAATTCCACGTGAAATCATTACAGACAGGGGCACCGAATTTGTTAATGCAACATTAGAACAGGTTTGTAAAATCTTAAATATTAATCACTTACAATCTACCGCTTTTCATCACCAAACTTTAGGTTCATTAGAAAACAGTCATAAACATTTAACTTTTTACTTAAGAATGCAAATAAATAACACTATAAATCAGGAGTGGAGCTCATGGTTACCATTTTGGTGTTTTTCATATAATACTACTGTTCATTCCGAAACAAAATTTACACCTTACGAATTGGTATTTGGCAAATTATGTAACATACCTACAAACCTAACGAATACTTTAGATCCTATTTACAATTTCAATAGTTATCCAATAGAACTTAAGTACCGAATTCAAAGGTCGCAGCTGGAAGCTAAAAATAATCTATGTACTAGTAAAATATTAAGAAAAAATAAATATGATAATTATATTAATCCTATTGTTTACAAAAGTGGCGATCTACTATTAGTAAAAAATGAAAATTGTAATAAACTAGACCCATTGTATTTAGGTCCATTTACTGTAGTAAAGGATGTATCGCCTAATGTAATTATTTTAGTTAATGGTAAAGAGAAAATTATACATAAGAATAGAACACGACTTTATACAGTATGACTATGTAATGGTAGTTAATTACTATTGACTGTCTAATACTAGGTTACTCTTCAAGGCTGCGCAGCTGTCTATTGTTATTTTTAAAGTAAAATGTGTATTAAATTTTATTTTAATGAATTTTATATGACGTATTATATAAAAAAAAATGTGTTTATAACTAAACATTTTTTTTTCCTTTTGGAAGGGCATGTGACGTAGTAGTAAGACAATATATAAAGCAATGTATATAATATTTGAGAGTTCAGTAATAAATCATATTCAATACGAGTAACATCTTTAATTAGCCTCGTCCCGTCCTTACACTTGGCACCCGGGGCGATCCTTCCCACCTATTAAGAGGGGGGCTAAGGCACCCCAGAATGGTCTGGTCTATCATGCATGACATATCATGACCGTCCTTGTCATGCAGATGCGCCAGTGAGTACCTAAAGTCTGTTCGCCGAGAGTTGATAAATATTATGAAATGTCTTACAATAGCGACTGTCGCTTAATTATCGCATTCTGTATGGCGGGCGTCGTTTGTCACAACGCGCACTGAGTACCATGGTACAAGCCACGCAGCTGTCGTCAAGCGCCCCGGCCGGCGGACCGCAATGTGTGAAACGGAATAGATTTATTTTACATAAGACCGAAATGAATGGGATGACAGTGGGTAGGGCTTTGCCCAACATAGGGATACACTATAAGCCACTTGATAATAATGAAATACTTTTTATCCAACACATGGACGCCACGTGTTTGATCCGTATCCCCACGTATGCCCTAACCGGAATAATTCCCGTAAATTTAAAATAGATAATAATGATAATCTACCAACTTTTTCATTATATCGACAAAAATAATTAACGGGCCGCAATTTATAATGAGTTTAGAACCTCTGATATTTATTTTTTTTATCAACTCTCGGCGAACAGACTTTAGTACCTACTAATCTACGCGACTGTTGTCACCGTGATGCATGGGCACCCGGGGCGGACCATAATAATAAAGCCTGTCTACTCACTAAAGATGTGTCGTTATGGGTTTTTGAAATAACTAAACGCGACGGTTTTCGAATCACGAATAACGTTTTCAAAACTAGTTTTTTTTAAACGAAGTTATTTCCACAACTCTCAAGCAAGCGTGATAATTATAACGTTAGGTGTTTGGTTAGCTGCAAGGCATTTAGGAACTTATGACCTTCAAAATAAGACTCAAATTCAATTGAATATTATACCTATTTCATCCACACTTATGTTAACGTCCTATGGCTTTCTCACTCGCACACGCACTCGTTTCGTTGCGATCCTTATTAATTGGACACCATACATTACTCGCTTTACTCCTTTAGGTTACAAAAAATATGTTTAAGAATCGTCAATGTACGACGTTGTCCTCAAATCTGTCATAACGAAGCGGGAAACCGTTATTTTTTATGTCAACCAAACATCTACCTTATGTTGTTTGCTTAAGAGTGAATTCAGTTTAGCTTAAGAGCGTTGTGGAAACAATCGTGTTGAATAACGAAGAGATTCTAACGTTGTATGACGTTAAGAAAAAAACTAGTTTAGGCGTTTCTGGATAACGACAATCACTGGTCAGGCTGATCACTCGTTTAATAACCCGTGATAATGAATAACGCCCATCGCTACTACTCACACGGCGTGTCCTCGTGGCCCTGCAGCGGCAGCAGGCGGTACTTGGGCCGGGCGGCGCGCTTGCGGGGCGCGCACAGGCGCGAGGCGGCGCGCGCACAGCCGTAGCACAGCGCCGCCGCCGCGCACAGCAGAGCCAGCCCGCCCAGGCTGGCGTATACCACTGACCAGTCTGGAAAATAAGCAATACAGCTGTTGCAAAATCATATCTCAAATATCCTCTGGCTAGCATTACATCTGACCAGTGGCCTAATTCACGTATTTTGACAGTCAAGATCTCGCTGACGTTCAGAAGTCGTTCCACTGAAAAACTAAATCCCTTGTGAATACCACAAGGGTCATTTTTATAGAACGATTACTCGATAGGATCGCAACTCAGCGATTTGTTGTCATTGACGTTTTGTTACGTCGTCGTTATCATTGAAAAACAGTTCTAAATCCGTATTCATAAGGGTCATTTCAGTAGAACGATTACTCGATAGGATCGCATTCAACGATTTGTTGTCGTTGAAGTTTTGTTACGTGAATAAGGCTACAGTCTGCATAATAGTCAACTAAGGGATCAGTTATTAGCAATAACTACGCAATAATTTCTACACTGCCGAGTGTATGACGTATACGAGAGCACATCTGCGTAGCGTAATCGTCCCCGTCGGTAATAAAAGCCGGCAAAGACACTCACCGCAGCACCTGCTCAGTTACAGCAGCGGAACGAATCTCGCGTCACGTCACCATCTCGTCGGCGTCACGTTTTAGTTCAGTCACTGTCATTTACAGACCGTTCCTAGCTTATCACAGACTCGATATAGACACCGCAGTCCGGATGGCCGTCTCCTAACGGCCCCAGCTGGTTAAAAAGACTCTGCACCCAGAAAGCGTCGCAACGGCAAGTCCTCGTCGTCTGGTCGCACACGCCGCGCCTCGAGCACGTGCTGAGACAGAAAAAAGAGCGCACGTGCGCCCCATCTACTATCGCCGTCGCGTTGCCGTCCCGTCGCAGTCGCATCCCCATTGCTTAAGATTTCAAGAATCACGTTGCCATTCCTATTCCCACGCGTCCTGGTTTTCCCGTCGGTGTGTCATCAATGTCACGTTCCAAATCCTCCCAAAGCCAGTATTACTCACCGCAGTCCGAATGCCCATCACCCAGCGGTCCCAGCTGGTTGAATAAACTCTACATCCTGAAGGCGTCGCAGCGGCAAGTCCTCGTCGACTGGTCGCACACGCCGCGCCCTGAGCACAAGTTCAAGAACAGAAGCATCACCTATCAAGAAGCCGCATTGCCATCGCATTGGAGTCACACACGTTGCCATCTTGCGTCATGCTGTCGCGTCGGTGTCACGTAGCGGTCTCCTTAGCGTCTCGTTTCAGTCCTCAAGGCCGGTATAGACACTCACCGCAGTCAGGATGACCACCCAACGGCCTCAGCTGGTTGAATAAACTCTGCATCCAGAAAGCGTCACAACGGCACGTCCTAGTCGACTGGTCGCACACGCCGCGCCCTGAGCACAAGTTCAAGTACAGAAGCATCACCTATTAAGTAGCCGCATTGCCATCGCATTGGAGTCACACATGTTGCCATCTTGCGTCATGTTGTCGTCGCGTCGGTGTCACGTAGCGGTCTCCTTAGCGTCTCGTTTCAGTCCTCAAGGCCGGTATAGACACTCACCGCAGTCCGGATGCCCATCACCCAACGGTCCCAGCTGGTTAAAAAGACTCTGCATCCAGAAAGCGTCGCAGCGGCAAGTCCTCGTCGCCTGGTCGCACACGCCGCGCCCCGAGCACAAGCTCAAGAACAGAAGCATCACCTATCAAATAGCCGCATTGCCATCGCATTGGAGTCACACACGTTGCCATCTTGCGTCATGTTGTCGTCGCGTCGGTGTCACGTAGCGGTCTCCTTAGCGTCTCGTTTCAGTCCTCAAGGCTGGTATAGACACTCACCGCAGTCCGGATGGCCGTCTCCTAACGGTCCCAACTGATTGAATAAACTCTGCATCCAGAAAGCGTCGCAGCGGCACGTCCTCGTAGCCTGGTCGCACACGCCACGCCCTGAGCACGTGCTTAGACATAGAAAAGAGCGCACGTGCGCGCCTTCCTCTACGGTAGCCGCGATACGCGCTAGGGCGAGCGCTTTGGTGCCTTCTAGAGGTTTGCCCTGGAAGAAATTGAATTATTTTCGATGAATAACTCTTTCATCGCCATGGATAATTTTTGATAAATATACAATGGTTACAGTAGTCTTCTGTTGTGATTTGTTCATCTAAGGGAGCAATCGAGCATTTTCTACCCTTTCGACACACACATCGTGTGTCGAAGGGGTAGAAAATGCTCGACTTGGACTTACTTAGAGCCGGTTTTATTCTTTGGTTAGTCTAGAGGTCAACTAGTCAAATAGTGTTAATGGTAATAAATTCCAACTTTGGCTAAGGATCACGTGCTTTACCAAAAGTATTTCTTCTAAAAGTGGAAATTGTGATAATAATAATGAAGTTTTTGCATTAGATTCAAAATCTTTTATGGATTTTAGTAGATTTGTGGTAACGAGATGTGATGAGATAAAATAAAAGAGTATTAGTGAAGTTAAGAAAAACTAAAACATACCTCTTTAGACAAAAAGAATATGAGCTGCGTGTTTCCAGAGTCCACTTGTCCTTTGACCCTGGTCACGTTGACTTTGACGTCATCTTTCAACAGCAACGTCATCTTCTGTACTAGCGAGTCTAGCTGTCCCTGGGTGAACGTAGATATGGGGGTGAACAGCGTCATCTCCAGTAGGTTCATATCTAGAGGGTCGGGCTTGACTTGGACGCTAACTGTGTCCCGACCCGATTCCCCTTGGTCGTCCGTGACTGTCAACTCGAAGACGTATCTCCCAGGCTCTATGTTGGTTAGCTGGAAAGATGTACATATTTATATAACTTTTATCGCTGGACTTTTTCTGACAGGAGTGACAGGGTTAAAATTCACTTAGGTAGTTAGGTCTCTAAAATTCCAATGAGGGTTTTCGCGAATTAAAGATCCGCTAGATGGCGGGACGTGGATGTGGGGTCTGACTGCTGCGTGATTGGTGGATTTTGACATATCTGTCAATGTCATGTCAAAAATAACCAATCATGCAGCATTTGAACCTCGCGTCTACGTATTTTTTTTTTTTATTTAAAAAACTTATATGCACATAGAACGGTGTACATAAGGCGGACTTAATGCCTTTCGGACATTTTCTGCCAGTCAACCTTAGGGCCAAACTGAAAATAAAGTAGGCGGTATAGAATAATTACGAATTTAAAAAAAAAAAAAAAAAATTACATAAATAACATATGAATACATACATAGACACATACATATATAATAATAGGATGGATGACAAAGGGAGACAAAAAAAAAAAAAGAGAGAAGGAAAAAAAAAATGGGAAAAAAAGGAGGTTGAACAGAAATTATGAAGATGAAACACCAGCGAGATAATGTTTGCGCACATGGAATTTAAAGGTGGACTTGCTGGGAGCCTGCCTGACGTTTTCAGGGAGACCGTTCCAAAGACGAATGGAATGTAGAAGAAAAGAGTTGGAAAGAAAACCAGTACGATGAGAAGGAGTGGAAAGAAGAAGCGTATTAGAGGAACGTAGTTGACGAGAGTGAGTCGAACTGAGGAGCGTATATTGGGATTTTAGGTAAGAAGGAGAATTTGGATTGTTTAAGATTGAAAAAAGTGTTAGAAGGATTCTGACTTTTCGTCGAAAAGGTATAGGTAACCATTGAAGCTTAGACCGGAATGATGAAATGTGGTCATATTTGCGCAAGCAGAATATAAACCGGATACAGTTGTTGAGGAGCCGGTCTAGCTTATTGACATGAATTTGGTTTAGGTCAGGATAACATACATCAGCATAATCTATGACCGGAAGAATAAGGGTATGGACAAGGGAGATTTTGGTCTTAATTGGAAGGAAGTATTTCAGTCTGCAAAGGGAACGCAATGTGGCGATGACCCTCCGACTTATCTCAGATACGTGAGTTGTCCAGCTGAGGCTAGAATCTAGATAAAGACCGAGATTTTTGACGGACGAGCAGTATGGGATATCAACCCCATCAAAATTGACAGAGGTGACATCATCCATATTTAAGCGGCGAAGTTGACGCTGGCTACCCACAATTATTGCCTGGCATTTGTTGGGATTTACAGCAACCCCGTAACGACTCGACCATTTTCTGATATGTTCCAGATCGTCATTTATGTACTGTACTGCTTGATCAATTTCATCATGGTGACAATGTCGGTACAATTGAAGGTCGTCGGCGTAAAGATGGTGAGATGAGCCAATATTGTGGGTAATAGAGTTAATAAAAATTGAGAAAAGTAAAGGTGAAAGTATGCCACCCTGCGGGACACCGGTCAGAAGGTCACGCCAGTGGGAAACAGTTTTATCAATGCGTACCGCCTGTTGGCGCCCGCAGAGGTAAGAGGCGAACCAATCCATAACAACCGGTGACAAATTGTAACGGGATAGCATCGATAGGAGGACTTCATGATCAACTGTGTTGAAGGCGTTGGAAAAATCGATAAGCACCAGTAAGGTAAGTTGGCCATGCTCCATTCCCATCCTGATGTCTTCCGTTACTTTGAGTAATGCGGTGCTGGTGCTGTGACCCGGACGGAAACCGGATTGGAAAGGACTCAGAAGGTTATTGGTGAAAATGAGACTAGACAGCTGAGAATGAACAACTGCCTCCAGGGTTTTGGAAGGTATTGCCATCTGGCGGATTTTTCATTCGCGAAAACCATCATTGATATAGTGATTACCATAATACAAATCTTTTAAAAATAGAGTTTTCGTTTTGTACATTATTGTTAGGTACTCTTAGGGCCACTTTCACCGTTATCAGATCAATGCTATCCAACAACTGATAAATCGGTGAATTTATCTATCCAACATAAAATAGTCATCAGGATTTTGTCATATTATTCCAAAAATATACATTATCAATATCACATTATATTTTCCACCAGATTTGACCTATTCGTCAGAAGCTACATAATTTATCTTACAGAAAAGTACCTAATATTCTATCAGGGACCAATAATCAGAAAGTTGTTTAATAGTACCATATTTAATTAGAAACGGTATTAATCTTGCTGGGTTGGCTTGGTGCTCGGCTGGGTTGCACCATCTTATTTTAACTTTAACAAACGTCAAGTCTGTCACACTCCATACAAAAAACACCAGTTATAGTTATAGTCACGGTTAAAATAAGGTGGTGCAACTCAGCCTTAGAAATCGCGAAAGTACTTACCATCAACACAGGTTGTACGTCAGCAGAATTGAGTACCAGCAGTTCGATTTTTCAAGTTGTTTATTTAAAATTTATTTTAAAAAATACTCACCATTAGCACAGGTTGTGTATCAGAATTGAGTATCACAGTCCCCGCGGCGAGCCCAGCGCCGGCTCTCGTCCACTTCCACGAGACTATCCTGAAGTCGTCCGAAGACTTCGACCCGTTTAGGATCAGAACTGGCACCGGCAGGTTCAATACTTGGTCGCCGCCAGCATTCGCTTTGGGTGGGCTGTTTTTATCTAAAGAAGTTTTGGTTAGTGGTCAAATGATACAGAGATACTACACAATAACAAATTTTATTTGATTACAATAAACGGGCTGGAAGACGTAGCGTGGGCAGGCCTCCTACTAGGTGGACCGACGATCTGGTGAAGGTCGCGGGAAGAGCCTGGATGCGGGCAGCGCAGGACCGTTCTTGGAGGAGGCCTTTGTCCAGTGGTGGACGTCATTCGGCTGAAACGAACGAACGAACGAAACGGAGTTGTACAGTCAGCGTCAAATAGTTCATGACACCCAAAGTAGCTAAAAAGTTGACAACACAACCTTATTCCAATTGTTACAAAGACGTGTTGCGCACTTTTTGGCTACATTGGGTGTCCGAACTATTTGAGGCTGACTGTACGATCCCAGCGATCAAATGCAATCTTCCACGCAACAATAGTTTTGCAGAAAAGTATGCTTCAATTAATATTGAACAAGTTCCCGCATCCTTCACACCAATTTCAAAATGCTTTTTATGTTAGTAACACACATATTAGTAAGACACAAAGTTATAAAGATCATGCACTTTTAATATTTTTTATAACAATTCCCTTTTCTGACAAATGATATAGCTAACTTTAGTAAGTAGTGATTGCAATTTAACATATTTTTTTGGTTCATCGAAATCGATCCATGTAGAAACGTAGAAATGAGAGGAATATGTATTAATTTCGCAAAGAGACGGTATAATTTTAAATACAGTAGTTGCCACCACCAATCAATGATGGCTACCTTACGGCGCAATTTCACTAGTCGATAGGGTCCGCATGCGGCGTTCGGGAAATTTCTGGAACGGGGAGTCCCCCGCATGCTGTATACCGAACGAGTTATCGACTAATGAATATGCGCCATTATTTGAGCTTACTAGTTGGCGCCTATTGCGAGTGACACCATCAAAAGAACCACAATACGGTAGCTCTACCATAAGTTTACGCTAAACGAATCGCGCTATGAAGTGCGCGCGTAAAAAAATTATGACAGACTGTACAGCGCCCCTAACGGTTAGCGATAGAACTAAAAATTGGTAGTATGAATAAGAATAAGAACGTCTTTATTCAGCATAATTATCATTTAAGGTATACAAAGCAAGAGTAAGTATGAGTTGACAGTCGTTAGGTATTTGAAATGTATTGATAGCTGGTGCCATCCTGGCGAGTGCAAATGCGATAGTCTTCTCGCTTCAGCGCTCACTAGTTCGCGGCACTGTCTTAGCCACTACCGAGTGACAATACCTGTAGTGGAGCTCCGATAAGCGCAAATACGGTAGCCATTAACATTTTAATGCTGAACTATTTCATTTCTAAATGGACCGATATATTTACACTTACTCTGTGTGACAGTAACGGTGACATTATCAGAAGCCGAATTCCCATTATCGTCCAGTACGGTGAGCGAGAATACGTACTGGCCTTTAGTGAGACCAGTAGCGTTGGCGACGGACTCGTTAAAGTTTACAATGTTAGAGTTAGTGGGTCCCGACAGGCAGCGCCAGGTGTAAGCCACGATTCTGTGGTCGTCGTGCGAAGCCGAACCGTTCAGGGTGATCCAGGTTTGTGGGAGAGATATGAACTGCAATTACAATTTACAAATGTGGTGAAGGATGGGTGAAGAAGTTAGTAGACTATCGGAAATCGGAATCTTCGCTCTTATTCTTTCTTCTTGATTGCTTTTTCATTATCTCGAAATAATCGTAGGTCAAATAACACCTATGATATCTCCAATGTTGAGTTTACATAACAAGATACAGCTATAATATCAGGTTTTTAACATGCACTGGAAACAAACAACACCCTGCCATACGGAATCCATTCATGCTTAATAACCCTTTTCATTCAAAAGGCATACCCCGAAGTATACAAAATATTGTACAAAAACTAAATACATCACACCTTTGCGTTCGAAAATACATAACTTATTGATAGTCTTAGGGCTGATTTTTCAATCGTCAGTTATCTTTTATCTGAAGAATAAACTTGTCATTTTGACATATTTCCCATACTGAACTGTCATGTGCCAAACTTATTCTTCAGTTAAAAGTTATCCGACGATTGAAAAATCAGCCCTTAGTGATACAAAACGTTATCAATAAGACTCTTTCACAATAATTACATTACTTCATGTAATTTAGCATATTATTTACAATTTAAACACTTCATGCACATGCGTTTAGTCACCACTGTTATAGAAAATTGTAAGTAAAAATAAATGTTAGATTTTTTACATGTTTATAATATTGAATTGTTTCCTAATTCTCGAAATTTCTTCAAGGAAATATTCCAAGTTTAAAAAAAGGTAATTTAAAGTATACGGTTTTGATATTTTTAAAATTTAGCTTCGCTACAGTGGCGCGACTTAGGCAGAAATTGCATGTTTCCATATAATATGTTCAGTTCAGTTTAGTTGACAGAGATAATCTCACTTTACAGGCGTCAATATACATAGTAGGGGCGAATTTACAATAGGTAGGTCTAGCGCGTAACTCAGTGTTTGAGGTATGCGGAACGGCACGGCGGTAGGGTGTTTTTGTAACGATAAACGTCAGCAAGACTTCAGATCTTTGTCACGTCATAATATTATGTCAATGTCACCCCTCCTCCTCTATAGTTATACTATTTACTTACCACGTCTGCTCCCGCGTTAGCCACGGGCGGTGTGTTGGTCGGCGGTTTTACAAACACATGCACGTCCGCTGTGGAAAACTGTCCAGACGAGTCCGTTACTTTTAGCACGAACGTGTACACGCCTTCCGAAAGGTTTGACAACTGAAAATATAATTAAGAAGATTGTTTACGATTTGATTCGATATGGGTTTCAATATAAGGATGAGTTGCACCTCCTTACTTTAACCGTAAGGCGGTTATCACAATGCGCCGCGCTCCGCCGCGGAGCGCGTGATTTCATATTTCAAAATCCCGCGCCCAGACGCGTTGTCAGTGTGAAGTGCCGCGCGTGTTTTCTATACAAACTGAGGTATTTGCATACAATGATTAAATCTGTCGTCCCGCGTACCGCGGCGGAGCGCGGGGCAGTGTGATAACCGCCTAACTATAACGATTCGGTGTTTTTTTGCATGGGGTTTGACAGATTTTTGATATTAATTGTTATAGAGAGTAAGATGGTGCAACCCAGCCTAAGTTTTGCCAATCCTAATTACTTGGTCTAAAGCGGGGTTTCTTGATCTAGGATCACATTACATGCCCTTACATAGTATCTTCTAACGAAACGAAACAAAACAATATCTACGCAAGGATTATACGCAAACTAACTCAGAGCTTTTAACAAATTCCGAAACCCGATAAACTGTGCAAACTACAAACATTCCACGCTCTAATTAAACTTTACTGATAGAGCGCGATAACTACCAAGCACTGCGTCACTGCCTGCACTGATTAAATGTTTTCTAACCACAGCTAATTTTTAATTATTTCAGTATCCTTTCCTCATAGGTATTTATTTTCCATTCCTCTGAAATCGTCAACCACGCAAGACGAAAATTACAACAGTAGGTATCAAAGAGGTAAGGGCTTATTGTAAGTATGTATCTAAGTTTTTTTACCTACTATTATTTTTAACAGCTATTTTAAACTTTATTATTGAATATAAAAATCGTGGACTTTAAGGATGAGTTTTTTCCCCACAAATCGATACTCTCCATGGTATAAGCGACGTTTGTTATTATTTTTTAAGCAGAATAAGGTCATTGGTCGAGGTAAAAACTTATCTCTTATGAAATTGTAATTGGGGAGATTTTTCAATGTAGTCTGATATTATTGTACCTATTTGTGAATTTTCAACCAATAACACATGAATATTATGATTCATAGCCAGTTTTGTACACCGTTTATACGTATTTTGCGTATACAGGCTCAAAATGTGATTGTTAAACGAACCTGTAAATAGGGCGAGTGTGTATTCTGCATATCAACAGCTTTGTTTTCATCCTCAACCGATTTAGTCCATTCCCAGGATGTGATCTCATGGTCGTCAGTTGATAAACTCCCGTTTAGCGTCAGTTTGTTGTTCGGTAAATATATTATCACATCTTGTCCTGCAAAAATATAAATATACATGATATACTACGTGAGATAAAAACAAAAGAGAGAACACAGATCCATCCATCAATGTCGAATGTCCGAATTGTTTTTGATAATGTTAGAAAATAAAGATATGCAATATCAAATCAGTTATGCAGTTATTGAAGTACCTATGATCCACAAAAATTTTGTGCAAGAGATAACAATGTAATGCTAATGCCTGTTTTCACCATTAATCCCTAATTTTTAAGTGACCCCTATGGTAACACATAACTGGAGTTTTGCTGTCAAAGGGGTCACTTAAAAATTAGGGATTGATGGTGAAAACGGGCATGAGTGAGGCAAAAGGCGTGACCCGACACAGTTAAACACTACATGTTAGACGATTAGAAAGGTCATGGACATGGAAAGGGCAGAAACGCCTACCCATCATTGGCCAGATTTTAGCTTTTGCTCCATAAAGAGCTAAATCGGCGGCAACACAGTGCAATACAATATACAAACATAATATAATACATACCTGCGTTTGCTTCAGGGGGATAATCTGTATGATTTAACACTGTAATATTTGCTGTAGTGAAGTTCTTGACATGATCAGAGTCTTCCACCGTCAGTCTGAAAGTGTAGTTGCCTGGCTGTTTCAAGTCTTTGAGCACTAACGTGGGCCCATCCTGCAATGGCGGTTGGTAGCCGATCGGCCCTGACGTCAGATCCCAGTGCCAGGAAATTATAGCATCATCATCCTAAAAAACATACAAGTTTTAAATCTATCAAAGGGTCGCGACTTAACTTTTGTACATTTAAGGTTTCGTCCGAATCCAAAGGATGCCAACATGACACCCTTTGGGTAGGAAGCCCTAAAAGCTTCTTAATTTTATCTGTTTATCAGCAGTCTACATCTAATTGATAATTAATGCAATACAGGAGAAAGTTTCAAGTAAATTCGCGCATATATGTATCTGTGTCAGTTCGGACTTGCTTGTCCAACTTGCAATGGACAGGACTTTACCTTGCTAGCACTGCCATCGAGCACAGCCCCGGAATTAGGCAGCTTGACAGTCTGTGACTGCGGAGTGATAACCACCATTGGAGGCGTGTTAATCCTTTGAGGCGGCTTCACTGTCACCGTCGCAAACCCTTCGCCGTACGAGTTGGTGCCATTCACCGTCACCTTGAACCTGTATTGGCCTTCTGTGAGATCTGTCAGCTTCACTGTTGCACCGTCTTGCTTCATATTACCTGATAGACAAACAGAAATAAGTGTGATTGAGATTCAATCAAAGCATTAATAGGGTTGTTAATACCAACATTAAATAAAATGAAATTTATATTGTCCAAAACAAAAAATGGCACCATTTAAAAATACAGCTACAGACTTGGGAGTATTAAATAATTAATTTAATACTCCCAAGTCTGTAGCTGTATTTTTAAATATTTATTTATTTGCTTGTCACATGGTAAATACAGGTGAAATATCAAGGTGAATAGACAACAATACATAATGTTAATTTAAAATTATACCTGTAAATCCCCCTTTAGATTGGTCAACTAATGTCCATGCATAGTTGTAATGACTATTTGTTGTTTTCTCATCTGGAATAGTGTAAGCTGCCAAAGTTACTTCATTATCCGGTAATTGTACCTGAAAAAATGAGTTATTAGTGGGTAAATTTTATCAATGCATAATTTCTCTAGTCATATTTTTATAGAATCCTTTTATCCTTACCGTTTTATCTGAAACTGACACAGTTAAATTCTGAATTGCTTTTGGCGTTGAGCTTTCAGTTTTCAAATCATCATTTTTAGGATCAGGTATTAACTCATCATTCTTTTTTATGGAGTCCATAGGTATTGTGGGCCCTTTAGCAAATGGTCTTATTGTTTGGACACAGGACCCTTGAGAGTTTTCTTCAGTGCCCGGTATACATTTGCAAATACCATTCCGAAGTTTTAAACCCAAAGGGATACATTCAGCATTGAAGGGACAGTCACTAGCCCCCACTTCACATGGGACTTTTTCCAAATAGCTAGTTGCATCCATAATCATTTCACTGTCATTGTTATCTCTGTATTTATCAAAATTTCTCTCATCCTCTTCCATGGAAGGCAAATTGTTGATAAACCTTGAGAGGAAATTGGAGTCATCATCTTCAGGCATTAGATCATTTCTATGACTGGTGTATGGAGAGTACAAACTTTCTTCTTCTGGTGAAAAGTTTGTGTTTACTTCATTGTAACTTGATTGATCTAAGATGTCTGCCCAGTTTTCTGTAAATTGTTTTATAAATTAAGCACTAAGTACTGTTTTTACAATAAATACATAAATGTTTGCTTATTTGCAGTGTTATTATTAGTTAAGGTGGTAGAAAGAAGTATTTACCACTAGGTAGCACAGGTTTTACAAGTATCATGGACACATGAGCGTCCCACTTCCTGCTCCCTACTCTTGGCAGAGGCAGGCACAGCTCATCACTGACGCACTCCACATGGAAGCACCTCCTGTCCACGATGAACACGATATTGCAGGTATCACTGAGACAACATGCCATCACACATTGTCTCAAGCCTTTAAGCCCATTTTTTTCAGAATAATTTCCAGCAGTCAAGTTACCTGTTATGTAAAACAATAATAACATTATTATATTACATTGCCTTAATTAAGACACTATTATTTACGTAAACTGGCATCATTTGTTGATGTTATCGACAATTTCAAAACGGATTCACTTACCTACAGGAATGTAATTAACGAAATTTTTTGGATACAATTTTGGACACTTGTTATTTTCATATTTATCACCCCACGGCTTGTTGTATTGAGATAGAGTGATTTCAATATTCAGGGCAATCAATAAAATAAAGAAACTCAAACAAGTAGCACTAAACATATTCATAATTCATTTGATGTGATATTTAAGTGTTCATAGATTTTACCCACTGTTAGATAAGTACTATCAAAAGCAACATATTCTAATAAACATTTCGCGCGTAGGAGTAACAGAACATGCAGTACTTAAAAAATATTTTAAGTTCTCTTGTAGATGTAATACACACACTGCACAAAATCCAGACAAATTGACACTCTTGACATTAGCACAAAATATAATCAGAATTTTAATCAATTTTGCGGAGTGTTCCTATCTGTTTACTATAATTTAAACGTTTATCTGTATGCTAGTTTTGTGAGATACAGATATTCTAGTTTCTTGCTACTTTAAACGTTAATAGCAAAATATTTAAATTTATAGATAATGGAATATCTTACTTTTTTTGACATTTCATTGACATATTGTCTTTTTAAATCTTTTCGAAACCTTGGAAACACACTTTTTGCCACCAAACTCAACTAAGTACAGACAGCAACAAAATTCAAGAAGATAAAAATTTAAGCGTAGACTAGTCGGTATAAAAAACACTATTGTGAATAAAAGTGGTTAACAAATTAAACAAGTTTCATTGAATCGTTAAATTAAAATGCATGCTATGAATACAACTAGTATTGGCATTAATTATAACTTTTCTTCAAACTGTTGTCACGTTGATTTTGTTAATATTGCATTTATTTTATTTTTGCTTATTTTTATATCATGGGAGCGGGCCAAATTGGTGGAATAGCGACATTACGTAATTATTTTTTCCTTAATGTACCTACCTATTTCGTAAAAATATTATAGTGGAATTAGGTACAAAAAGAATAAACTTTATAATTTTATTTTCAGTTGACATAGATTTTAGAAATGCTGCTGGTTTTATGGGAACACAAGCTGAAGTCAGCGAAGCGCAGTTTGTTGTGAGGCAATTGTGATAACATCAGTTTAATATTTATCTCGAATGATTCATATTAAAAAGTCTTGGATTTTTTTTTTATTAAAAATCATTTACTTAATTATGTGCTAAGTATTTTGAGCTAATGTTTTTATTTAATAAAATACTATTACAAGTTCAAATTTCAGGTTCATTTTTTGTCCCATGCCTTAATGTTTTGCATGGGGACGTTGATTGAAGCTCATGTAGTGCTTACTCCTGCAATATGCGTTTTTGGAGAACGTTACAAGTTTGAAGTGTACGGTGGAACTCATAAATTTCTAGAACATGCTGGTATAAGTCGAACCGTGCAGCATTTGTGTATTCATAAAGGTGAGCAAATTTACTCAACATAAATATTTATTATTTAATTATCCTTCTTGAAGCTGCTTGTGTTAAGATTAAGAGTGAGTTCATCATAAATCACAATAGTCCAGCGGGGGCGGGTTTGACCCCGCTCTCATCGGATCTCAAGTCGACCAGTCCAACACCGACTTTAATTATACTCGTAGTCCGAATGTTGGATTGATAGTTGAATGATAAAAAATAACTTTGGCAATTAAAATTTTAAGAGTATAGCCTGACCAGGAACATAAAAACCCTCGCCATGTTGCGGAAAACTAATGGTACTAATTTCTTTTAATGGCAACAGTAACTGAAAACTTCATTGACATGTCACCTTGCATGTCAGTCTATTGCTGTCAAAGTGTAAACAAACTTTATTTTAAATGTACTCTACAATTTTGTGAATTAAATTGCTAAAATCATTTTATAGTCGTGAAAGAAAAGTGGTTCACAATGTGTTAAAGTATTTGACGAAGAGAAATACTAAGGGTTCGGACAATATTTTCATTGAATAATGTTTCCGACAAAGGTTGTCAAATTGACTGACATGTGTATCGTATAGTACAGTCCACTATGAAAATTAGCTGTGGTTTGTTTCAACTAACTATTTTGAAATTTTTTGTCACTTTCTAAGTGTTGAATTTTATAGAATTGGGAAAGAAGTACCGAGTCTGAAGCGTTCATGAGCAGACATTGCATTTGAATATTCAAGTTCTGAATTTGATTATTGATGAATAATAAAATAAATCCTACTAGCTCGATTGATGGTTTCATTTAATTTATTTAAACCAGGTTACCTATAATAATATGTTTTCGTTAATTCATGAAAATATTAAATTAACCCGTAATCCTGAATCCTGATACATAAAGTAAGCCTATTAATTTAACACAAGTACGACTGTACTCAGTGTTGCACTATCAAATGCAATTGACGCGCCACTATGCCAGGGTTTTTATGTTCCTGGTCAGGCTATAATGAACGAGTATTATTTTTCAGGTTACAACCACACCATGAGATGGAAAACGTGTGCTTCCGCTAACTTAGGCTTACTCGTTCTAAGTAAACAGTTCTCGTTTCATCAGCGGGAATCAGGGGCTGATTATGTTGTTAACAGGTTACGTTATGGTTTAACACCAACCAACACACTCAGGCGTGTAGAGGACTTACATTGCCGTTATTATGGTTGGGGGAGCCGCAGAAATGTAAGACTAACTGAATTACAACATTACCTAGAACATAATTATTAGGACTTGTACATATTATTGTGTGTTTTCAGGGATATCTTATACCACTTTCGATAAACCTTCGTCGGTTAGATGTTCATCTATTACCGCCAGATCAGTGTACACAAATGTGGAACTACGATTCACAATTTCTTTGTATACAACAAAAACCATGCAAGGTTAGTCAGAAATAAAGTAACGTATTTTTTTTAATTAATAATAAAATATTATATTTTTAAGCTTTTAATAAAATTTATTAATTTATTACAGTCAAATAAGTTTGGGGCACTTTGTCCTGTAAGTATTTAAATTAAAATTGTATAATATTAATGTGTTCAGATGAAACTGTAACTTTCATTGTTTACACCACTTATATTCTTTTTTAGGATGATCTTGGTTCTGTAATTGAATGCTCTGGTTTTGCTGTGGGTATGATGATATCAAGATTGGTAGATCGTCCGTGTGGAGTTGGATTTTTAGACCTATCTAAACATAACAAATTTCTAACCTGCGGTGTTGATGACGCCAGAGATGTAATTGATCATGATGCTTACATGTCATTTGACTTCACAACCTTCACTCCTCCACCAACACCTTCTGTGATAACGGTTCCTAATAGTCCAATAACGGAACATTAAATAAATATTGTTGAAGAAAGTAAATTACTAAAATTTATTTCTATTCCCAACGCCAACCACTCTACCTGATGATATGGGAAATGAGGATATTGTTGAGAATTTTCCCCAAACCCGTATCGGAATGATTATGCTGTTTACGATTGATATGGTAGCTATAGTTAGGTTTTAAAATAGCAAGATTACCTTTTGTTGCCGATACAATAGATCACCGTCTATCTATATTGATAATTTTAGTTGAATAAAAAAAAATTTTGTTTTCCATTAGGTATAATAAAAATTCAAAGAAAAGTTTGTGTTCCATCCATGATCGTAAGTGTACGATTAGGCATATTTTCCACATTCTGAACCTACTTGCATTAAATTCAAATAATAACACGTACCTACCTACTTATTATTATTATTATTTTGAGTCATTTATTTATTCTGCTTTTAGTTAATCAATCATTATTTCTAACACTGGTTCCCAAACTTATTTAAGATGCGCCCCCTTTCGACCAACCAAAAAATTCCGCGCCCCCCTCCTCCAGTCAAGATTATTTATTGGTTGTATCGATCAGTCAGGGTTCCGATTGCGCTAAATATTTTCAACTACAACACGACTAGACGACGAACGAAAATCACAAATTCGTATCGCGGTGTCACTTTGACAGCTAGTTCAAACAAAAACAAAACGCAACTGCTTCTTTGTGTAAAAGCTGAAACTGCTGAAAGAAGGCTACTTTTTCTCAAACGCTTTCACGAACATAGGGCAGGTGACCCGGTTTTGGCCATTTTAAGAATTTTTTAGACTTTGAGGCTATATCATTTTACAGTTTTTGTTATCACGGACTTATTTCTTGTAAAAAGTGATTAAATATATTTAAATCTAGCCTAAGGATACATATTTTTTCATAATGATTCAATGAAAAAATAATCCTGTAGAAAAGAAAAAGAAATGGGAATTTGTGCCAGTTGTTGTTTTTGGCCAGCTTTACCCCATTTCTGGCCACAGTCATGTGCCAGTTCTGGCCATCAAAATTCATCAAAAAAAAACAAAAACTACTCGACGGATTTTAACGAAACTTGGTACAATTATTTTTCATACTCCTGGGCAGGTTATAGTATACTTAGGAATTCCCACGGGAACAGGAATTAGCGGGAAAATCCTTTTGTATGAAAAATCTAAACTGCTTAAGTTAGACGCTTGAAATTTGGCATGCAGGTACCTTAGTAAACTTAAAGCTTAGTTACAACAGGATATTGCAAAATTCCCACGGGAACGGGAGTTAGCGGGAAAAAACATTTGTACGAAAAAATCTAAACCGCGTAAGATAGATGAAGGGGGTAAAACGGGATCCACGCGTACGAAGTCGTGGGCGGCCGCTAGTATGAAATATAATATCTCAGCTTGAATTGAAATCAACATTAACCTATAGTATAAGTTTATGCGGTTAGTACTGGAACAATTTTCTTTTCACAACACCGATTTTTTTTAGTATTTGGTTTCGATGGAGGCATTATAATCGTAACTCTGAAAATGAATCGATTACTTATATCAAAATAGCTAAGTAATTAAATTGAAAAATCACGATAAAAACTAAATGGCCAAAAGTGGGGTTCTTCGTGCACCACTTTTGGCCATTCATGTGGCCAAAGATGGGAAAATTCATTCATTCTGGCTCCATTAGTGGCCACCTCTCATAAACCCCTTAATAAACAAATAGCGATAAAATATCATTAGTACCACTTAGACAGTGTATTCTTTATTAAGGATTAACATAAACATTTAAAAAAATAAGAAGGATTTAGAAAATAATGATTGTTTACTCACCCGCTCGCCTTAGCCTTTTTGCTAAGACTTAAAACAATTAACGCTTCTCAAAAAATAATGACTTGTTGGATTGAAGTGAAGCTTGACACATCAAAGCTGTTAACGCTATCAGTGTTGCTAATATTAGATATTTTTATTCCCGTAAACCATAGAGTAATATATTAGTCTTTGCCTTAGTTATAACGATTTGAAGTTCTAAGTGGCCACAAAGGGGTCGGTGGCCACAACCGGGTCACTTGCCCTAATTTTTGCTGTTTTAGTAAAAAAATAAGGTTTTCGGACTTTTAATGGAAAGTGTTTAAATCCGTTGTTTTGTCTTTGTTTGCGGTTTGCTCGTGAACTTTACCGCGATACCGAATTTGCGCCTCAGCTGGAATGAAAAACGCAGCGCAACTTGAGAAGAAGGGCCAATGAATTGGAGACGTTAAAAAATTGCACAACCGGGGCCCTGGAACTGGAATGCATTCTCTCAGTGGTCGCAGGTTTTTTATACTGAAGTACACAAATGTCCCGCACCCCCCTTTAAAGGTCTTTGCGCCTCCCCTGGGGGGCGAGCCCCACACTTTAGGAACCAATGATCTAACCTGTTGATGACTACTAGAGAGGACCGTGCCTTCAGCACATTTTTGCCGATTCTATTATCTGGTCTGTGCATAAGTTTATGTGTAGCAAGTTGATTATTTTGATTTGGATGAAATTTTTTATTAATTTACATTCACTATGCGTAAAGGTAAACTATTGATAGCATTTAATTTCAGAATTGTTAAAATATTCAAGAGTTAAGTATTTTTAAATAAATGTCCCTTTGAAATATAATTTTATGAATGGTTTCGAAATTGTTTTATTGCGTGAAATTTATTTTATGAAGTAAGAATGGGAGCTGGACAAATAGGAGGCATCGCTACATTGCGTAAATTTAGAAGAAACCAGTATATTTCAAGATAAGTTTAATTTTAAAAACACAAAAAATAACTTTGTTTACTTATTTCAGTTGATATTGACTTTAAGAATCCAGCTGGATTCTTAGGAACTGAAGCTAGTGTTCTGGAAGCACAATTTATTGAGAGTAAAAAAAATAGAGCTAAGGGAAAATGCATGTACCTACTTAGAGATAAAAAAAATAAGCCTGTACTTATCACTTAGGTTTACTTTTTGTCGCATGCTCTAATGTTTTGCGTTGGAACCCTAATTGAACCGCATGTAGTTCTTACACCTGCTATTTGCGTGTTTGGAGAGAGATAAATTTCAAATATTTGCTGGTACACAATAGAATATGCAGGTATTGAGCGAATGGTGCAACATGTAGGTATGTATTCATCGAGGTAATTATTTAGTTTGGCTCAGGTATTATGGAATATTTTAACTTTGTGGGCCTGCTATTGTAAATTGTCTCCTACACGTTATTTTACCAAAACTTTTTTATTTTTCCAGGTTATAATCACACAATGGTATTTAAAGAGTGCTCTGCATCAAATTTAGCCCTGCTAGTATTAAACCGACAATTCTCATTTCATCATCGTGAGTCTGGTTCAGACTTTGTTTTTGATAGATTGCGATACGCATCAGCACCAAAGGGCTACAGACGAAACGAACCTAATATCTGTCGTCGTTACTATGGATGGGGTAGTAGAAGATCTGTGAGGAAATGATAGATACAGCTTAAACAGTTCATTTGACTATGAATTTTAATAAATATAGTAAAATAAAATGAATAACATAAATGTAATAACATTTGGAATTACAATGAATTTTTTTTGTGCGTACAACAGTCACCATGCAGTGTACGTTATTACAAATCACAAATACCTACCTGCCTTAATTTCTGGGATTTTGCAGAATAACAATTGTACATTAACAACAATAATATTTTTCAGACACGGTCATTTGGTGCTTTATGTCCAGTAAGGAACCTAAGACATTTTTTTAAATAATTTTCTAACTCTGAAAAGAACCATTATTAGATAATTCCTTTTTCATTTTAGGACGATATCGGCTCAGTTATCGAGTGTTCCGGATTTATCAAAGGCATGATGATAATTATCAAGACTAGTTGATCGCCCTTGCGGTTTTGGATTTTTGGATATGACTAAATACTGTGTAAATACTATAAGTTCCTAACGTGTGGCGTTGATGATGCTAGGGAGATTGTAGAGCATGATGCATTTATGACATTAGACGTCTCAACCTTTCCTCCCCCTCCTACTCCATCAGTTATTACGGTACCTATAGAAGAAGATAGAGAAATTACAGAGGAAGAAGAAATCACTACAAATAATGAAGATTATCTCAATAAATTAAAAGAAGAACAAACAAAGAATGCTGAACAAAAAACTAGTTCGTTGTTTGACGACTATATTCATGTTACAGAAGATGTATCTGTAGATGAGACTACTACTGATGTAAGTGTATTATCAGATTCGAGTGAAATGGACCTTGGAACTCAATGGAAAGATATTGGCTTCCAGCATAAAAAAGGATTTGGAAAAAAAAAAAAAGATTTAAAGGAAAACAAGATTGATTCGATAACTGTAATAAAACTATACCTACTTATAAGAATTGTGTTTTTATTCTATTTCAACCTTAACTAGGTATCTAATTTTGTCAAGTCTAAAATGTACAGATACGACTATTTACACATTTTAAGTTATAAATATAAGTAAATGTAGGTAAGGTATCCTACCTAAGCAATGCAAGTCAGGTTATCAGGTGGAGTCAAATGTGGTTTACCGCTAGCTGGCAACTGGCAAGTCTTGTCCTCATCGTTTTCCGTCCATGCCCATCAGAAACATGAACAATATATTTTTAAGCTGAAAGATGTTTTGAAGCCAATCCAATCAATCCTATGGTTTTTATTACTGATATAAGTTAAAATTATGGGGTAAGCTTTTTAATTTATTTTTTTATTTAATAATCCTTGCCTATTCTTCTTGTTAAAGTTTTTTTGCTGACTGTACCTACGACTGAAATACCAAACGTCCAATGCTGTTATGAATTTTGTTCGCACTTCGCCAGCGAGATGCCATATTTTTAAAAAGTCATCTAGACAACATGGCTGTTTGCATTTCCGTTCATTTGTAGAAAATTTAGGTTAGCGTTTATTAAAAATTTGTGTTCGTGTAAGAGAAAGTGATCATCGATGTTAATATTATGTGTTAAAAGTGACACGAGAATGGTTTTATAGCAGTGCTTCCGTAAACAAGGTAAGGGAATCTAAGTGCGTACACTCAATAAACTACCACGGTAACTCTTTCATTTTGATCGAATGGTAATCATTTTTTCTCCAATTAGGTACCTATTGAAGTCATAAACAATGGAGTTCGGGCATCCTCCGCCGCATATGGGCATGCCCGCGCCTGGTATGGGTGGTCCTCCAATGGGGCCACCTATGATGGGTCCGCCCGGTCGCAACAACATGCGCCATAATTTTAGACCTTTCAACTACCAGATGCGTTTCCCTCCTCAGGGTCCGCTGAACATGACTCAAGATGATTTTGATGGTAAACGTTTACGTAAATCAGTAATGCGTAAAACTGTTGACTATAATGCTGCTATAATAAAAGCTTTAGAGTGTCGAGTGTGGCAACGCGATTGGCGCGATAGGCACGCTCTCCAACCCGATGCTATGTATACTCCTGATCTGCTGCCGCCTCCTTCCTACCCTGATAATCCTATAAACGCCGTAACTACGCGATTTGTCAAAACTGCAACCAACAAAATGAGATGTCCAATTTTTGCCGTCGCTTGGACGCCTGAGGGTCGTAGATTAATTACTGGGGCTTCGTCTGGGGAGTTCACTCTATGGAACGGTTTAACATTTAACTTTGAAACTATCCTGCAAGCACATGACTCACCCGTTCGATCAATGGTATGGTCTCACGGTGAAGGTTGGATGGTAACTGGAGATCATTCAGGGTTCATTAAGTATTGGCAAAGCAACATGAACAATGTTAAAATGTACCAGGCTCACAAAGAAGCTGTAAGAGGAATAAGTTTCAGTCCTAGTGATTCCAAAATTGTTACATGTTCTGATGATGGAACTCTGCGTATATTTGATTTCTATAGATGCCAGGAAGAAAGAATTTTAAGAGGACATGGTGCAGATGTCAAATGTGTGCAATGGCATCCGAATAAAGCTCTCATTGTATCTGGCAGTAAAGATAATCAACAGCCTATTAAACTGTGGGATCCAAAATCGGGAACAGCTTTAGCCACTCTTCATGCACACAAATCAACTGTGATGGATTTGAAATGGAATGATAATGGCAACTGGTTAATAACAGCATCCAGAGATCATTTACTTAAATTGTTTGATATTCGTAAGCTTGGGACTGAATTACAAATATTTAGAGGACATAAAAAGGAAGCTTCTAGTGTTGTTTGGCACCCCACACATGAAGGGCTGTTTTGTTCAGGTGGATCAGATGGTGCTATATTGTTTTGGAATGTGGGAACAGACAAAGAAGTAGGCTGTATTGAAGGAGCACACGAATCAATAGTCTGGACTATGGCATGGCATCCACTTGGGCATATATTATGTTCAGGATCCAATGACCACACTTCCAAATTTTGGACTCGTAATAGACCTGGTGATCTGATGAGAGACAAATACAATCTCAACACTTTGCCTCCTGGTGTACAAGATGATCATGATATGGAGGAACCTGCTGTAATCCCTGGAATGGGTCCTGAAGACAATGTTGAAATATTTTCATCTGATACTGACAAAGTCATTCCAGGTCTAGACTTTGATACAACAAATATGCCACTAGAGTTTGAAAAGAAAGTTAAAAAGGTACCATATAGCAAACCCATCCCAAGAAACTTCCAAGCTCAATGGAACCATGGCCCCTCTTCTGACGATGCTGCTACAGATGCTCTTACACAAGCATTAGTAGAATCTGTTCCTGGAGCTATTCCTCTTCATCAGATAACACCATCTGCTATATTTATGTATGGGAAACTAATTCCAGTTGAACCAGGCTCTAAGTTAGAGAAAGCTATTTCAGAGGGTCCCTTAGCTTTAAAAAAATACATTGCTTCTGGAGAAATAGAGGAGCTACATGATGTTATGCCTCATTTAGAGGATGATGCTGATGAAGAAAACTTTCAACCATTCGAATATCCTGATCATGATAATGAAAATGAGCCTACTGATAATGATAATGAAAACAATGACAGGCCTTATGATCAAGAAGAGGATTATTATGATAATGAAATGGATGTAAATGATCAAAATAGTCAGGATGATCAACATTATAACAATGGCCCTCCTGATATGGGTAACATGGGCCCTATGGGTAACAATGGACCACCAATGGGAAATATGATGAGACCACCAATGGGAATGGGAGGTCCCATGGGCCCACCAATGGGACCGCCGATGCGCCCTATGCACATGGGTAATATGCCACCTATGGGTCCGCCGATGGGAAATATGCCTCCACAAATGGGAAATATGCCACCTATGGGTCCACCTATGAATAATATGCCTCACATGAATAATATGCCGCCTCGTCCTCCCTTCAATGATAATGGATATAACAAAGGTCACTTTGATTCAGGGTATGATAATCAGCAGTACCAACAGAACGATGATTATAATGAGGAGGAATCTTATGATCAGAGTTACGATGAGGGCAATAATTATAATGACGGTAACAGTGACAACGGTGATGATGGATATCCTCGTAATCAGAGATGGGATGGAGGCTTTAGGGGAAGAGGTAGAGGGCGCGGACGTGGAATGAACGGTCACAACTCACGAAGCAACTGGAGAGGCAACTCGGGCAACTCTCGTGGGGCCCCGTGGAACAGGAGAGGTGGTAACTCCAACAGAGGCGGTAATACCCGGGGTTTCAGACGAGGTGGTAAACCAATATCTAATTAGCTAAATGCCTTAACATTGTATGCATGCACAGACTTTGATACCAGTTTATGTTTGAAGCAAGACTTATGATGAGTGTTAAGTTGTGGATAAGTGAAAAAGACATTAACCATGTTGGCGTTACAAAACGGTTGTACATAATTATTTTACAGCTTGTATTTTATTTTCGTAATAAGCTGAAAACAATAAATTTGTATTACGTCACAAAACATTTTTTTAGATTTTTGTACAGGTAAAAACTTATTCTATCTTTTCCTGGGAAAATTGGTAAGTTTCTGTCTTATTTGTAAATTCTTTCAAATAGGAATTCTTGATGATATGGTGTTTTTATGATGCCAGGTAATCAATATTTGGAAGGAGTTAGTTGGTGGCATCAAGCCAGCTGTCGTCTCCAGTCATTGGCTGGTGTTGAAGAGTTTCATCGAATGAATTTGCTTTCGGCGCCTTCGACCTGACAACTTCGACTTTATAGTAAGAAAATACTGGTATTTATTGAATTTGTTTTGTCATTAATAAATAAATAAAGAACAACCTCTACAACAATGAAATATAAACTCTATTCGGATCATTCAATATTACTGTACATTGTGGGGTTATTAATAAAGTTGAAAAAAAAAAAAACAATAAATAAAGAGTCCAAGGTGTATCCTCTCCCTTAGAAATATAATACAGCCAGTGAAATGCAGTGCATGTTTGGTGGCTATAGATTTTTTTTTATTTACTTTATTATTAAATAGGCACTAGTAGTTTCTATATTTTTTCATTTATTTATTAGGTATTAGGATAAGTAAAAGGAGGCAAAAACTAATCAGGAATCTCCTTTATCCTTATTATTTTAAAATGGTGTTGTTTAAACAAACTATTTACTATTAAACTAGTGGTGGATATTATCATTTTCAAATTAAATATAACTACTTCACCAGTTTCAGTTTCAGTATCTACATCACCTAAATAAAATTAAATGCATGCAGTTTTTATAATTACAGTTGCGTTAGGTAGATAAAAAAATATCTTTAGAATATTTTTTAGTGGTTTTCTTAGTTTTAAATAGTATGGAATGAAAGGAAGACATCTTCTTAAAATTTTTTTTTATTTCTTCATATTTCATCATTACATCAAATTCCCCTATTTTCGGCTGAGATTGTATTTTATCTCTATAATTAGTCTTCGTATCTCGTGGGAGAATCTTAGGAACATGATCGTGATTAACGTTCCAGTTCAATGTTTATTATATCGATTTTGTCACGACAAGGAAAAACATACGTGCCTACGAGCGAAAATATATCGACAAGAATCTATCAGCTATTATGATAAGTCACCGTTGATTGGTAATGCTTACTATTTTCAATTTTCAGTCACAATAAATAATTACTTTTTTTTAAGATTTTCTAATTAATTTTCAGTAATTTAGGTATTCCATCCGCGCTGGACCTATTCAGATGTTGATATCGTTATTTCATACTGAAAATGCTTATTTTGAAACGCCGATAATACACGGTTGTACTTCGATCCTATTGATTTATTATTTCCCTGCACATTAAAAATCCTGCGTCAGTCAGTAGCTTACAATTGGTTTTTATGCAGCTGCTTCTGATACCCTGACTGATGGTAATCATGTCTCCATCCAATAAAGAAACAAATTCTATCTTGGGCACATAGAAAATATTCAACAATGTTATTGGTTATTCTTCTTCCCTATTTACTAATATTTTATGTTTAACTAGCTGACCCGGCGAACTTTGTTCCGCCTTAATGGCAATAAATAAGCAGACTTTTTTTTAATTTCGAACGGGATAAAAAGTATCCTATGTCCTTCTCCTGGCTCTAAACTACCTCCCGGACAATTTTCAGCTAAATCGGTTCAGCCGTTCTTGAGTTATAAGCGAAGTAACTAACACGACTTTCTTTTATATATATAGATATAATATAATAATAGTATATAGATAAAATAAATCTGAGCACAAAAACAATATTTAATTATAGCCTGACCAGGAACATAAAAACCCTCGCCATGTTGCGGAAAACTAATGGTACTAATTTCTTTTAATGGCAACAGTTACTGAAAACTTCATTAACATGTCACCTTGCATGTCAGTCTATTGCTGTCAAAGTGTAAACAAACTTTATTTTAAATGTGTGCAATTGATTTTGTGAATTAAATTGCTAAAATATTTTTATAGTCGTGAAAGAAAAGTGGTTCACAATGTGTTAATGTATTTGTCGAAGAGAAATACCAAGGGTTCGGACAATATTTTCATTGAATAATGTTTCCGACAAAGGTTGTCAAATTGACTGACATGTTTATCGTATAGTACAGTCTACTATGAAAATTAGCTGTAGTTTGTTTCAACTACCTATTTTAAAGTTTTTTGTCACTTTCTCAGTTTTGAATTTTATGGAATTGGGAAAGAAGTACCGAGTTTGAAGCGTTCATGAGCAGACATTGCAGTTGAATATTCAAGTTCTGAATTTGATTATTGATGAATAATAAAATAAATCCTACTAGCTCGATTGATGGTTTCATTTAATTTATTTAAACCAGGTTACCTTTATTAATATTTTTTCGTTAATTTATGAAAATATCAAATTAGCCCGTAATCCTGAATCCTGATACATAAATTTAGCCTATTAATTTAACACAGGTACGACTGTACTCAGTGTTGCACTATCAAATGCAATTGAAGCGCCTCTATGCCAGGGTTTTTATGTTCCTGGTCAGGCTATACCTGTGTCTGGTGTGATGTGTTATACCTACAGGAAATGGAATAAACAAATTAACAAAATAATACATATTTTATTATCAAACTGCACTGCACCGGCTTCATACCTCAACCTTTTATTCCTTACATCTTGGATTCAAAAAAGTTTATCATTGTAATTATATTTAAATATATCGACGTAAGAAAAGAACTTAACTATGTAGAATAAACATAATATGGAAAATTAAAGGGTTTCATTTAACATGCCCTCACCTTTTAATAAAGACAAATTGAAACATAAAGTGTAGTTTTAATTTTTTGAATTTAATTCGAAACCCTCATTTCACTACTGCTTGCAATTAGTCAACATAATTTTCTTTTGTTACAGATGAACCTATTAGCATGTCTCCTTTGCGCGTCCTCTGTTCTAATGTGCCACGCGAGCCAGCTTAATAATGGTGGAAACAAAAATGCAATTTCTATTACAAACCCTACACTCGAAGCTATAAATGGGACGCCAAATTACAGACTGCTGAATCCTTTTAGAGCTACACCATGGTATCCAGAAAGAGAGATGAAACTAGACAGCTGTGTGAGAAAAGCTCATTGCGAGCAGCTGGATAAGCTGACCTGTTTAGGTGCCAAACTATCTTATGACAAAACCAGCGTACATCTAACTTTTTATGAGACTCAAAATGAAATTCAGATGCAGCTGGAACAGTACAAGGAGTTGATAAATGTGCCAAAATGCTGGGCGGTCATACAGCCTTTACTCTGTGCGACTTTCATGCCAAAATGCGAGGAGATTCTCGGTCAAGACATGGTGTACTTGCCTTCCTACGAGATGTGCAAAATCACCATGGAACCTTGCGCAATACTGTATAATACCTCATATTTTCCATCCTTTTTGAAATGCAATTCTACACTGTTTCCGTCTCGATGCGATAACGCTGGGAGAGAGATGAAGTTTAATACGACTGGGAAATGTTTGCCACCACTTATACATACCAATAAACAGTTACATTTTTATGAAGGTATCTATGCATTTTCAAGTTTGATAGCTTATATTTTCTTGTATCAGTATACTAATATGCTGTATTTTTCAGGGATGTCAGGTTGTGGGCTGCCGTGCCGTGATCCTCTGTACACCGAAGACGAGCATCAGCAGATACACCGACTAGTCGCCTGGTGCGCGTGCACTTGCTTGGCCCTCAACTTATTGACGGTGGCTACCTTCCTCATAGATTGGCGGAGCTCTAACAAATATCCCGCACTTGTTATTTTTTACATCAACGTGTGCTTTGCTGTTGCATCGATGGGGTATGTAGCTAACGTTTCTATGCCTATTACTTTAACTTGTAGTAACTGCTCACCAGGCAGCCGTGACGTCACATCGACGCTTTAGTACGGAATGTGGCGAACGCGCGAGGTGCGCAGTTAACTCGATCGAGTTGCATTTCATAATCTGTATCATCGACATTAGCTAAATCAAAATAGTTATAAATTCAAAATTGCATTCCAGTCTCTTTCGTTTATCAAATTCACCACTGTTTCAAATTGCAAAGCAAGATTAGAACTTTTTAATATTCCTAACACCATAATAAAACGTGATATTCAATGTAAATACATAACAATAGGTAGGGATTATTATCTTTTTTGACCGTTTTATGGTCTTTATTTTAGCGAGTCGTGAACCATGACGATTCTCATAAAGGTCCAATGTCATCAGATCACGCGTGCACCGGTGAGTTGATTGTCACCGTGACAGTATATCTGGCCGTAGCTGCGTAGATAAGTACTACGTTGTCTTTCTTTATAAAAGTGTAAGTGAGAAAGATGACTGTCACGGTGATAAAAAGTCATCCGTGCGAGCATAGCCTTTACATGTTTTTTTATTTGTTGCAGATGGCTCGTACAGTTTGGCGTTGGGTCTAGAGACGACATAGTTTGCTCAAAAGATGGGACCAGGCGGCAAGGAGAACCTTCTGCTGAAGAAAATTTGTCGTGTGTTGTTGTTTTTGTATTGGTAAGGATAAAAAATACTCTCTCATTAAAAATGAATTATGTTTTGTGATGATAGACAGATTTATAATTTTTTTTCTGTTTCAGGTATACTACTTCATGATGGCAGCTTGTGTGTGGTTTGTTATATTCACATACGCATGGCACATGAGTTTTCGAGCATTAGGTAATTTGTTTTTGACTTATACACGCTCAAAATATTGATCTTATTTTATATTCCACTTCCATCTGATAGTACAGTGAAATAAAAATTTTACGCGCCATATTTACAAGTTATTTTTCATTAAACTTTACTGGCCAATTTAAAACAGTGTAAGATAAGCTTCAAATCTTATGAAAAACATTTTCTCTATACCAGTTAAAGGGTTAATAGGGCATCAAGCCTTTGTTTATCTTGCTAACTTTCTGACTCCTAAAACTTTTTATAACAAGAAGAATAAGTAAAGATTGTTCAGATCCGACACAGATTAGTAGTCTTTTTTAAAGTGATGTAATCTAACAAACATCTTTTTCCGCAGGCAAAATCCAAGACAGAATAGACAAAAAAGCGGCATACTTCCACCTAGTGGCGTGGTCTCTCCCGCTAATCTTGACGATCGCGACCATGGCCTTCGGCGAGGTGGATGGCAGCAGCGTGACCGGGATATGTTTCGTGGGATACGTCAACCATCCGATGAGGGCTGCTTTGTTGTTGGCGCCGTTGTCGGTGGTGCTGGTGCTTGGAGGATACTTCTTATTGAGAGGCAAGAGATGTAGTTATTTCATTGTCATGATTTCAGCCACGGGACATCCACGACTAAGCCTATGTTCTATCCTGAGGCCTATGAAACTTTGAGCTTCTTTATGAGGCCTATAATAGTCTGTAGTTACTTACAGTAGTTATTAAGAATGCCTACCCATCTAATTTGAGCGTGACGTTTGTCGTCGTCTTTCTTTTAATTTATAGTAAAGAACTAAATTAAAACATTTTGTACAGTCAGCCAGCGTCACATAGATCGAAGCATGCAGATATTTATCTGATATTCAATCTATACTAATATTGTAAATGCGTAATAATAAAGTAACTCTGTCTGTCTGTCTCTCTTTCACGCCTAAACCACTGAACCGATTTTGATGAAATTTGGCAGGGACATAGTTTAAGTCCCGGGAAAGGACATAGGATAGTTTTTATCCTGGTTTTTGAAACAGGGATGCGCGCGATAAAGTTTTTCTGTGACAGACAAAATTCCACGGGGGCGAAGCCGCGGGTGGAAAGCTAGTATTTCACATAAATGTAACCAGTAGCATATTGTTTGAGGCACCTAAAGTACTCAATATAATGTTAGCAACACTGTTCTCAATTTTATATGAGCTTCGATGATTGTGGTTATAGAATTTCAACAAGCACAAGGGCTTGGGTTCAGGCGACGCTCTTATTTGAATGAATAAACATTTATTAATATTCTTTCCGCAGGTATGTTCTCCTTGATAGCAGTACGAGTGTCCAGCAAGGACGTGATATCGCCCCGCGCCGCCAACAAGATCCGCCAGACCATCACACGCTGCTCCATCACGGCCACCCTGGTCGCCGTGTTCATCTGCGTCACCTTCGCCTGCCATATCTACGAGTTCAGGAATGCTGACCTTTGGAAGGATTCGTTTAAGAAGAATATCATGTAAGTTTTATTCAAAACTTTGAAACTAGTCAATATAATTCGACTTGCTGCTGTTTATTAACATCACCATTTTGCTTGTTTTGTCCTTTTATGATGGTCACTTAATCTGGTAGTTGGCGTACTAGCACCTAGTCAACTAAGGCCCGATTTCCACCAAGGCGGAGCGGAGCGGAGAAATGATTTGAATAACCGATCAGATTTCATTCTGTCAGTTTCATAAAATCTGAATGACATCTGATTGGTTGTTCAAAACATTTCTCCGTTCCGCTAGAGCGATGCGCGCCCCCGGTCAAAAACATTGCGATATCCGTTAGTGGGGGACAAACGGGAATACATCCGCCAGTCTAGTGATTACTGCACGCCGCTGCCGCCTCGCGCCCGCTAACTTCGTTTCCGTAGCCTTACAAAGCTTTATTACATGTTAGTGTTTATTAAACTTGTTTTGGTCCTCAGATGTCGTCTAGAAGCCCTAAAGGACAGCAGCAAAGAGTGCTTGGGCGACGTGCGTCCTTCAGTGTCGGTGCTACAACTACGGCTGCTGTGCTGCTTCGCGGCCGGCGCGCTCATGGCCACCTGGACCTGGACGCCCGCCGCCGCCGCCGCCTGGCGCCGCTACCTGGCCCGGTCAGTGCTAGCACTCGGGAACTAGACTAGCTCCCAGCACTATAGGACAGCAGCAGGAGTGCTTGGGCGACGTGCGTCCTTCAGTGTCGGTGCTGCAGCTGCGGCTGCTGTGCTGCTTCGCGGCCGGCGCGCTCATGGCCACCTGGACCTGGACGCCCGCCGCCGCCGCCGCCTGGCGCCGCTACCTGGCCCGGTCAGTGCTAGCACTCGGGAACTAGACTAGCTCCCAGCACTATAGGACAGCAGCAGGAGTGCTTGGGCGACGTGCGTCCTTCAGTGTCGGTGCTACAACTACGGCTGCTGTGCTGCTTCGCGGCCGGCGCGCTCATTGCTCCACTTGCTAGGACTGACTTGGGAACTCCAGACATCTTTCCCCAACGACGAACTTGGCCTCAACTTGGCTTTACTGGTTGCGTCGCCCCCGGTCAGTTCTAGGACTCCCTCGGGAATTAGACTAGCTCCCAGCACTATAGGACAGCAGCAGGGAGTGCCTGGGCGACTTGCGACCGATCAACTTTCCCCTTGGGAAAACTTGGCTCCAACTTTGTCACACTGGTTGCCTTGCCCGGTCAGTGCTTGGACTGACTTGCTCCAGACATCTGCTGCTTGAACTCCAGATATCTTTACCCCAGGAACAAACTAGGCCTCAACTTGGCTTTACTGGTTGCCTCGCTCCCGATCAGTGCTAGGACTCGCGTATAAACTCGGCTAACTTTTCCCCTAGGACAAACTTGGTCTTCACTGGTCTTCATTGATGGTCAAGATTTTAGATCCTCCTTTCTTCTGATTCAAAATTAGCTTTCAGTTCGGTTTTTATTGGCAGTCAATTAAAGTAGATACATGAGTCGGTGGGCTGGGAACGAGAGGAGTGAATAATCTTATTGTAAACTCGGACAAGCTGTATAAAAATTGACACACCTAAAATAATTTATATTTTTTTAGCAACTAAAAATTTCATTTACAGCCGATTGAAGTTGCTTTCTTCCAGGCGTCTAACCGTCCTCTTATTTCACTCAGGAAGTTTGGGTGCTCAGTGGAGGCAGAGGTGACGCGGCGCGCGCGCAAGCACGAACTCATCGCACGCGCATACCGTCGTCGCGGAGAGTTCGCGGCGCGCGGACGACTGTCCATATCGCTGGGAGGCAGCCGGCAAGACCCGGTCGGGCTCTGTCTGGACCACACCTCGCCTATCGACTACCCGGACGACGCCAAGCATGAGAGGTGACTGTTTAGATTAGTCTTAGTAGATAGACTGAGTGAGTCGTTTTAATGCCAATCGCGCGCGCCTACCGTCGTCGCGGCGAGTTCGCGGCGCGCGGACGACTGTCCATATCGCTGGGAGGCAGCCGGCAAGACCCCGTCGGGCTCTGTCTGGACCACACCTCGCCTATCGACTACCCGGACGACGCCACGCATGAGAGGTGACTGTTTAGATTAGTTATCTTTGTAGGTAGATTGTGCGAATAGTTTCACTGGGGGAAAAAAACGCACGAGTCAATCGCCCGCGCATCGCCGCTGCGGAGAGTTCGCGGCGAGAGGACGACTGTCCATATCGCTGGGCGGCAGCCAGCAAGACCCCGTCGGGCTGTGTCTGGACCACACCTCGCCTATCGACTATCCGGACGACGCCAAGCATGAGAGGTGACTGTTTAGATTTGCCTTTGTAGATAGACTGAGCTAGTCGTTTTAATGCTCATCGCACGCGCCTGCCGTCGCCGCGGCGAGTTCGCGGTGCGCGGACGACTGTCCATATCGCTGGGAGGCAGCCGGCAAGACCCCGTCGGGCTGTGTCTGGACCACACCTCGCCTATTGACTACCTGGACGACGCCAAGCATGAGAGGTGACTGTTTAGATTTGCCTTTGTAGATGGATTGAGAGAGTCGTTGATTGAGCGCGCCTACCGCCGTCGCGGCGTGCGGACGACTGTCCATATCGCTGGGAGGCAGTCGGCAAGACCCCGTCGGGCTGTGTCTGGACCACACCTCGCCCATCGACTACCCGGACGACGCCAAGCATGAGAGGTGACTGTTCAGTTTAGTTATCTTTGGAGGTAGACTGTGCGAATAGTTTCATTGGGGGAAGAAAACGCACGAGTCAATCGCCCGCGCATCGCCGCCGCGGCGAGTACGCGGCGCGCGGACGACTGTCCATATCGCTGGGCGGCAGCCGGCAAGACCCCGTCGGGCTGTGTCTGGACCACACCTCGCCTATCGACTACCCGGACGACGCCAAGCATGAGAGGTGACTGTTCAGTTTAGTTGGTAGATAGAGTCGTTTTAATGGGGAAAGAAAACGCACGAGTACATCGCGCGCGCTTACTACCGCAATGAGTTATTTTTGACATGACATTGACAGATATGTCAAAATCCACCAAATACGCAGCATTTGCACCTCGCGTCTACGTATTGCCATCTGGCGGATTTTTCAATCGCGAAAACCCTCATTGTCTTGTCAGTCAGCCTTTCTGGGCAAATGTAATGATTAAAGTAATTAATTTTTAGAAGAAAAGACAGACAAATACTGGATTTAAGCGGTTTCTTGTGGTGATTCGCAATGAACTCCAGTAAATTTCGGCTATCCCATAATAACAGTGGTTGGTTGTGATGTGAAACAGTTTGTGTTTCCGCAGCGCGGAGCTGTCGTCGTCGTGGGCGGCCAACCTGCCGCGCTTCGTGCGCCGCCGCGACGCGCTCGTGCTGCCGGCGCACCACCACTCGCTCAGCTCCACGCCCGACCGCCGCAACTCACAGGATTCCCAGATCAGCATCAGCCTCCGCCACGTCTCCGTCGAGTCCCGACGCAACTCCCTCGACAGCCAACTTTCAGTCAAAATCGCGGAAATGAAAACAAAAGTCGGCCGACGTCGCACCAAACACACTAAAGCCAAGCGCAAGGCCCGCGCCGCCAGCGCTCGCAAAGAAAGCACCCCCTCCATCGAGAGCCAGATCAGTCGCTACTGGCTCCAGGCCGTCGCGGCCAACAACGATCCGTCCCGGGAGGAGGTAAAGTTCAGTTTCGATTGATTCTAAATACGAACGTGTATTATTTTCGGTTTCAATTGCTACTCTATCGCAGCTCCTTATATCAGCGCGATCGACGATGCTGAATCGAATGATTGCATATCATTGAATTGAATAGAACGTGCGCGTGCGCAAATCGAATCGAGTCGTTTACCTTTAATACTATTTATTTTAATTTAGCGTGTAGGTTTACCAGTTCAAATTAGTATGTCCAAAGGTATTTATCCATGTGATAAGTTTTTATTGTCAGAATACAATTTGACACGTGCGAGTGTTGTTAACAACTTTGTTTGTTGTTGTATATCATTTTTAGGAACAAAAGACTGATCAGAATCTCTTGGAACTGTATTATCTCCCGTCGCGATGTTTAAAGATCCATGACAATCTCAAAGTTTTGTGATATTATGTGTAACCTCAATCATAATTTTAATTGTGCCATAAAGTTGTTGTGTGGTATGATAACTGACAGAAATAAATCAGATTCGACTGATATTTTCGTAGCTACTAAGATGTAATTTTGCTATAAGATTTTAGATATAATTATCTATACATAATGGCAAGCTATTTTGATTGTTTTACGGATTAGCTAACTGTTGTTATATTAGCATTGATAAGATAGTGCATAAACTGTATTTGTTAAATCGATGATTAGTTCCGCTCTTGTGAGTGGAGATACTTTGATGTTAGCAAGCTGTCTCGTACAAAAATGAGACGTGACATCATTTATGTTGTTAAAACAAAATGTACAAGATAGGTTGTGATGCAATTGGATTATACTTATTGTGAGTAGGTTGTTACGAGGCTATTGTGATGATGAAATACATATTTTTAATAAGTAGTGGACACTTTTTTGCAATGTATTGTTGAACGATATAGTAGCCGACTGTTTGTTATAAATCTGTAAATGATATTATCGATCAATGCAAAAGACTTATTGCATTTTATAAATTAACTATTGTAAGTTTGCTAGCTTTAAAAATCGGCGTTTTTTACGAATATTTTGTTTTATTACATACCAATAATCTACTTAACTTTATACATAATAAATTCTGATTTGGTATACATTTTCGTTTTTTTAATACCTTTAGGTTTATAAGCAATAGGTTTTTCGAAATTTTTGTTACAAATCCAGGTTTCTCAAGTCTACCATTCTGGGCACGATTCCCAAGTAGGAAGCGGAGTGCAATTTTAATAGCGCTAAGTGGTTGGTGGTGGTGGTTGTTGGGGAAGTTTTAAGAGAAACCATTTTGTAGATTGTCAGTTTGGTTTATTTGTTAGGGATAAAGATAGAAAAAAAAATTCTGATCATCTCATTTTATGAACATAAAATGAGGCAGAAGTGTAAGAACGGATGCCGATATTTCGCCACAATGAATTGAAAGTCTTCATTATTCATCGTGGGAATTGAACAATTTAACAAGCACAAAGTAATAATACCTACATAAACTATCGAAATATCGATCAGTGTTTTTGGTCAGTGTTCAAAGAAAAATACAATATTTCTTTAATGTAATTTAATGAGAACAAAGGCAAGCAAATTATGTCACAGAAACACTATTTTATGGTGAATGTCATGTACATTATTATCAACAGTATTTAACACTAATAATGTAAATATTATTTATTTAAAATAAACTTAGAAGCTTATTTTAGGTACAAGTTTTCCTATGACTATTGGACGTTACCTTTGCCTTTGATTACCTGCCTAATTATCACATTACAAGCAGAGATACATAATGTAGAGATGCAAAATCATCGGTTTTAATACAATACACATACACGACCAAATCCTGCAACGCCATTTATTCGAGTTGTCAAGTGAAAATAGGCCAACTTGACCTTGAAAGAAGACTATCTTCTATTCTAGTCACAATAGTAACGACTGACCGACGAAAGTCCTCCGACCTAGTTTTTGGTACCTCGCGAAATCATAGTACATGCATTTATGTATATCTCATAGGTTCAATTTTCGTTAGGTCAGAAACCAGGTGATAGTATGAACTTGATTGCGAGAAAGTCGGAAGATTAAAAGACATGCAACAATTCAAAATCTTCTAAGCTCTCATAAAACAGTGGGTCGACATTTAACATACAAGTGGCGTTATCAAACTTGGTCTTAATTCTTAACACATACGCACGAATAGTCCCAATTTTAACAATTTGATATTTGTAAAAGATTTCTATTGGTGAGTAGTTAATTTATAAATTATGCACAAATATACTTTTATGCTTACGTCAATAGCGACTAACTATTCTTTCTACGAATATCAAATTGAAAATAAAGTAGTAAGTTGTTCATAGCTTCGCCGCAGTGTAAACTAACCTGCCAACTACAAGGAAATTTTAATATGCACACATAAATCAACATTTTTTGCTAAGGAAGTAAATGCAAGATACAGTTAATTATTAAAGTAATATTTTTTACTAAATCTAACAATTACTTGGGTTACTTCCAAAGCAACAAAAATTAATTATAGTTTTTCGTTTACTTTGAAACATTTCCTAGTAGAGAGCAAGTTTTTACACTCGATAACGATAGGTATTGCGTACTCTACGTGTGATGATGGTATAATAGCTGACAATACTGCGGTAATCTATTGTCCAATCACAGATGATTTCAGTGGCAAGACATGTTAGGCATATAAATAACTAATAAACCGAAGTAATCAACATACTTTGAAGATCTTTTTTATTCACAATTCCAATAAAGATTTTGTAAAATTTATTTTTGATTGAGTTAACATGTAAAATAAAACTATCTTCAAAGTAAGTTATTAATAAATAGATCACAATCTTAATCAAAGTTTATCATGATTTTATAATATCAATAAAATGAAATACTTAAAAATGCTGACCAGCATGCAAAGTAACAGGGAATATCAAAACAAACCAATAGGAAAATAATGTTACAAAAGAAATAAAACTATAAAATAATAACACTTATCTAAGTAATCTACAAGGAATGTAGTTTTGGCTCACTGTACTTAATCTTAAAACTAAAAATAAAAATTGCACAAGGTAATAGGAAACTTAATTTCTTTGGCCCTAAAGTAAAGGAAATCACAAAACGAAAATTCTTTTCACAAGCATTAAAAATAGAATGCAATGAGATAACAATCACCGTAACTTAAGAAAATTATTATGTGCAATATTATGCTACGTAGAGACGGTTTTACATCACTTACGCTAATGTGCACGCAGATTATAATTAAGTATATCTATAGGCTACATCGTCCCGGACGACATGCAACAATTAATGTCTATCTAAGTAGCAACAATTAATCTATAAGACATATCACACAGTCACAGCAGTCTTTAAGTCGCCCTAGCTTTGCGTATATTTTTCTTCTCAGCCTCGGTGAATCCAAGGATATTTTCAATTGCGTTCAGATGTCCTTGATGGTTTTCTGGGTCAGTGAGGAAGTAATAAATTGCAGATTTGAGGAACTGCAAAGTCACCTCAGGGTCTACATTGGTTCTGCTGCCTTTCTGCGATTCCATGATACGACGATACATGGCCTAGAAAAGACAAGGAACAGTAAATCCGCTTGAACTGATGTAGCACGCATGCACGTTATCTACTAAAAAGTAAAAAAAATACAGCTAAAATATGATGTAAATAAAATTTAGTTTACTTTTCGCCTGCTACAAAAGTAAACTACTCTCAGACATGGTTATGTACAGTCAACAGCACATCAGAACACAAGTTTTTGTCACAAAATAGCTCCTATTACAATGTCATAAGATGCCACAGTGTTTAGTTTGATGTGCTGTCGTTTGTTCAATGATTTATAACCACGTTTTCTCAAACCAAAAAACTTCCCTTACCAAAATCAATTTCAGAAATTGCAGATCTTTAACTACACTCATGCTACAAAATATAATTCTAAATAATTAGCTTCTAATCATAGCTGGGCATTAACTCGTTAATCCGTTAATCGTTAATTAACGAAGTTAACATTTCTATTAACGGATTAACTTTTAAGTTAACTTTAAAAAATGTTAACGGACTCGTTAACTTACGTTAAATTATCCTAAGTCCGTTAATCGTTAATCCAGTACCTACTATTTACCAAAAGCACGCTGAAAAACGCTAGAAAAACGCGTTCCGACAAGTACGTTCGGGCTTTCAGAACTTCCAGAACCCAAAACAACAGTTTTTGTAACCAGATCACTAACGACATTTTTTGTTAGTATGTGTGGGACAACTCTTTAAGACTAGTTTTCCTCAACCGATTGAGCTGAAATTTGGTATACTTATGTAAGTCCGATGACAATGCAATGTTATGGTACCATTGAGCTGGTCTGATGATGGAGTCATGAGGTGGCCATAGGAACTCCTAAATGAAACGGCGGCATCGCATCGAATTTGGGTTCGTTGGATTTGTCTTTTCGAGCACTTTAGTACTAGATGATGTCCAGGCTCCTGATGATGGAGTCAGGAGGTGGCCATAGGAATTTCTAAACGAAACGATGGAAACTTATCGAGTTTGGGTTTGCTGGATGTCTTTTCGAGCACTTTGGTGCTAAATTGTATTGTAATTGAACCAAGGCTCTGAGATTGAGATACTACTAAAAAGTGTAAAATAAAATTATAACTTTTTTAAAAACAAGCTTGAAGAAAGAGAAAGAAATGCTGTTGTACTAAAACGAAAAAAATAATTGTACTTAAGCAAGGTTTAAATAATTTCGAAAGCTTGTAGCGCAAACAAAAAAAATTGGCCAAGTGCGTGTCGTGCCACGCGCAGTGTAGGGTTCCGTAGTTGTCCGTCGTTACCACAGTATATTTCAGAAGCAAGCAATTATTTCATCTACAGTCACTTTTCATATTTTCTTCTAAGGAATTTTCACTAGTTAAAAAATTTTGTAATTAAAAAAATTAAAAATTGTTTATTGACAAAAAGTTTTATACAATATTTGTGCGGAGGCTTCCCAGTAATTATCGGAGATACTTGTGTTGGGAATGTCTCGCATCTTTCCAAACGGTAAACAAAATTACATAGCTTTTTGCAAAATACAATTTGTAGAGGTAGAAAAGAGTGAGTGTTGTAATACATGAGTTAAATGACTATTACTCTCAAAGTAATTGCTGTATCTTAACCGCTATAGTTTTCCTTGAAAGTTCATGAATTATCACGAAGCAGTATTATCACGAATTTTTCCAGATTTTTCAAGCCAACGGTTTAGTTTTTAGAGGGGAGGGGGGGGGTGGGGGGACGCCCTACTCGAACAAAAATTGGCATTTTAAAATTTAATAATTTGCAAAGAGATCCCTTAATGGAAAAAAAGTCTTAGGAACCCCTAAGCCATTTTAAAAGACCTATCCAACGATACCCCACACGATGGGGTTGAAGATGAAAAAAAAAATCTTCCCCACTTTACATGTAGGGGAGCTACCCAAAAAAAATTTTTTTTCAAAAATTTTTTCTACCGTTTTGTCGGCATGATTAATATACATATCTCTACAAAATTACAGCTCCCTAGTGCCAATAGTTTCCAAGCAAAACCTCGGAGAGACAGACAGACATATCGAAACTATAAGGGTTCCTTGTCAGGACTACGGAACGGAACCCTAAAAAAGAGGAATAAATTCCATGCGCGATCTTTTCATCATCATTCCAAGCTTTTGAAATTATTTGAACCTTGCATACAATTATTTTTTTCGTTTTATTATCATGTGTTAACGGATTAACGATTAACGTTAACTTGCGTTAAGTCTTGTGAAATGTAACGTTTTAACGTTTAACGAAGTTAATTTTTTTATTAACGGTTTAACGATTAACGAAGTTAACTATTTGATTAACGGTGCCCAGCTATGCTTCTAATTATGTACTAAGTTGAAAAATTGTACAGAAACAAAATCTAGTAATATTTAAAAACCTATTTACCAAAAACCTATGATACCCGGGAAACCAAAAGAGGCTGTTTCAAAACAAAAAACATCATGCAAAGCTACCCTATGCAAGAAATAATAAAATAAATTAATCCACATGCGTTAGGAGCAAATATTGCTAAATTAGTGACTATGTTTAATTAAACAGCTAAATGTAAAAACAAATACTCAACTACATTTTTGCACAATGTATGTTACAAAATTGTACACACTGCAAGATCTATAGTCGTGATACGTGCATTTGTGTGATATTTTGTGATGTATCAGCAATAAAGATTGGCACATATTTGATGCATTTAGCTGTTTATGCCTTATCCAACAACATATTGTAAATTAAGTGTTAGTAAATTAAAAATATTTATCTGATATCCCCAATTCCCCATTATGTTAGTTATTAGTAACATTAACAAATAAAAAGAACGATATATTTCGAATGACTTATCAAATGAGGAACATGGTCCTGGATTACCATGTTATACAGACACAGTTTAAATTGTATGAAATATAAAAAAGTAAATAAACACACAATAGGTAATCCACAGTTGTAACCACATTCCATCCTGTGAAAAAGTTGATCCATATCCCCATCCACTTTAGACATAAAAATATTGAGCTGTAAATATTTTAATGGAACTGTAAATAAACTTTAGCAAGACTTCCTCATAACCTCTGTGCTAAGCAAGGTGTAAGTAAAAAAATATTGAAGTGTTTTAAGTGGATGCTGTCGTCCGTAAAAAATCCAACCTTTCGAGCTCCTAGGACCCATAAAGAAACAGCCTCCTTTGCACTTAGAAGTACTTGTGACTTTGCCGTTCGGTCCGCTGTGAATGCCGTGTCCTGCAATGCACTACACGTTAAAGCAAGTTCCTGTTAATCGCCACTACATGCACACACTACGCCACTCTAGGTGTACAATGCGTGGTTAATGTTCAACACTTTGATGGTTAATACATTTTTAATAAACACCAGTCACATACAGTGACATAGGCTGCGTTAGAAAGAATTAAAACGGTTAGATTCTCATTAATAGGGTTGGAAGAAACAGTGTCGAGAAATGAAATATGAATGTTATGAGCTGCAATGAAAAATATCCTTGAATAAATGTTAATTGTGTGTAACGTCTGTGGATTATTCTGACTGGCAAATATTTGAATGGAAAGGTTACAAAACAAAACACGTAGTCAAGGATGATCATTCAATGTGAGTATGCTATTGTTTGTCTCATTGTTTTGGTACACAATGCAAACTCAAGTGCTAATGAAAATAAGTTTCCTTACTCGGACATTTTCGAGCTCAGTCTGTGTAATCTGTAGTTGCTCCAGCAACTCCTCCACGGATACTCTGTTCACTTGAGAGGGACCAGCTTCCGTATCCTGAAAAAAAGAGGAAAACATTTAAAATAACAGACATATCTACATAATATGATTACAAATTAAGCATGTTGTCAATCACCAGTGTCATGAAAGAAATGAGTCTAAGAAATACAAGTTTTGTCAGATGTTTTATAAAAATGACTAAATTGCAAAAAAATGTAGTAAAATAGGAATAGGCCTGGCAAAGAAGAACTAAATTGCATTTGCAGATAAATGAAAGTTGTGTAATATTCACCTTCTCTAATTCAAACTTGGCAGCTTCAACTCCTTTGTTGTACATTTGCAAGTACATCGAGCGATGTCGGCCATCCACGTCCTGCAACTGCTTGCTTGCTTCTTCCAATTGCTTCTCCAGGACATGGATCCTTTCCTTGGCCTGTTCATAGTTAGGCAGCAGCTCACAGTAGCGAGTGTTGACGTCTGCTAGTTTCTGCAGCAGCGCTTCCACCTTATCATTGTGGCCCTTTTTCAGTTCCTGTGTTTCCCCAACATGTGACCTTACCACATCTTCAATTTTTTTCTCATAAAACTCTATTAAGCTTCGACGCTCTTCTTCGCCATCATCAAAATCGGTCATGCATGATACATCATGAGTCAACATGTGAACAGACTCCTTGGAGTGCAAGGAAGAATTGGTGAGATCATCAAAGTGGCCTGAATCTGTGAAAGATCCCTGCATTTCATTTCGACACCTTGTCGGTGTCTGGTCTTTGAATAATGGGCTGTCAGTAACATCAAAACTCCTGCATGCCACTCCACGCTTAGGACTGTCTTGTTCAATAGATGCTTCATCTGCATTTTCTCTAATAGTCACAATTTCACTTGAGTTGGATTTTTCATCTGGGGAACATATAGATGCTTTATACAAGCGAAGTTCAACAACTTCTTTGGTCAAATGAAATATTTCACTGTCTTTTTTTTCTAGATCCTTTTTCGCTTGTGTCAGGAGGCTTTTGAGCCTGCGTATTTGTTTTTGAGCTCGCTGAGTGGGTGTCAAGTATTCATCTCCTGCAAGGCCTGCATGCGATGAACAGTGAAGGACATATCTCATTGACCGGCCACTGAATGTAGTCCCATTGAATGGAGCATAACCAGCATCCACCGAAGCAGCAGTTGCAGCACTCCCATAGCTGTGCAAAGATTCGTCATCGGGCAAGTCTTCCGGAGATCCAGGTGGGGTGTGAGCGGAGTCAGTCATATTCAGTTTCCCATCAAAGCAGTTGTCCTGTTTCAGGCAGGATTTTCTAGGCTTCTGCTGAGCATTCGAACTGAACGACTGCAAACATGGGAAAAATTGTGTCACAATAAGTTCAAATACCTGCTCAATTTGTAGTACAGTAAAATCAATTTAAGTAATTTAATAAAACTTGTAAAATAATACAACAACTATGAAAATTATATCATGAAGTTCTCTGGAGTTTTGTCCAAAATGTGGTAATTTATTTTATTATCACTCTGACCCGATATGTATACAAATACCCAGTTTTTGGTATTTTATATAATAAATACTATGAAATAATTCACAGCAGAGCATAGACAGACTACCCCTATTACCAAATGCAGACGTCAGCAAGGCTTAAATGGCTTGGGTTGAGTAGCCATGGCAATGGTTGGCGTAAATTATTCAGGCTCAAGGCCGGTACTTACGTGGCTCCGCTGGCGATGCCCCGGCTCCACGAGACGGGCGCCATCGCTCCGGTTCTTCTGGTGCGTGTTTTCCGTGATTATTGGGATTAATTTCCTCGTGGAGAGAGGCGACCGCTGCACCATTTTTTCACCGCGCAGCCGCAGTGAAGAGGTGCGCCGAAAGTTGCCGGTGACGTTTCCCGCGCAGCAGTGTTCATCATGAAACTCTGCTATTCTTCTACCGTTGTAATTTCTGTTCATTTTCTTCAAAATTTCACATTAACGTAGCGTACTGCAAAAACGTAACAGCTGTTAGAAATTCAGCAAAACAATGCGTGACATTTTGACATTTCATGAAAATTATTTTTCAACTACAAGCAAAGACATAAATGTGTAATGCCAAACATTTGTCCTCCATGTCATTTGGCGCGCGATTGAACTTTGCCATAATTTTTATGGTACGAATAATTCCTCTATGTACGAATACTGCGAACTATCGTAATTTTATTTTACGACTAGAGTTTTAGTCCAGTCAATGAATGCCTTAACGACGGTGTAGAGAGAAATCCGTGGAACACAATTTCTGACCTCGGGACTTTATTTAGCCTAGTTAGGTGGTGAACATAGCAAAAGTCCCCGCCCTTAGCCCTTGAGCCGGCGGGGAGAGGGGGGTTTAAAGGTACCACTTTTCGGTTTTTCGCTTAATCCTCGGAAACTATGCGTCCTAGTGACTAGGGCATGGAATACCGGAATAAGTTTTATACCGGTATTGATACCGGTATTGAAATTTCAATTACCGGTATACCGAAATTTCGGTATTTTTTCGGTATTTCTTGAGATACTGCTATTTACTATTTAAATGTTTCCAAGAACGATTAGTAAGTCTCGTTTGTGAAAAGTTATTAATAGGCCAGTAGAATAACACGTGAAAATTAATCAAATCGGAAATAATTCCTAAAGGTTTTGTTTTAATAGCTTCATTTGTTGCTCATTAAGACTATCCTAAGTTTTCAACATCGACGGAGGTGTGGTGGGGCCCCCCGAAACGGGCATTTTTCCGGTTTTATGGTTATACCGTATAAATAAAGGACTTGCAGTATAGAAAATTGATCTTCATGGCAGGTGAAGGGCATTTAATCCTGCATTGAATAAGACGAAATTCATATATTTTAGACAAACCGTTTTCGTGCTTAACATGCTCCCGCATGTCTAGAATGATTGCTCAATGTTGATTTACTCGATTTTCTCTTGATGGGAACATGTAAGACAAAAATAAAATTTCCAATATTACAGACCTTCTAGAGCAGATGCCGCGAAAACTATACAAGATATACAAAAACTTGACGATCTCATCTGTAGCAAATTGAATAAGCTTTTTTTGGTTCATAGTAGTCATGTCACTAGGACGCATAGTTTCCGAGGATTAAGCGAAAAACATAAAAGTGGCACCTTTAAACCCCCCTCTCCCCGCCGGCTCAAGGGCTAAGGGTGGGGACTTTTGCTATGTTCACCTCCTAACTAGTCTAAATAAAGTCCTGCAGTCAGAAATTGTGTTCTACAGTTTTCCATCTATAATGCTTTATTGACTGGACTATTTCTCGTTAGTCTTAAATTATTTTGGTAAGTAGGTAGATTATTTTCCTTTAATTTTTTTAATGGACTATCCTGCTGAACTTCGTAGGCGACCATTGCATTACTCTATCTACCCTACCTCACTGCAACTTTTCTCTGCATCTTTTCTCTTTTTACCTGTAGGTACCTATACATACCTAAGTAATTAGTGTGGTTATCGAGCATGGGCCCGGATTCGTTATGAACAATCTCAGCTCCATCATCAGTAGAGATTATCTACCTACTTTTAATTACGATACCTATACTTACGTGTTTTTTCTTTCATGAAAACAGTCCCACAAGTTAAGATAGCAGTAGCTTTAACAACAGGAAACTTAGTTTTATACAGGGCGTAAAAAGTGAGAAACACACAGGTGAGTTACTTAAATAAGATAAGAGTCGTTTCAGAAATCAGAATAGAGGCCCTAGAGTGGTAGGAAGGATAAATTAAATACAGTCATAATTAATTAATATGTACCTACCTAAAGATAAAGGTATAGTTTGATGAGCTGTGATCTTCACTATACAGAGCAGTCTGTTGGTTGTATGACCTAGTTTATTTTGCAATGTAATCAGGCTGGTCTTGTCTTCAGACTTTTCTAACGAAAAAAATAATGTGAGAACGAAGGTAAAGTACCTACTAGATAATATCGTGGAAAACAATTCTTTCGAAATTATTGTTCTTTGCACTAGATATCTATTCAGGCAACCTGATTAATGTTTTTGTTCGCAAGCTGATGCAAGACTGTGCGCTAGAATTGTTAAGTACTTAGTTACCTACCTACGGACACGGTTTAATTTAATTTAGTACCGAAGCAAGAGTTTCCTAATGAACAAAAATATAGGTAAAATCACTAATTGCGCTATCAAAAAAGGTAACTTCCGAAAAGACGGGAAGAAGAATATGTAGGTTAGCAATTTAAACTTCATTATTTTAATAAGTACCTAAGATAGGTAGGTGTTAGGTAGGTAAATAATACGTAAAATAAAATATCGTGTAATTAATTGGGTTGCTAAGTACTGTTTTAGGTAAGTAGGTACCTAAAGGACAAAAATCTGTCAAACTCCATGCAAAAGACACCGGTTATGATTAAAGTTACGGTTAAAGTTAAGTGGTGCAACCCAGCATAAGTTACCTATGTATATTTGAACTAGTAAGTAAATGCGCTTATTTTATCTATTTTTTACACTTTCATTTTATTGTAATTAATAGTAAATACCTACAGTAGGAATAAAAAAATCATTGGAACATTTTATCTACACTTTTTGAATTGGTGGAAATGCAAATTGGTCAACCTGTCAGCATAAACATAAAATATTCAAAAATAAACATTAAACACTGAAAAAATAAACAGTCTCGTCGTTGTACATCGCAAATTGCTAATGTGAAACCACGCTGTATGCGATGCTTAACTTTGCCGATTTGACTTGCACGCAATCATGCAATGCTCTTGCATTAAATTTATTTTAAATACATGCGTGAGAAAATACATGAAGATGAAAATTGGTGTACGTGAATCGTCGTAAGGTTATTTACGACTTTCATAATCACTTACAGATGATAAATTGAAGCTGAGAACAACGTCCGTCCGTGCCGGGTATTTGTACTGTATTCGAACGCTTAGATTTATTACAACACCGACTTGTAGTTGTGCAACTTCAGAAACTGTTACTTACTTACCAACAGAAATTGCGCGAACGTACAATCTCTGCTGTCTAGGCGTTCGGTGCATTCGGTCCTTCTTCATTGATAATAATCAGTAGGATGTAGGTTATCTAGTCGATGCGGTATTTTTTGGCATATAGTTAGAACGATGACCTGATACGTAAAATGATGGGTTCGATTTTTGGGTAGGGCTAGATTAAGCTGTTTTTGACTTTCAGTTTCATTGACATACTTACATACTTTTAGTACATGCAAGAAAAGTTTGGAAATCGCCTGAAAGGTGTTGAGAATTAGAGGGCATACCTACTTGACCCAGGATGGTTTAACAAGGATCTAACTATCTATAAGTTTACTTATTAATCCCAACTAATATTATAAATGCGAAAGTAACTCTGTCTGTCTGTCTGTCTGTTACGCTTTCCCGCTTAAACCTCGCAACCGATTTTGATGAAATTTGGCATAGAGATAGTTTGAGTCTCGGGAAAGAACATAGGATAGTTTATATCCCGGTTTTTGAAACAGGGATGCGCGCGATAAAGTTTTTCTGTGACAGACAAAATTCCACGCGGGCGAAGCCGCGGGCGGAAAGCTAGTTTATTTATATGATTGAAGGCTAATATTTTTTCAGCAGCCCAAACGATTGAAAAAAAAAATCTGGTAGGTACTTGACAAATAGGTAACTGTAACTGAATAGAATAGAGAACCAAGGATTTTGAAATTAATTTTCGTACTTAAGTATGCCCATTTGCCAAGGCCAAAGATTAGTATTTATTTATCACAAAGAACTGAAGGCCATGGAAAGCATTTAAAAAAATAACAATGGGGGCGATAACGCAGCGTTAACATTTTTTTTCATTGTTAGTACAGCAGACATTGGTACCTACATACGTGAATTTATCGTGGGGGTTTGATTATGTAAATATGAAGTTATTAATCACAAAATAAACTTTCATTTCCAATATTCTACCCTTATAAGTTGAGGGATGGACTGGAATATCATTATATGAATATTACAACACTGTTATAGAGTCGGCGAAATGTTTTTTTTTAAGCTGTGGGCTACCCTGAAATGGCACGGTTTAGGTTGTAGGCAGAAATCCGATGTGAATACTTAAGAGAATAAATGTTGAAACTCCTGAATTCGAGATTTTTTCAGACCACAACTATTATTATCTAGTATAAGTTAATAAAGACACATAAATTAATATGAGAAAAATATTTTTTCAGGCCCATAATTTTTTCACGACATTACATTTCACAAAAAATGAGTACCTCCTAGTTTTTAAAAAAAATATGTTTGTGTACAGTTTAGTTAGTCCAAACTGAGATCGCCGTATTCCATCTAGTAATAAAAACCAAGGACGTGCGTTATTTATTATTAGCAATCAGCTAAATTAAACTAATTAGATATATTAGTATCCAATTATGAAAACGCGAAACACCGAATGCCTCTAATTCACTAATCAACAAGGTTGTCACTGGCTTTAATGGATTTATTGGGGTGGATTAAATTACTTCTTAAATCTTAATTCGATTAGCGAAAGTGTTGAAACTCCGGACAAATGATAATTAAGTATTCATTATAAATAATACATTAATGTTTTGGAAAATATAAAAGATTATTCTTACTTTAATAAATTACTGACACCTTACCAAAGAAGATTGATTTTATTATTTATTCCTATTTCAATATCATCGATTGGATTCAGCTTAGATTCAAATCTTGTGGATTACATCAGCCGGTAGTTGTGGGTTCGAATTCCGTTCATGTTGAATGTACTTAGTTGTGATGATAATTCATTTCTATGGTCATGTAAGTACGTGTTTATTTCTCTTAGGCGTAAGTACCTACCTACTACAAAGATAATATGCTAGAGCGAGTTGTTTTTAAGGGAAATTAGGTATGTATGTACCTATGTATAATTTTGGATTTTCATTGCAATCATCATTGTATTATTACAATCTATAAAACAAGCCTTGGTACAACTATAAGTAAAAACACAAAATAGGCCACTTTGCTGTCTAGTTCTGGTAGAGTCGTTCCATAACTAAATGCTCTACTAAATTACAGCTGTAATAGCCAAATTATGACTAAATTAATGTACTTTTTATACTTTAATTATCTTACCTCGGTACTCAGGTATTACTTTATTACACGAAAGGTTACATAATCATTTTTCAGTAGGTACTACCCTGCAAATCGGTAACTACTGGAACATAGTTATGCATAAAAATATCGGAATTACGTTTCATTAATTCATAACTTGAACGCAAATACCAAATATTTATGATAGCACGCTATGGATTTCTTTCGTAATGGCATTTTAATGACTAGACTGAAGAACTGAGTACTTTTTTGCTACGAACTAATTACTTTTTTTGCTATTAAACTTTTAAAACTAGGGTCCGTATTTCGTATTATAGAACAAGTTTTTAAAAATAGATCTCAAGCATAGATTTAGGTTTCCGATTGGTTGAAATTCAGTATTTAGACTATTTACAGGACACTATGACCAAGATTGAATAGAGTTTTAAGCTTAGCTCTATAATACGGATCTGAAACACGATAAGAAATAAATTTACCGAATCTTGGAAAAAAATCTAATTTGACAATCAAGTTGGTTACTGTAAGTACAGTCGACAGTACATCAGACAACTCATTTTAGTTGCAGAATAGCTCTTATTTACAGCTGCTTAAGATGCCACTGTGTCTGGCTAGTGTAGGTAGCTACGAGCTAGCGAGACGAATCGCGCTACACATAAACTGAAGGCCACTTGAAATCCGCGTAGTCGCCATCGGCGCTAGCTAACTTAATAATAAGTTAGACGATGTTATAATGCGCGTACCTACCTCTACTTAAGTATAACTTGATACTAGTACCAGGCCTGTTCATCTCCGCGAGTTTACATCGAAAACAAAACACGCACGATGGCCCACCTACAGGATACTATTCGACAAGGCCTCACATACGAGCGAACATTGACTCACGCACGCGTATTCTTGTGTATGATGGTAGAAAATAAAGAAAATAGTGTACTAAATACTGTGCAGTATTTAACTGCCTAAATAATAATAAAAACACAGAATGTACTTTTTTAAGTTGCCTCAAGACACTGAGAGTAGTTAATATTATTCATGATAATTCATGCTAAATCATGTATTTCCTCCGCCATTTTCCGCAGTTTGCCACCTCACTTCACATCATTTTACCGAAGTCAGCCCTAGTGGCCCTATAGCTTCGGCGCAGTGCCGATCACTGACGTTTGTCAACAAAATGGTGCTTGACTCTTGAGACAGGCTAAATTACACCATATTGTTAATGACATTGAGCATACATTTTTTTAAATACCTTCGCGAAGTAAAACTTCTGTACGTAGTACTTATTATTATTCTGTGCTAGTACGTAGAATTACTTTTAAGGCACTCCAACGTGAACTTTTGACTTCAGTAAAAAACAAGACCGTTAATAATAATTTATAAAATGTAAGTAACAAAACATTAATACTCGTATGAAATATCATGTACAGAAATTAGAAATATCAACTGTTTTCTCTTTATTGAAAAACTAGCTTTTGCCCGCGGCTTCATCCGCATGAAATTTAGTTTGTCACAGATCGTCATAAATTATAGCCGATTTGTTATTCTGGGTCATAAACAATAATACTGTAAAGTTTCATAAAAATCCGTTGAGTAGTTTTTGCGTGAAAGAGTAACAAACATCCAGACATCCAAACTTTCGCATAAATTTATAATATTAGTAGTTAGGATTAGTAGGAAGTAGGATAGTAGGATACCTACTTGTTTTCAGTATTGTCAATAGAGCTTTATAATTTCCTATGATAGTTGTTTGTTTTTGCAATAAGTTGTTTTTCGTTTTTTTTTTTAACTTTAAATAAAGTTTTACTTATTGGCAGTTTTTGTTTAGTTTTATTTTTAAAAACTGAGATGAATAAGTAAAAATAACGGATGGTTGTTATTATAAGAGTTACTTCAGTTAAGTTTTTTAGAAGTTGCCAATGCAATGAGCTGTGAACTTGCACAGTTATCTTTTTCAATTAGTTCATTCACCGCTGTGTTTATTTACGCTCTTGGCTAGAAAAAAGAGAAATGCAGCTACGAGATACTTAAAAGTGTTAAGTATAACAACAAGCATCTTATAAGTTTAGAATGTTTTTGCCCCAAAACTCCATTTAAACAATTCGAGAATTTTCTACAACAATAGTTCGATACACTTGGAATTACTTTTCTAATTTACACTTTAATAAATCTTTTGACATTGAATTCACACAATTCCAATATTTATAACATTTCCTGTATCACTTTTGATCAAGCATGTAGTTACTGATAATAAAAAATTTTTGAAGTAGACTATAAATTGTGTTTGTTAGGAAAAAAATCAAACTAAAAACTTACTAATTTTATCCAGCACTATGTTTTCTATCTCCATCTCGCTTATTGGAAACATTGCCGAACCATCAGCAACACACATCGCATTCGGCACAATCGTAGTTCGGTACAAATGTTTCGTTCGCACAGTGTTTTTCGTGGGGAAAACTTTGAATTATCAACTCAAACATCGCAAATTACATAGAGTAAACCATCCACGTTAACTTTTACGCTAAGAATGTTGCGGCAAGTCGTCGAGCGCAGTGCGTGGCTGCGTGCTTGGTCAATGTTTGTTCACGGTGTGGTGGGCGCGCGCCGGCGCCCCCTCGCGCCACGTCGATGCAACACTCAATTTGCTTTTGGTTAATGTCCACTATTGTTACACGAATACGATCGGTTACGACACCTTCTATTGTATGTGCTTGCTCATAAAACAACAGTCAGTACTGATTACTTTTTTTCGCTCCGTGTTCCGCTGCATTGCAGAAATTGCAAGTCAGCCGGCCGCGCCATCTGGTGGGGTTTTCCGACATTTTGTGCCACTGCTGTAAATCTCGGCCGATTGTTTGTACTTATGCAACTGAAATCGTGTTTTATATTTCACTATTATCGTTTTAAATTTAATCTCACCGATTTCATGCCAAGGGTTTTCAAATGATGGCGTTTCACAAAGGGTCACCAAAGTTGATGTTTTTGCTCCGATTGGTTACAATTAGAGCGTTACATATTTACCTACTTAATGTTTACTTTCACCCCGAGTTTGATTTTTCAATCCTTCAGAATCGTTTTGCAATTCAATTGTAAACTGGTATTTTGTTTACTGTTGATGCAAATCGCTAATTAGGTACTTGTAATTTGAACCGAATTTCAAACACTTAGGAAGCATAAACAATTTATGCACTTTTAAGTAAAGTAATTATACTAATAATAATAACAAAAACTTCTTAAGTCATTACTCTATAATTGAAATTACTGAAATTACATTATTCTTTCTGAATATCATGCATCAAATATCAAATATATGGCTATCAGTATTTAACTTTATCAGTATTTATTTTACGTCGCTACTTCAGTAAGAAATCTGTCTCTACTTCGATTTCTTGCCGACTCAATCAAGCCAATTCGCAAAAAGTCTGGCTCGGAACCAATGCGGATGGAAAAATGTGGCTTCGTCGGCGGCGAGCGATCTTTTTTGTTTCGACAATAATTATTACGACATAGTCTGATTACTATGAAGACATGTTTCACCGACAAGCCTCATTGCGCCGTATTTCTACTCATTTTTTTGTAATCATATAATTAAACATTTACTAAATTAATCTGACGTAATACAATTTGGTAATTTTATGCGTAAAGCACAACTGAGGCCGATTGTAGAGATGAGATAATCATGCTCTGGTTTTCAGGTCATATTATTTGAGGCTCGTTGGCTTAGGTAGGGAGAGACGCTATTCATAGACGATGCTTGCTTAAGCGAAGCAGCAAATCGAATGCACAGCGTTGAACTCTATTCAACGCTGTGCGTTCGATTTGTTGGTCGAGCTCTCTGCTCGAGCTCAATGATTGGTTCGTGTGTGACCCTGTGCGTCCACACGCACTGTGAGACCTAGTAAAGTTTCATGTTTGTGAATACAGCCGCAAATTATGTTGTGTCCATTTGACCAAATGCGTCCGCGGAAGGGTTTACCAGATAATCGCTACATAATTTGCCCTAATGCACCACAATATGCCCTGGCATGGGCGTGTTTTTTAGTTATCTTATGGTGCTACGGAAAGTGCGAGAAAATCCTATCCTACTAATATTATAAATGCGAAAGTTTGTATGGATGTCTGGATGTTTGTTACTATTTCACACAAAAACTACTAAACGGATTTTGATCAGTATTATTGTTTATAACCCAGAATAACATATGACGATCTGTGACAAACTAAATTTCACGCGGGCGAAGCCGCGGGTAAAAGCTAGTATAGATATACTTAAGTTGACTCTATGTGTCTCTATTACTGCTGATGATGAAGTATTTAAATTGCATTTTCTTTTTCTATTTTGTGAACTGTAAAAACCAGGTGTCAGTCTTCATGAGTCACCAGAATCTTGGTTCATTGCACTGCTAACAGTAACTATTACTTCAATGGATGATTAAAAGCTAATTACTTGCCTCAAAAACATATACCTAAGTACTCAATAAAATATAAAAGTAGTCTTTAGATCTTCTAATGCTTAGTTAAAATCTTTTATACGAATAAAAGTTCGTTTATCGCTGCCGCTGGGTTACACACCCAGCGGCAGCGATAAACGAACTTATGTATGATATAACTACATATCATATAATACTTAGAGGATATAACATCAAATTATATAAAATCGTTTAATATAATAATTATTTACTATAATAAACGAATAATATAATTTTAAAACGAATAATTTTAAGACAAATAACTATTAACTGATATAAAATGGTTTGATATAATGAATATTTTCTATAAAACTTACAATGTATACTATTTAAAACAAATAACATTCAAATCATATAAAAATAAAATGTCGAACAATCAAATGAGATAAAATTCTTTTCCTATAAAACTTAAATCATATAACAATAATAATTTTATATAAAGTTCATTTGTTATAATAAGCATTGCAAGCAGGCAAGCAAGCTAGCAAGCAGGCAAGCAAGCAGGCAAGCAGGCAAGCAGGCAAGCAAGCAAGCAAGCAAGCAAGCAAGCAAGCAAGCAAGCAAGCAAGCAAGCAAGCAAGCACGCAAGCAAGCAGGCAGGCAAGCAAGCAAGCAAGCAAGCAAGTAGGCATGCAGGCATGCAGGCATGCAGCATGCAAATTTGACTAAAAACTTGAGACTTCTGTCACGGCTCCGGCACTGCGGGGCTCTGGCGGTCCCTCGCGTGCTAATCGTCGCAGATGGCTTTCGCTCGACACCGCGTCTTCGGCTTGCTGGCCGGCTTCGCCGGCCAGCCTCAGCCGCGGCGCCTCGCTTCCAGCCACCTGCTCCTCAGCCCGCGGGCCGCCTCGCCCCTCCGTGCCTACGCGCTTCTAAATTACACTCTAGGGGTAGGGCAGACAAGACTACGTGGAGTCGGTTTTACGGCGATTCGTTTTTGTCACTAAAGTAATTTATAAGTCAAGCTAAAAAAGAACATACTTAAAGTTATATCTATCAGAAATTATATCAATTAAAGAGTATAACAAATAATATTTATTACAAGTAATGGTTATGTGAAATAATATTTATATTAAACAAAATTACATCAAATGAGTCTTCGATTAAGTAAGGTTTATATCAAATGTCTTTATGCGTTGTGATTGGTATCTGAAATGATATTATTAGAAATGATTTATTATATGAAGTAAACATTATATGTTAAAAAATTATATCAAGTGTTATTATAACATACGTTTATTATACAATATGAACGTTATTGAAATGAATTTATATCATATAAACTTATATAAACTGTCACGCACCCGCTGCCGCTACCGCTTATATCTAACCAACTCTTATGAACTAAAAAAATAAACAAAATCTTCTCTTAAAAGCTTCTATGTACTTAATTAATGGGCCATTGTGAGAGCAATAACCTGCGTAATGATGGCCAGTTGTGCCTTATTTCTTCTATTACGTTAATGTAATAATAAAGATCGCATTTATAATGTACTTCATCTAAGCTCTCGGTCACACGATGCGTTGTGCGCAACCGGACCGTTATTATGTTAGATGAAATTTTAGATAGAGCAGCGTATGTAATCTTATGGCACATGTTTATCAGATGTTTTCAAAACTAATTTTCCAAATTTAAAACATTTATGTAAGTTGATTTTCCTAAAAAGATTTAGGAAAATCAACTTACATAAATGTTCCTGAAATCAGGGAAATTAAGCGCATTATTTGGGCAGGCCTCCCACTAGGTGGACCGACGATCTGGTGAAGGTCGCGGGAGGTGGCTGGATGTGAGCGGCGCAGGACCAGTCAGTGGAAATCCTTGGGGGAGGCTTTTGTCCAGCAGTGGACGTCTTTCAGCTGAAACGAACGAACGAAGCGCATTATTTAAACTACTGTAAAAGAAAATGTTAAGTAACGGATGTACGAGTAAAAAGTGCTTGTGGAGGGCAAATGCAAGAAAATAAATAACAATTTATACTTATTTTAAACCTCGCTTTATACACTGGCAAATTATTACCTACAGCATTGATAAAGGCCTTGAAAGTACTCTTATGTTTAACATTATTTTATGAGTCACGTTTTGCAAGTAGTTACTGTAATTGGGTACTTTGCTCTGTGTTATACCTGGTGATTATTGGATATTCGACTTTTACGAGTAGGTATAATGATTGAATTCGTAGCGAATACCTTATCTCTGTAAACGAAGTTTCTATTTAAGATTTTGATTAACTGTGAAGGACTTTTATTGTTTCGAAAAAACAAAACACTGTTTCGAATTTAATGAAACAAAAGAGGTTTAATAAGTGTTTCTAACTTTTCCAAGTGTCCTTTTTAAATTATGTAGGTAGGTTTGTTTCAGATACATCCTTTTCAGTTTAACTTCGACGAAATAAGACAATGATTTCTGGTAAGAATCGCACAAAAACTTACTAAGATAATTTAAGAACTCCTGAAAAATAGGGATTTCAATTTCAATAAATATTTTAAAAAGAACATAACGAGATTTTTTTATCTAAAACCAAAAAGAATAACAAAGCTCTCGGATGGTAACCCTAGGCTGTTATTGTTAGTATTAAATGGACGAAATTAATCTTTTTGCTGTAAAATCTTCAGGGGTCGTAAACATGTAAGTGAAGTATTCGTTTACTTATTCGTTACGCAGGAAGTGTGTTAATTAGTGTAAAAATACGTAACAATGATTGCATTTGAGATACGGTGAGCGGCCCAAGGTGAGGTGAGGCAAGCCGAGGCTAGCCTAAACCAACTCCGGGAGTATCCGCATGTTTGCTTGGGTTAGGAGGAAACGCGCAAAGTTAATTAAAAGTGGAATCAAACTTTCTATTTATTCAAGCACGAAAGCCTGAATAACCAAGCTAAGTTTGAAAAAGTAGAATAAATCATATAGCGACAGATATGTAATCATTGATTCTTACAACCTCCTGGTTGGTAGTTCACGTACCGGACTAACACTGCTGTGTATAGAGGCATTTTTGGGCCACTTTAACACGTCTCAAAATTATGGACCTATTCCCAATTAGGGAATCCTGCGTTCATTGACAGCTTGCTGTATGTTTCTATCTTTTAGGACGTAACAATACTGGATTTTACTTTCAGGAACTAAATCTTTTCAACTAATTCTATCTACAATGATACGGTGCAAGTTACGTCCTACATTTTC